GGGGAAACGGAGGAGGGAGGGCTTCCTACGTCAGTCGAAGCTCACTGGCCTCGCAGACGGCACCACACCCCTTCGGGTTTCCTTCGTCCAACTCTCGTCATACTTTGACCCAGACAGAGTCGACCCCTAAGACCGCACGAACCGCAGACCTCATCCTGGACACGTTAGTTGGCACCGGGCGTCATACATGTAATGGCCTCTCTTGGACCCCGGATACACTTGCGGAAGCACCGACGGTCAAGTATTTTCGGTACATGTATCGCGGAATTTGATGTCAGGCAGCGCTGAAATTCGCCACCCAGGACTCGTCTGATGCGTGCGCGCAGGTTGTTAAACAAGCAGAAAGTGCCACTGTCGCTAGGTAGGCAACAGCCCGACACCAACCTATAGAAGGAGTACATATTAAGGCTGAATGGGTGAATAGACTCAGCAGCCAGCAGCACTAACACTGCGGCCTTGGCCGAGTGGGAGGAGTTTGAGATGTCACCTACTTTACTACATGGCTTTCAGTCATAACCAAATTATCTAACTGCAACGTTGGGGTAGGCGTAGGGTGACAAAGTACATGACCGTCGTCTTCCTCACATGAAGCCCAGTGGCTGTTGCCGTGGTTGTCAAAGTCGACATCTACGCAGACGACTCCTAGACGCGTCGACGACGTTGCCGTGGATGCTTGTGCTACGCTACTCGACGGTAACGGACAGACAGGCGCACAGGTCTTGAGCAAAATCGGGAATGGGTTGCAAGCATGGGATGTCAACGTATCAGAGATGCCGTGATATGACGACAACGTCGAACCCTTTCGCCTTCGGCCACCCATTCTTTGCTGCCCAAGGCCATGGCTGCGATGTGGTTCCAGCGGCACCCTCTCATTCAAAAACCGCCCGCACTCATCTTGTTGCAGGCCCCATGTCATCTCCCCTTCCGAAAGGGCATGGAAAGGAGAGGAATTGGACGGGATGGGGATGGGGGCAGGATGGGATGCAGAAGCAGCTACAGCGACAGGGCCTAGCTTACAGCATACTTACCTGCCGTGTGGCTTTCTCCCGAATCCTGCAGGGCACGGGACGTAGCCTGGCCCGCACGTCTCTGCGCTTCATCTGTTTTTCTGCTTCTGCTTCTACTTCTGCTTCTGCTTCTCTGCTGCGGCTGCTTCGTCTGGCGATCGGATTGGCGGCCCCCATCCCCCCTCCCCATTCCGCTTTCCCTCCTCCACTTCACTCTATCGTCTTCCCTCTCTATCAACCAAGGGCACAATTCAAATCCCAAAGGGGCACCTCCATGACCCATGATCCATCTCTCTCTCTTGATTCCCCTGCCAGTTGATGACAGCAGCATCCGGGTGTGAGCACTGTGGAGGTTGTTTCAATTCTGCGCACCCCTGCTCGAAACGCATCAATACATTGATGTGCCTTACGTCAGTGGTGCCGTGGACAAGACGCCATGGTATCCACTCTTTGGATTAAGCACACACCGTCCTCTCGCAGCCTCTATCTCACCCCTCCCCCCGTCTTCCCTTCCCCCCCGTCAGTCAGGGCCTTTACTCTTCTGCTCAAAGCCCGTCGAGGGCACAGGTTTTTTTCTTGGCGCCCTCATCGACATCAGCGTGCGGTTGCTTATTTCTTCACAGGCTTCGAGGGGAATGGTGGTTTGGTAGGCGCCCTCGGGAGCGAACGAGCGCAGCGCAAGATGGGAACGGGGAATGAGACTGGACAGAGCGCAAGAGAGGGGTCACAGATGCGCCTATTGCAACTACACAGGTGCTCTTTTCTCATGCTGGGGGCCTTTCGCAACGAGCCTGCTGGAGGGAGCCACAAAGAGGAGCCAAACCCATGCGATTATCTTGTGATACGCTGCAGCGGCTCTCTTCTACGGAGAATGAGCGGCATTGACCATTCGGAGCGCGCATCTTGGGTATGCCCTCCACTCTTTTTACTTTCAAGTCGCTTTCCAAGTGCAGGAGATGGATGCGATGCCATCACACGCACACCAACCCGTCCATCTCGCCCATCCTTTTCGAGCTCGAAACGGGAGACAACCGGTGCTGTCATCGGGCTTAGCCTTCGCAACCAAACTAACAAAAGGCTGCCAGAGAATCGTTGGACAGGAATACCATTCGCACCCCTTCCCTCCCCTTGTCCCCTACCCCGGCCCTGAAGCCATGCCGCTCTGAGCCATCGCGACATGCATCTCAGCCCAAGGGGAATTTTCCCTCTCTCTCTCTCTCTCTCTCTCTCTCTTTCTGGTGGCGAGCAAGCGCCGTTCCGAGTCAAGCCATGGCCACTGGATCAGGATATGATCCTGGGCTACGTATTTGGGCGTTGGATAGGGCTCGCAAGTAAAGTAGCTGGATACTGCTTTCCTTCTGTCAATCGCAAGACCCTGCATATCCTACGTCTACAGGTATCGGCGATTGACCACCAACTAAGTCCCTCTCCTGGCGTGACGCCGTGTCAAGTCCACCCGTGTGCGCGATGAGCGAGACGTTCCACCTACGTACCTGGACGTGCGGAAAACAGTAGAGAACGCACACGGCATGTGCGCTCACACACCCTCCTACCTTCCCTTAGAATTGATGCTAGCATCGCGGAAGCGCGAGAAATGAGTCTGTCTGTCTGTGTGCCCGCCCACCCGCCCGCCCTGCCTGCCTGCACACCAACATCAACCCCCTCTCTTCTCTTCCCCGTGCCCTTGCCCGCCCATCATCGGTGGCGTTTTTCTGGCTTCTTGTTGTCCTCTTTCATCGACCCTGTCTATCCTACGTTACCCTGATCTTAGTGTCGTTCGACTAGTCACTTAGACAGCTAGCCTACCTGCTCGGATTGGTGAAATGGGGGAGAAAAACAGAGGTCCCTCCGCCCATCCCATGGCATGACGCTAGAGGCGATGGCGAGCGGGAGAGACAGATACCGGTACCTTGTGGGCCTTTGCCATTGCTGGTGTAGCCAAGAGCAGAGAGCGAAGAGCAAGAGCCACAGAGGCCCGGTGCTTGCGCATGCTAGCCTTGTCCGAAGTACACCCAACGTACTCGTGTACATGGGACGGGACGTGGATAAGGCGCTGACAGCCGTGCCAGTGGCCGGTAGTCCGTCCCGCAATGGCTGGTACCTGCGCCGCGCAAGCATGACCTGGACTATACAAGGCAGACATGCGGTCCAGTCTGAGGTACAGAGTACCCTCTCTCTCTCCCTCCTCTTCCACTCACACAGAGACGGAAGACCGTGTGTACACTTTCCTCTTCCCTGTCGCAGGATCCACTCCCCTTTGGTCCCTGCACTCCCCTTCTCATCCCACCACCCACCCCCTCATCCCTCGTCCCCTTCGACATCCCTTCCTTCTCTCCCCCCCCCCCCCCCCCCCCCCCCATTCGAACCCCCATCTCATCCATCTCACTAACGAGACCCTACCCTGAGCACTTGAACCCTCTTTTCCCATCTTACATAGTTTTTTTCCTTCTTCCTCCCCACTGCACCCCCCCCTTCGCCGTCCGTATCTCTCACACCCCCCACCCCTTCCACTCTTTCGCTCCACACAACGTACTCTAACACCAAGTAAATCGACATCATAGCTTCATCTGCTTGTCTCTCCTTCCTGACCCGGAACCACCAGAGATGTAAAAGCGTTGTTCCCTCGCCTCCCCCATCAAATCTCTGCCAATTCTACATCTTGCCCCAATTTTTTTTCTCTGAACGCTCATCATCAGAGATCATCAGCTCCATCATCCAACCTCAAACCAAACCATTGCGACGCATTGCGCCAAAGCCTCCTTTTAGACGCGCTCCGCCTTCTTTCTCGTTACTTGCCCCGAGCTTTTGCGGTTCGTCACATCAAGACAGATACCAAAGCAGGCATCTTCGAGGGCTGCGAGAAAAACAAAAAAAGAAGCAACATCTCACACTGCCTCCGCCCCTCAAAAAAAAAAAAAAAAGGAACAAGGGGCACGCCTACACATACACACACGTATACCCTCAAACGCAACAACTCGGGAGACCCCGCTCTCGCAAGTTCTCGCGGAAAAGAAAAAGAAGGGGAAGAGTACCAAAAAAAGATAAAAAAAAACCACCACAACATCATCGGTCGTCCCTCCCGGCTGACTTTTGAGCCGTCCGCACTTTGCACATCGCGCCGACTGAACAACACCTGGGACCCCCCTGTCACGGCTTCCAGTTGACCTCGAGACTTTTCACCAAACAGTCCTCGATACCGCAGATCTTTATCCCATTTCGACTTCGTCCCAGGGACGTACTCCAGGTCTCCTCCTTTCCTCCCAGTGGTCCTGTCAAAAACTGGGCCTCCATCTCTTTTCCCACTCGACTCCCTCGCTCTACACCACGCTACGCACTACCGCGCATCCGCTCCGCTCTCGCTGGCCTACACCACAACAACCTGGTCGTCCCTCTCTCATCCATCTCCTCTCTAGGCTCCTCCTCAGCCTGCCCCCCCGGTTCCAATCTGAACCAGCTTACTACCCTACCTAATCGCCCCCAACCCTGTCCGCCTCGGCCTCTTTCCCACGGGATATTGGCGCTGTCGATCACTCTGAGTCGGAGTCGTCACAGCTGTCTGCAGAGAAGGGGTCTCCACACTCCTCCCATGTCCCGCTGACCACTGTGCAACAAGCTTCATACGACTCTTGCCTGGCCGGCCCAAACGATTGGTCTCAGCTCTCAACTGGTTCAAATAGTCGTGTGTCAGTAGTCCACAGGCACACACTTAAACCTCGCTGATCCCCCAACCTCATCCTGCTCTACTCCCAAGGGATCATCCAGTTCTATCTGATCCGTGTCACGACTTGGCTTTCTACTTTACAATAGTCGTTACACTCATAACTGATCAGCACACGCTATCCCGCCGAACATCTATCTTTTGTTGACGGTCAACCACGTCGTCCCATCTCACCAACACCACCACCTTCACCACTACCACCACCACCACCACCGATCATGACTATGACATTAGATTCTCAGCAGCGATTTGGACCGTTAAACACCTTCGACCACATGTCTTCCTACGCACACTCTTCCACCTCCCCCCAGTTCTCAAACCCATGGGCCAACACCTCGTCGCCGCAAGCTCCCCAGGGCCTGTACGCCGGCCACGGTCTTGGCTCCGGGTTGGGTCTGGAGAGGTCACACACTGCTAGGACTAGCACTAGCAGCAATGCCTCGTCTTTGGGTTCTTACGGACAGATCCCAGTGACGGCAGCTTCAGCAGGTAGTCTCCCCATGGCAGACCCTCTGCCTAGGACGGACTTACTCACTGTTCCCCAAGATATCCTCAGTATCAACCGCATGGCTGCCACTTCGGCTCCTGCCTACGGTGATGCTCCCTACGCAACGGCTGCTTCTCCCGTGAACGGCTCGTATACGGCGTCGCCCACCCCTTACGAGACAATGGGCTACGCTCCCGCTCCCATGCGTTCTACATTCGCGCTCGCCCCGGAACCCGAACACTCTAGGAGATTCTCTCACTCGTCAGTACCCTCAACTTCCCTGGTCGACATCTCGGACCCCAATGTCTTGGCTCGCCCCCATCGCAACTCTATGATTGACTTTAACAACAGAGGACTTCACCATCACGACGAACGACGGAGCTTCGCTGACGCTCTCGACGCAAGCCACGGCATGCTCGCCATGAGCCAGGAGACTCCTCGCAACATCTACGGTGCCCGTAGTGACAGGGGATCGGGTGATTCCTACGGCTTCCCTTCGACGCATTCGACTAGCTCGTCCGTCTCCTCTGCCTCTGGATTCGGCAACTACTACGGTGCCGACTCTGTCAGTGACTACTCCACCGCTGGATCAGACATCGAGTCTGTCACCTCCCGGACCCTCCCTCGGCCACACGGCCTCATGGCACCTCAGATCCCCCCGGCGCCCCAGTCCATGATGGGTCAGTTCAGCTCTAAGGTGTCATCAAGCACGCAGAAGAAGCACAAGTGCAAGGTTTGCGACAAGCGCTTCACTCGCCCTTCGTCCCTTCAGACGCACATGTACAGCCACACTGGCGAGAAGCGTATGTTGTCACCCTACCAAAACACGACGAGGCTTGTCTCGTTCTTCGTTGCAAAAACGCTAACTTTACTGCAGCCTTTGCTTGTGAGGTTGAGGGCTGTGGCCGACACTTCTCTGTTGTCTCGAATCTTCGGAGGCACAAGAAGGTCCACAAGGGCGACGCCCGGTCTGAGGCCGGTTCGGAAGACCACCACTCTGACTAGAGTCCTCACAACTTCGAGCCTTTCCTGCAGGCTCGACTTGTATAACAATTCTGCAACACAGCAGCGAGCAGGACTAGTACGAGATCACGAGTTTCCCCGGTTCGAGTCATGATCAGCATCCCATATCCACTCTCGACACCAACCAGACAATCCTGCACCTTTTATCGAGTGGCTCGACTACGGGATTTTTCATCAAATTATTTTCTTAGACGGTTCGCATTGTTCATCAAGTTTTCATACGATACCATTCTCTACCCTCGTTTAATATCCATCTATCTGCGAGCGAAAGAGACCAAGACAAAAGTCGGGCGGCGGCACAGGAACTGGCGGGGCGGGTTGTCATTTGGTTCATCGTCATAAAGGGTATCCCATGATGGAAATTTTCACCACCATTTTTTCTGTTTATCTTACCTGCGGCACAATATGGAGCTGCAGGTTCCGGAGCGATTGCGAATGCAGCGGCATTGTCGGCGGCTTCCCTACGGCTCAACAAGGCGCTCAAACAAAGGAGGAACGGCCTGTAGGAGGAAGAGGAGGAGAAAGGGGGACATGCGCGAGAATTTCAGTTCACTGTCGATCGCTCAACCCCACACCGCGCAACGCTGCGCACCGGCTCCTCCCTGGGTCGGGGCCAGGTTGGTGATTGGACCAACCACGTTCTGCATTTATTTCTTCGGCTGTCAGATGATCGAAAGAGGAAGAAGATCTCCAAGTGGTCACGGAGGACCTGGCGATACCCTCACCCTCGGCGTTAAACGGAACGGATCTTGGGCTGGTTTTTTTTCTCTCTCTCTTCTGGTTTGCTGACTGATTTCTTCATTTTTGTTGCGCGCTCATCATGTCATTTTCACACGCCCTCTGATTTCATCAAGGTTTTTAGAGATGACGAACGAGAAGAGGTTGATTGCCATCGGTGGTATGCCTCGCGAAAAACTCGACCCAAAAGCTCCTGCGTTCTTGGAAGAACCGGGCAAAGGGCGACCTGTACTACTAGCTTTTCACACGATGATTATACCCATCACACTACAGAATGCCATTGTGCATTTTCTAGTTTGCATCGTCTGGGTACTTGTTTTTTTCTTTCTTTTGGTCTTTGTGCTCTACTACTGCTACGGCTACTACCACACCCAGTGAGTTTGGCGAGCATCGAAGAGAGTAACGGATGGCGACGGCGGCGGCGGCGGGAAAGGACATGGAAGCCAGTTGGGGCGGATTGACTGGGAGAATATCACTGGACAAGGGAAAGCGTACATATTGTCGCCATAGTATAATTAATAGTAGTGCGAATGAAGAATCACAAAAAATGATGCATCAAACAATGCCGCCTCCCCCCGTCTTTGCTGGCCCAGCGCCCTCTCTATCTCTCTCCCTCTGCCCTGCATGGCCGTCCCGTGCCTAATATGACGACAGGTCCTCATCAGCAGCGCAGACAAGATCGGCAGCGCAGGATCGGTGCACCTGGCCCAACCGAACGAAGCTTGCCCGAGCTGCTCTGCTCACTTGGTTGGAAGGACGGCCTCGAGAACATCACTAGACGCGAAGGGAAGGTTCGATCGATTAGTTGCAGATGCTCGAGCATCAGATAGATGGGCGGGAGAGAGGGGGGGGCAAGGGGAGCCACCGCGACCACGGGGCCACACGGCGGACACGGTTCCTCTCTCTCACTCGTGCATCGAGATGGGAAACCCGATAATCTGCATCCTTTCCACGTACCCCGAGATGAAGCGCCATGCCTGCCATCCCATCACCTTATGCATCTCCCCGCAACGAGGGGGGGTTAAGAATGGGATGATGTGGGTGGTTTGGGACTCGGGTGGGAAGTTGGGTGTTCGGCTCTCACCGACTCGCCACCTCCTCCCCCCTCGTGCGCCTTGATCCATTCGGGCAATGATATGTCTGCTCCTGAACATGCGTGTTCCTGAATTGAGGGGGGAACACTGTTTGGTGAGATGGGGTTCCGCTTGAAAACGCGTTGTCTCACCCTATCGCCTCCTCCGAGGCAGGAGCAAAGTCTACCGGCCGGGTACCGCATAGGTGTTACAGCCCAATGAAAGGGATAAGTCTAAAAGTGACGGTCTGCTGTTCCGTCCTGACGAAAGCCGGGAGCGCCATGATTGAATGGTTGGTAGTTGATAGAAAGGGGGCCCCGTCTGGGAAAAAGGGGAAAGAGGCTGCGTCGATCTCCGAGGAGGGGGGGTTGTGCGTGTGTCCATGTGAAAAAGATGGGAGAAGCTGCCGCGTGGTTGGCGATCGGCGCGGGTTGCGTTCGGTACGCGGGGATGCACGCACAAGCAAGCCACTTGGGTGCGCAGCATGCACACACGGATAGGCAAAGATCATCATATCGACCGTGGTTCACAAGTGGTATCTCCCATGAGTGGAAGGGACGGGGGTGAAGGTCCTGGAGAGTGGAGGCTCAAGACGCGACGTTGTTGACGTTTGGCGCTGCTGTCGACGACCAAAGGTCAGCTGGCCCGGACATGCTAGCGGCGACTTCGTTTTGGAACAAGGCGCCGTTGCGGCAACTGAATCGAACGCGGCGACACGGAAGGGCGGCTAAGAGGGGCAAGGGGGGGTGGGTTGACTCGCCCTGATGGAGGCGTTCCGGGGCGGAGATTCGGGGGGGGGAGGCTACGGAACGACGCTAACGGGGTCGAGGAGGAAGGAGCCTGAAGTTACGTAGGATGGTCTGCTGCGTGCGGCGACAATGAGGGGAGACGGGCACTTGTTTACGTAGCTTACGGGGTCTGAAAGACGTTCTATCCAAGATGGCACTAGCCCTTGTTTATTGTGAGGTGACGGATGGCGCCAAAAAAAAAACGGAGGGGATCAGTTTAGTGTAATGCAGGATGTGGTGTAAGACGAGCCGAGAGATGACTAGGTAGAAAGGCAATCTACCATTCTGCCGCAAGGCCGGCACTAAATCGCATCGTATGCCCGTCCGTTGGAGCTAGTGTAGAGGACAAGCCAGCAAGGACAGGAGGCGCAAGGAACGGAAAGGGACTACGAAGAGATTGGAAGAGAGACCGAAGATCGCGCAAACGGTTGGAGATTGCTGCCACTGCAACGCTGGGTGGTGGGGCGGCTGGGGAGGGAGAAAGAGAGAAGAGCACATGGCTCTTGGAGACGGGATGAAGAAGGTGCTACAGATTGAAGAAGATTGGAGACCAGGCCGGCAACTGTCAGGACTGCTTGGGGGGGGCTTGGGAGCGAGAACCTTGGAAGAGGAGCAAGGAAGTAAGGCTCCGATGGGCTGGATGGGTTGGGGATGACGATGTCAGAACCGTAACAAATGGAGACTGCGGACCTCCTCCATGCTGCAACTGGTCGGCAGGCCAAGGCAAAGACTATGCAAGATGAGGCAGAGTTGCTCGAGGAGCGAGGTATCCGTAACCGCGATGGTAAAGAGCTTGAGAAAACTGGGCCGAAACTGACTAAAGCCAAGCTGGCCGGCCACGAGAAACGAGTTGAGCGTGGGTTTGAGAAGAAGTGGAAATCTGGCGCGTGGCAGGAAGGTGCACTGCACCTGCACCTTCATGGCATGGCGCTCAGCATCTGATTGCCTTGCCCCAGCCCCAGCCCCAGCTCCAGCTCGGGATTGTCAACCTCAGCTCCTACCTACTCCAGCGCTGGGCGGGACGAGATACCAAGAGAAAAGTGGATGGCCGTGTTTCAGCAACTTGCCGGACTCTCCACTGTAGCACCCGTCGAGTACCTAGGCAGCGAGCATCTCTTTGCTGGGATTTTCTTTGGCAGGAGTTGACCTCTGATCCTTTCCGGCTCGAGATGCACACAGAAGTCAAGCTCGATCAAGCTTTGTGGTGGACTGAGTGCGAATGATTGGACGACAGCGCCTTGGTGGGGGCAACTTCGGGGATGAACACCCACCATGCTAAAGTCTGAACTGTGGACTGAGAGGAGCCGATTCGTGCTTGGTGCCTCGGGCTTTGGGCAGGCAATGCGTCGGTCAAGTTCAGTGTCCGTCAGCAGCCAAGGCGTACACACGCACATAGATAGGTACTCGCCCACAACCACATCATTCGGAAGACGTCTGGTTCGGGGTCGAGACGGTCGGTCAGCTGCGAGGACTTGCTACCTACCTTGCCCATCTACGCAGTAGTCACTGCCTCTGTGCGATAAGAGAGCCACCCCACTGGGCATCCTCAATTCGTTCCTCCGGGAGCATGGCGAGGTTACATCTGGCACCAATAGGGCGCCAGATGCAGCGTGCCCAAAATGGCCAAAAGAACAGAGATCCGGGGTTCGACCGACAAAGCCGCTCGCGATGCACCCGATTCGATGCAATGGGTGTAAATCTGTGACTTTTCCTACTTCTCGTGGCCCATGCCATCCCTGGCCTGCATGCCCATGCTGGAAAGCAGCCGTTGAAGGGCAACACATGAGGCGGCAAGACGAGGCGAATGAATACTCGTCAAGGTTGTCGAGCGACTGAAGACCCGCCAGGTACCAAACCTCGTTGTTATTCTTTGAGCGGAAGAATGGCGTGGCGTGGCAAAACGCAAGATTCAGCATAATGGGCTTCTTGCCCCGGATCACGAGAACGAGGCCGTCCCAATCGTGTTGTTGCGAGAACGGCGCCGTTGGCACTGCTAGACGGATGTTGTACGCACATGGAATGCCAAGTCAGCGTCCAACATTTTGTTGCTGTTCAACAATGCTAACCATGACTGCTGAAAGCGAGGCCGGCTGTGAGCGAGTAAGAGACGGTAACATCTTGGCGTTGGATCTTGATACCGCCGTGGCCTATTCGAGGAGATCGCACAAAATTCACGGAGGTTCCGCCCGTCTAACGAGTTAGTGCGGGCACGCCGTCCTGGAAGCACAGCGGGCGCGCCAACGCCAACGCCAACGCCGACACAGCATGAAAAGCCACCCAGGCGTATACATGCCCGTGGCCCGTTGCGGGATTGCGAAGGAGGGTTTGCCAAAAGTTCTGACCGCACCATGATGGCGCACGGGACAGACAGCTATCAGGAAGCAGAACAGGCTTGTAAGCGCCTCTGCTGGTATCAACGTCATTGCAGGAGGGGACCGGGCTTTGCTTCTTCTTCATGTTGTGTGCGGTGATTGAAGTCGTGCGTCCTGATTGGCAGCGGCTGTCAAGTCGCATGCAGTGAGTGGGTGGATTGGTTGATTAGTGTGCCCATGTGTGTGTGTGTGTGTGACCTCTAGGTACCTACCTAGTCGAGTCAAGTTCAAAGTTGCTTTGGAGTGCATCGGTACGGCACCGTACCGCAGCGGCGCCCGCGGCGGTTCATTTGGCGGCCGGGGAATGTCGCGGAGGCGCCTGAGTGTGGGAGGGTCGAAAACAGCCAACAAGCGGTTGCGCTAGTACCGCTAGCTGCACGCAGCCCCAGCGTTGGATTGGAGAAAGGCAGACGCCTCTCGAGATGTGATCTTCAGGGTCCTTGTGCTTCCCTAAGCAGAATGCTAGGGATCGAACGCCCACCCTGGACTTTTTTTTTGTTTTTGTTTTTTGTGATGGGGACTGGCAGAAGTGGGTGGTGGAGGACTACCTAGGACTGGTGGCAACAGCAGTCTGTGCTAACGCTTCTGTCGGTGGCCGGTTCGAGGCAATGACAATACGTGATTGGAAGCCAATGCGATGCCGTTGCTGTCTCGATGGTACTATATGTCTCTTTTTGGTCTTGTCCCTTTTTCGCCACAAGTCGGGATGCAAGACCTGAATGGCTTCGGCGGAGGAGGGTGTGAGTAGGCAAGGGTCATTGGAGGGGAATGGGGGTTGGAGGGTTTGGCATGTTGTCACTCGCCTTCATCCACGACTCCTCATCATCCTCTTAGAAGGTGTCGCTGCCCTGCGGGTTCGGAGCAGACACTGCCATTGCCGTAGTGTGGTCTCCCAGAACACCATGGTACTTTGGTAACATGCGTGGTGTCCTGGTGGCAGGGAGTCCCCATCTCGGTGACTGCATAGGCACATCACCAGCTCCTCTCCCATCTCCGATGCAAGTCATCGTCACTTTCCAAACACACCGCCAATTCGTCAAGACGAAGGAGCAAATGCGGATATGGGCAGAAAGGGTGAGTGTGTGCACTGAGAGTTGAGGGTGGTAGCGAATGATGCAGTGGGCTCCTTACACCCCAATCGGCAGGCACGCCCGGCTGGTAATGCGCGCAAGTACTGCGGTACGTACTGCAAAGAGCGTAGTGTAGGCACAACTGTTGGAAAGTGAGGAGGATGTGGAGAGATGTGGAGGGAGTGTCGTGGTTCGTCGTTGGAATTAACAAACTGATCTCGGTGACGTCGGTGGCTGCAGGGATGGGGCAAAGCGGGGATAAACATCCAGCGGTATTCCCAGTCTCAGCCGACACCCGCGAACGTCATTGTGCCACGGCCGCATCCGGGTCCGGCACGTCTGACTGGTCAACGGTGCGGCACCTGCCCCCCAGACAGATTGCCCGAGCTCTGATTCGTTGGTGAGGGCGTGTGACTCTGAACATGTCGCCGATACTTTCATGTTACAATCACGCCACTCCCGGCTAAAGAGTCGCCGCCTTAGGCTGCATCGCATCGAGTACTGTGCTGCATGAGGGGGAGGGCAGCCAGGCTAGGTATGTACTGGGTACGTAGGATGGTGCAGTGCCGTGTAAAGAATTGGGTCAGAGATCCCAGGGCAGTGCTCTCCAGCTTTTCTTACCTGATGGGTATGTCACTGAGAAATGTCGCAGGACAGAGGATGTCAGCAACGCAATTCATTCCGCCCGCCCCAGGGCCCCTTAGGGCCCTGCCAAACACAGTAGGCCTCACAGTTGACTCCACTCCCCCGAAAACCCCATCGGCAACAACAAAGTACGGCGCAGACAAATCCTACTTACCCGAAGTTTCACGTTCCCTGTTGCTGCATCTCATCTCATCTCATAAAATAAAACGAGCAAAGGGACAAGCAAAACGACATGTAATGCCGCGTTTTTCGGTTTCTATTTTTCGCATCTCCCTCCACCCATCTCATTTTCTGTACCCACCCTTCTCGAAACGCAAGATCTGCCGCAGGCCCGCCATCCAATTGCTTGCTGCCATGTCCTATCCGGCACTCTCCTTCCAGTGTCTCGTCGACGGGCCACAGTCATGTCCGTGTCTCTCCGCAGCCCGCGTCTCCGTCGCCTCGCATTTTCTTGGGATGAAAAGTCTGTGGGAATTAGGGGTAAGGCATGTTCCCAGAATATGCTTTGTAGTTTAGCTGCACACCACTACCTGCGACAGGGGATATCTTGCCCAACTCGCCTCCAACAACCACGTACCTACGTCCATGGCACCAATATCGCCCTTCCACCAAAGAGGCGCGCAACGTCTTGCCTGTTATGGGCTACCGGCACTAGCCCCCATGCCCTCCGTACCATCCAGAAGACGAACGAGCGACGTATCCGTAGGTATGCCGCACCACACCAGCACACCCTCCGGCGGAACCAAAACATGGCATTTTCGTAGATGTCCATGTTTTAGCGCTGGGAAATACCATCGTCACCTTTGAGTCGTCGCGCGAGCCTACGGAACGAGCTCCAGCCGAGTTGCACTGCCCGCTCCTCTCATTCCGGATTTTTACACTTACCCCCTCGTCCTCCTTGCCTTCCTGACACTACACTATGCTACCTATGTAGATGCTTCAAGGCAACAACGGAACGATGCGACCACTCCCTCCGCCTTCCCCTACCTACCCTCGACTCGAACAACCCGAGTGAAGTTCCAGCCTTGCCCTGATTGGCCAACTCAGGCCTGCGATTCAAGGCGCCGACTCCTCTTCCCCGAGTCAAACACGCTACAGACAAGTGACTGACTGACTGACCTACTGCCCTCTGCAGCCTGCCGTCCCGCTGGCTGGTGGGTGCTGTACGCCCTGAACCCTCACCGGCCTTCTCTCCCAGCACAGGAGCCATCCCGTCCTCCACCACTCAATTGCATCAGATAACACAACATCCCAGCACCAGACGGAGCATCCATGATCCCAAACCAGCCTCACTCGGGCCACCACACCACGCCTTCGTCCCTGGCCTGTGATCGCGGTCCCAAACCAATGCACTGCATCCCTACGCCATAGACCGCATAATACGGACCACCTTGTGTTAACTGCATCAGGCTGCTGCATCTCGCTCGTCGACTAGTGTACTAGCCTTCGTCTCCAGATATCCGTACAGCGCAGTACATACCTATGAACCGAGCATTGAATACTGCTCACAAACGAAGGCCGAAGCACAGCATCCTTGGTCACCACCATGTACTGTCAGATGTCATCCTTCATCCTGTACGAGACAAGGCAGGGCTTTTTTTTTCTTCCCCTTCCAAAACTGCCCGCCGGACCCCGTCCTGCCCAATCGCTGTGCTAGAGCATCTGAGGGAACAGCCTTCCGCCCCCGGTCCTTGTCAGGCCCTCACCCCCTTCGCGGCGCCGGCCCCTTCACCGCTCAAATCAGACAACGGCCCCGTAACCGGCGCTGCGCAAGCGGACGGGGAACAGGCCATCAAGGTTCGCGTTCTGCCTTGCTACGGAACGGTACCGTCTCCATTGCTGCGCTGCGCTGCGTCCACTGCTCACGCCTTCCATGACCATGCCGGCTCGCAGGGCCCTGTGCGACATTTTCTGACAGTCGCTGGCCTTGTTTCTTGATCGATTCAACTTTTTGCCACCGAGATGGACCAGTCAACGAACCGAGGCAACCACCCCCATCGCTATCGTGCTTCAACCACGGCCAACCACCCGCCTGTATCGCCTCAACTTGAGGCAATTGGCACTGCATCGTGCCGGGGCGGCAGAGGGGCCCCGAGGTCCTCTCCGAGATGAGAGCAATATAGCCTTGACGACGGAGGAGGGCCCGATCGGGAGGCCTGCAGCCTGATTTTGCGTCTGCGTGAAGGGTCCGATGCATCAAGCTAGCGACACCCGCTACCTAGGCCATAGGCCATGGAAAGTTGGGCACCAAAAACAACAAGGCCTTGTTTTTCGGGCGGCAGGCGATGAACTCCACGATCATGATCAGGGTCGTCACTCGCGCGTTGCGTGGTAGTTTAGGTTCGCCGTCCATGTAAGTGGCACCAAGAGCACCAAAGCCGGAGCGTCCCGCTGGAGCATCTGTAGCCCTGGCCTGGCCGCGGAGTACCGTGATCTGTGCCTCACAGAGGCAGAGAAATGCACGCCCACAAGACAGCATCACGTTGTAGGCGCTGTCCTAAAGCTGTTCGAGGACAGCCATCTGAGCCAGACAGCCAGCCCGGCGATGTGAACTGAGTCTGCCACCTCCTCGCATCTTCCTTGTCTTCTCTCCACTACCAAGAGACGGTGCTTTGAGAGATGAAGTCTGTCGAACTGGGCCGCCTCGTGAGGTTTCCCAGTGTGAGACATGAAGCTGAAGCCACTCTTTCTTCGGACATCGTGGCTACATGGCGATCGACCGGACGTAGCTTGGCACAGTGTCTCACCAGCGTGCGCGGCGCCCCCTCTTGACATCTCAACGCCTAGTGACATGCCGATAGCAGTTGTAGATGAGGCTATGCCGTGAACGTCCAACACCCGTTGTTCTCTGCCCTGGCTCCTAGCCTCCTCGCCCGCGATCCCCCCCCCGATGAGACACGGCGGCGTGCGAGATCTCTCCACCTCTGCCATGGCTGCGCTTGGCATAGCGCAACGTCTTGCGGTCCGGTGTGTGTACGATTGCCCGATACCCAAAGCATCGCTTCCGGCCGCGATCTCCGGGGGGTTCAAGCTTCAGCCCACCCCAGACCTGGCATTCGCACCGACGCCTCTCCCCTCCAATACCAGGCTTGAGAGGCTGGAGGAGGGGGCGGTCGAACGACACCGAAACCCCCTCCCCATCACCAAAAGTCAGAAAGCACCAGGACCTGGCTGGGAGGGGGGCGGCAACGAGGCCTACTAACTACACTGGAGGCGAAGGCTCGCAGGCTTGCTCGAGTTCCATGCGGACCCAAGGACCGTGGGGCCTCGAGGTACGGGCCCTTCCCGTTCGCGTAGTTAAACCTGCCCTTGTTTGGGAGCGCAGGTGCTTTCGATCTGCCTGTAAATAAAATCTATGGAGTTTCCCATTCACCCATCCGGGAGGGCGACGGGGCTACAGAGGACGAGGTGTCGAAGAAGAGAAAAAAGGGGCATCGGAGATGGTGGCGTTCTGAACCCGCACCCCGAACGCAAGCAGACACAAACAACGTGATGATGACGGTGTTGGCGATGACCTCAAACGTCGTACAGGCACGTAGGGCAAGACAAGGGGGGAGGGGGGAGGGGTCTATCCGGCTGAGACATTCTCAGGGGAGGGAAACGGGTGCACACATATACCTACATACTACGTGATATGCAGGGAGAACAGGGAACGATTTGGCAAGATCACGATGGGACTGCAAACGAAGGAACATTAGTTTGATTTAGCGTTCTTTTCAATTCTTGAATATTAAGCTACGTCTGGCGTTGTCTCGCCGTGAACCTCCTGCTAATGTCTTCGAAGCTGGGTAGAAAACAACCCCAGCAGAGACTGTTTGACTGAAAAAGATACTTTCCTTTCCACCGCTCGTCTTTGACTCCATCATCCTCCAAGTCCGGAAAGTGTTCTTCTTCTCCTTTCTGGAAAACTCCTGTCCTGTCTCGATACGAGACCAAAAGATAAGGTCTGAAAAAAAACGAAAAAGAAAGAAGCGGTGCGTAATGATTGATTGGGTGTTGAGGTGTTTAGTTGTTTTGAGGATTGTGTATGCGCGACCAGTCCACTAACGAACGAGCGCTGTGTCGACTTGTAGTGTACAAGTTCCGGGCGAGGAACCATTGCTGATTTGTGACCGAGAAGGGAAAACGGCTTGACGCACGTGATGGTATAACTAAACATGTAGACATTAAACAAAGGTCGTAAGGGTCGTGAAGAATCAAAAGCAATGAGAACAAGGCGGCCCACGAGGCTCTCGTTAGATCGCATGGCGAACCATATCGATCAGTCGTAACTGGGTGAGGAAATCACCGAGAGTTGTGTTTCTGTGGGAGGTGTCGAGTGCCGCCATCGTTCGTCTTGGGTATGGGCAGCTGATTCTATGACTCCACTGGTCAAAGATATCGAATCGCGATTGTATCCTTTTCCCACGCCATGCCTATCCAAACGCCGGAAAGTAAAACCCTGGTATAGAACAGAGACCGGAACCGGAACAAGCTTCACAGTCGTTAGACCGTCGGTGCGCCAGGCCGGCCCTTGCCAAGTGACTCAAAGAGCTCGTGAGGTGGAATTTTCTTCATACCACCGCCGCGGTCGTACATTGACGTCGGGGCTGGCGAGTAACCTTCGCGCTTCTTGCGCAGACGATCGAGAGCCATGCCAGCGATGACCAGGAGGAATATGAGGGCGAGCGAGATACCGAGACCTATAAGAACGACGAATCCGAGAGCCAAGTGACTAGCTGTTTAGGTGTTAGCATGTGACCTGAAATGAAAGGGGTTCATAGCATACCATTGTCGGAGAAGAAGTCCTCGTTCTCGGTGAAGATCTTTGAGATCGATCCGGCAGTGTTGCCGCTGTTGATTGTGAGGGCGTACGGTTGGAAGGTCGTGCCGTTGAAGATGGCAGCTGAAGCTGTGCCAAAACCGGGAATGTTGAGGGACCCCGTCATCATCAAGACTTGGTTGGAATTCAGTATGTCGGTATTGTCGTGAGATGTGGTCAGAGAGAAGACTTGGAGGCTGTTTACAACGGTGCCGGGAAGGAGAGTGACTCCCGCCGAGTGCCAGGCGGAGCCATCGTACTTCATCAGGTAAATGGAGCCGTTGGATGCGGTTCCAGAAGCCCACAGTTGACTGCGATCGCTCGATCCAGCCGTCAGGACCTCAACAGGACCCGGCAAAGTATCTTCTCCAGGGTAGGCGGACCATGCTTGACGCTCAGGACTGTACATCGCAAGCATTGTCGGGTAGGTGCTGTTGAGAGTGAAGTTACCACCGGCAACAAGCTGGCTCTTACTTGTCCAGATAAGCGTATGACCGGTCCCCTCAAGGTTGACACCAGGACGGTTCCAGCCTGCGAGGGATGTGTCATAGTAACAGACACCCGGACAGCCAAGCGCGCCAGCTGCATTGAATGAGCCAGCAACGTAAACATCACCAGAATCAGGGCGGACCTCAATAGAGGTAACGGTTGCGTTACCGCCGCTCATGGCGGGCGGCTGAGTGCTGTTCAAAGCACCACTTTCAAGGTTGAGAGAGATGATGCCTCGCACGTCGTTGTTATTGACACGGCCACGGACGTTGCCGCCGGCGAAGAGCAGATCCCCTGTGATGGCGAGTGCAATGAAGGTTGAGTTGTCCTCAATCTGGGAGTCAAGGCCAGTAATCGCGTTTGATTTGGATCCATCAATGAGCACCAAGTTATTGACGGAAGTACCGTTCGTGCCTTCGGCCGTGAAGTGGCCGCCGAGAATGGTAATGTTGCGATTATTGTTGTTGTAGAAAGCACCAGTGACCACGCCCGTAACGTTGCCACTTGAGACCGAGTCGCGTTTGCTGATTGTGCCAGAACTCGTGGAAGAGGGCTTGATCTTGATAGGGAACTGGCCAAACTTTTCAGCCAGTGTGACTGCTCCATTGGCGCTGATGGTGGCTGAAGTCATGGATCCTGCGTAAAGAGATCCTCCATGTGGAAGGTTGGAGATACCAGTCGTCAAGATGCCACTGAAGGCGGGGACAGGGCCCGAGAGGTTCTGCAACCAGTTCTTCTGAGACGGAACCCAGACAGCGAACCCAGAGACGGGGATAGCCGCGTTGTCGCCAAACGCATTGATCTCGCTAAAGTCACCGGTGAAGGTGACGACAAACTCGGGCTCGTTCTCATTCGTAATGTTGACGAACATCGGGACCACGTGGGAGACCTCGCCGTTGACGCCGGAGCCAAGTGCAGTCCAGGTATTAGCGGAGGTGTCGTAAACACCTACGTTGTTGAGACCTGCAACTGCGTTGTCCTGGGTGTTTGAGAAGACACCGCCGACATAGAGTTGAGTGCCATTGAGCTTCATGGCCTTGACTTCACCGTTGAGGCCGCCATCCAGCGCCATGGTGGCCTCATTTGCAGTGTTAATGCCGATGACGTTGCGAGCAGAGGAAGACGTGAAGTTGCCCCCAACAATGACCAGATCACCAGCAGTTACCAGGCTAGTAACCGCAGATCCAGAGGCGAATGATGACCCGAGCTGGTTGATCTTGGAGCTCTTAAAGTCCGTGTTCAGAGTAGCCATGGAAGGATCAAAGTCGAAAAGGCCGTTGAGTCCTCCAGTAGAGTTGATAAGAGTAAACCCAACGCGTTGGGCAACAATGGTCATTTCATTGAGGGTCTGGCCAGCCAACGGGGTAAGAGTAACGCTCGGCCGGAAGCCATCTGCGGAGCTTGCTTCGATATATCCGAAGTAAATCTGATCGTACTTATCGAAGTTGTTTGTCTGGTAGAGCGACGTCGTAAACTTATCATTGCCAGTGGATGACATGATGCCTGTGACGTTCACCTGTCCTCGGGTCAAGCACGTGCCGTCCTGTAGGCAGCCTGGCGTGTATAGGTTGACGGAGTAATTGCCAGACTCCTTGAGGTCGGGAAGGAAAGTGACCGAAGCGGAGTCCGCGGTAATGCTGCCGGAGAGCTTCGCAGTCAGATACTCGGAGCTGCTCTGCAGCGAGGGGGAAGTCGTCCACGGCCCGGTGGCAGTGGCAGACGACTTGGTATCACTATCGGAGCAAGCTGGGGCGTTGAAGTCATTGATGGCATAAGAGTTGATATCATCCTCGAACAGCTGAATGCCATTCAGCCCACCGCCCGATCCGTAGAACTCAGAAATATCGATTCTGAATGAATTCATGCCGACGAGATTGACAAAGTGGAAATCCTGGAACTTGATGCTGGTGTTGCTGCTGAGAGGGCACTCACTTGTGCAGGAGGCGTTTTGTCCCGTAGCTGGGTCCAGGTACGTCATGTTGAGAATACCTCCAAGAGGGAGGGCGGTGAAGCGGAACGTCTTGGTTCCTCGGCCATCCTGGTGGGTGTTCCAGAGTCTGAGCTTCGTAGGCTGGAAGCCGAAGCCGAATGTGGCTTGCCAAAAACCCGCCGAGTTGTCGCGCAGCAGCCAAGTGTTGCCCGAGCCATCAACTCCGTCCGTCTTGCAGATGATGTTGCGGGGATCGCTGAAGCCAGACGTAGAAGTGCTCGAGGCCGAAGTAATGTTGGCGCTCGACAGGTTAATGATCTGGCCATCCGGAGTGCTGGGGGTGCTGGTGTTGCCGAGGCCAGTGAAACTGCCACCAAAGACAATGTGGCCGTTAGAAGCCTTAGTGATGGACGAAACAGGGCCGTTGAACCCAGCAAAAGGAAGGTTAGTCCAGCCATCCGTGCCATACCAGGCAATCGCGTTGGTCGAGTTGGCGCTCCGGAAGTTACCTCCAACATAGACTGTATTCGCCTCTTGGTCGCAGAGCAGGGCATTAACCTGGCCTGAAAGACCAGCCAGAGGCGTGATTTCGGATGTGTTGGGGTTGAACAAGGCAATGCCTTGTGACTGAATGCCATCCAAGCTCGTGAAATTACCGCCGATTACCACTCCCTGCATCGTTCCATTTTCGAGCGTAAATGTGCACATGTCGTGAATAGAAGCATCGGTTGATATGACCGACGCAAAGGCGCCATTGGGCAGCTGGGCAAGCAAGGATTCGCTTCCATTGGTGTTGTACGGCCTCTCGTTCTGTTCCTCAAACTGATAGAGGGAAATGCCGTTGAAATCACCCGCCACACCAATTCTGCCAAGCTGGGAGAGGTCAAGGTTCACATCGGGGACCGGGGTGAACTGGATCGCAGTTGCCAAAGCGGGCGCCAGAGCTGCGAATGCCAGGAAATTTGACCGCTGATGGCGGCGGCGCGCCGAAGGGCGCCTGTTGAGAGTTAAACGCATCGCTATTGATGTTCAGTCGAGAGAAGGATCGGCTGGGTTGTGTGAATGCTGGGTACCGAAGCTTTTGAATCGGGGGTTTTTGAAGATTTTAAATCGGATCGGGTATCGCGTCGCATTTGCAAAAGAAGTCTATTTTTGGGCGCTGGCCATGGCAATAATACTCTGTTCTGTATCGTTTGGTCGGTCGGCAGGTTCGGGAGGCGCGTCAAAAATTCGGTGGTGCGAAATTGAACGGAAGAGAGAGTAGTCGAGTCGAATCGGAAGGTGAGAATTTGGGCGTAGTAATCGCGGGGGGTTAAACGAGTGTCTGGTGTTGGGAAAAAACAGAGAAAAAAGAAAAAGAGGCTGATTCGTCGCCCAGTTCTACGGTCGAAGAAAGTAATGTTAGAACTGAGCTGCAGCCATTTGATGGCGACGACGATGACGAAGGAGAGAGAGAGAGAAAGAAAGAGAGAGGAGTGAAGCCAGGCTGCTGTTCTCCCCCCTGCTCTTTGTCTGCCCAGTGTTTTGTTGTTTGTTGGTGGAGAGGAAGGAGAGAGGCTGAGCCGCCAGGCGAGATGGAGCTGGAATGGAAGGTGCGGGCCCACATGTACCTGGCCGTACCTGCGCCAGGGAAATTGGTGGTAGAGGTTTAGGTTGCACTTACCTCCTATTAAAGCACTGACACTTTTTTTTGGCGGTGCGGCCCCGGCTGCACGGCTGTATTGCACGGCTACTGATTGTGCTCGGATGGGTTCGGCAAACCGATTAAGTTGGCGTGGACAGATTCGATGGAAGTAAGTCTTGAGAACTGAGATGAGCCGGATTATTGACAAGAGTTTTAATGGACCGGGGGTTTTTTTTTTTTTTGGTCGGGATCGGTTTGATGTCTCGGCGAAGCAGAAAAGCGGTCGGAAGCGAGAAAAAAGCAAGAAAATGAACGACTGTAGGGCAAGGTGATGAATGAGTGAGTGATTGAGATGAGCGAATGAGGGACTATGCTTCGGTGTGGATTCCGAGTGGTGAAAAGAGTCGCACGTAGAGAGCTTCAAGTCGTCCTTGGGCTCGAAAATGAGTGTATCGCGTCGTCGATCTGGGTTGATGCGTGTGCAGACGCAAACCGTGGCGTGTCGTCGTAATGTTTCGGCGTGGTGTCGCCTCTTGCCGTGACACGAGGTGTCTGAGTGCGAGTTTGGTTTGGAAAGGTATCAGGAGGAGAGGGCGATCGTTGAGAAGCCGGTGACGCCACAGAAAGGACTACCTAGACTTTTGGTCCAACGTTGACCAATGAATGTTATCGAGACGGACGACCAGCGCTGTCCACAATCTCAGACTTCCGAGCGGCGCAGGTCGTTGCACTAGATTTCCTCCCCCCTGGATTCAATGGCACTAAATGTCGGCTGAACCGTTCTGGCGTACGATTCCGTTCTTTCTTACTTTGGCGTTCCTTTTGCCTTTCTTCAGAGGAGGGCTCGGTGTCGTACGGTGTGACTACAATCTACCGGTCGGTGTCTTGCCTTTTCTTTCTCGCTGGACCTCGTCGCGTGCTCCAAGGTTATGGCCGAGCGTTAGAATGAAGGATCGACTGGATGACGAAACGGCCCAGGTAGGGCGTCTAACGACAATCGAAGAGAAAGGAGCCACGAGCCACGATGACCGTGAGGGCGGCTGGCTGTCAATGGAAGAATGTCAGACAAGCGTCCTAATCGCCGATCGCTAAGGCCCCGATCGGGGGTTGATTCGGCAGAGCCACACCAGCCAGCGATAAGAGTCAATCTATAGCTTTCGTCCTCGAACCTACCCGTGAATTTAAGATTTGGAAATGAGCGACAAGAGACGTTCCGCGGTGGGAATCTCGGGGAGAATGGGGTCGTGAGGTGCAAACGTCGAAAAGAGAGAAAGAGGAGCAAGCATAGGAGAAGAAAGTGCCTCGGTCACAGTCTGCCCCCCTTCTAGCTCTGGGGTCTCTCGAGCGCTGCAGTTGACAGGGGTCAATATCGAAAGATGCCGGGGTGTTCGGCGTCGTGGGCGACGCGTCGTACATAGTAGTTTTCCCGCGGAACAAAAAAAAGGTACAATAAAGCTGGATTTAGCAAGACGTGCCTGGCAAAACCCCGCCCTCACAAACACCAAACACTGCGAGGCGCAATCAACCTTTTTTGTTAACCTCGTCAAGAAGCGAAACAGAGCTACGGACACGGGCGAAAGCCATCAATCAGCCTTTCCAAGGCCATGGTTCGGGTAGACGTTGAAAGGGAGGTTGTTCCTTCGGCCGCTCTAGCATCTGTTTTCCAGCCACCCTATTCGGGATCTGGGGCATAATTGACGGCTACCGCCCATGATCTAGGCCCCGGCGCACGTTCTTCCTGCAGCAGCTACGCCCAATACAGGGTGCCAGAGTCCGGATGACGGACGGTTGGTGGGGACGCGACGGAAGCCATCAGGGCCATTCAGGAGAAGACCCAATCGAGGGCGACTGACTGGAGCAGATGTCTCTGGTGTCAGTTCCCACTTCGTCAGTGGTGCTACATAATAAAGTGCTTCAATGCGATGAAGCGCCCTGACTGGCCCATCTAAAGTTGCACTTGCACTAGCGTCAGGTACGGGCTCGTACCAGTCCCCCCCTTTCAATCATTTAGTTGCCTCCGTGTCAATCGTCCTTTACGCCGGCCATTTTCTGCATATCGCTACACACTGCTATCCAGTTGTTGCGATGACAGCCTCGAGGGCTTTGTCGTCTGGGTTTTCCATTTTCGCACTTGTCCGTCGGGCGTCGCAAGGGGCACCATGCGACAGTTAAGGGGTCTGTACCCTTTTTTGGGTGACGGCATATCTCAAGGTTTGGGGGATTGCCCTGGAGCCGCTGGAAGAGTTCTGGCTCTTGTCGTCCGGCACTTTATTCGCGATGAGGGTGTGCCGGGGTATTCTGGCGTCGCGGCATGGATCAAGCCTCGGTCTCGCATCAGTTTGCTGTGTCGTCCGTGTTGGTGAGGGGCTTGCGGCGCTCCGACTTCAAACTTATTTGGTATCACTGTGCATCCTTGGTGGGGGATATCCCGGTTCATAACGACGTCGTTTCCGCCAGTCGACTCGGTCCTGCTGCACAGCCATACATAGGAACCACCACATTGGACATTGTTCACGATGCATCAGTTGGCTCACCTTCGTCCTAGGATGTGGCAGGGCACCAGCGCCATCTCATGAACGCGATCGAGAACCACTGGGGCTCTTTTGAGCAATTATCGGCTGAGCACCATCAGACGGAGGACAAGGGCAGAGTTCCGAACCCAGTCCCGAGGTGCAACACGCGCGGGAGGCGGATTGTCCCTACGCGTTCGCCCACTTTATAGGGTCCTTTAAGGTACTCGAAGCACAAGATGCAGTGCAGAAATACATGCACAACAAATCAAGTAATCCTACGACTCGCCACGCAAACGAAACAACCCAAATTTATCCCTACCAATCTCACCTTATGCGACTTTACCAACAGTAACCGGAGGAGCAATGGACCCTCTTGTAAAAACCCACCCTTTACAGGCGGGAGCCTACCACGGATACGTACTACTGTTCGTCCAGAAAGGATCGGATGTCAGCTCTGGCATGTCTCAACATTGGACGGAATGCAGAGCCTCCTCTTTGATTAAACTTGACTCGCACGTCTCTGCTTGTCCTCAGTCTGTCACCTTATCTTATGCCCCATGAGGACTCACATGTACATCCTCGCTTACGCCATTGATTATGCAGCGCATCGTGCCAACACGGATGTGCCTTTGAGCGCAGGAACCCCTCCCATCGATGTCTGTAATCGAGTGGAGACGTCGATCCGGCACAGTAACCAGCCGTGGCGATTGGCGCTTGGTTGATGCACCACCGTTCAACAACATGATCACCCCGTATGTCCGCGGGACGCACTTCACTTGCTAGAGAGTTTCTTCAGCCCCGTCTCATCCACCTGGTCTGAAAGGGCCCGTCCGCACCCATGGTTCGTCTGATTGGGTCGCCTGACAATGCTCCTGGCTTTCTAACCGCCAAGACTCCTTGGGTTCTCACAAAGGAATACATCTCCCAGAGCGTGGTCATAAATCTTTATCCTTTTCTAACAACAAAATGCCCCTCGACTAGTTACTAAGACTAGCCTGGGGAACGCGTCGGCTTGAATCGCTTGTACTGATCAGACACCTGTCTACGATGACTGTAGCTTCCCGGTTGCTGCTCAACCAGCGGCTTCCACGAGTGACGTGGATGCCGCGACACGCATCAAAAGTCCGAGTCCAATTACGCTCCCTGGACCTTGAAAGTCCGGCCACTTGCCGTCTTGCGCTCCTTCTCCTCGCTGTCTGGACGCGCGCGGCGAAGAACTTCAATGTGTCAGCCGAAGGCGTTGGTCGAGAGTCAAACGGTTTCTTCTCACCTTGAAGGAAATCTGCTGTGCGCTTGCGCATACGCGAGTGGATGTATGCCTTGGATGCCTTGATGTGGTAGTGGAAGTAGTCTCGGAAGGTTTGGATGTGAGAGATGACGTCGGGCATTCTCTGGGGAGTAAGATGGCGCGGGAAGAGAACTGCGTAACGAGGTTAGAATAATGGCGCCACAATTAAAGCATATAGGCCACCTACCAAAGGTAACGTATCCGATCTCGCCCGTTCCAGTGTCTCTAACTCCCGGAACTCCCTGCAGCTCCAGTGGAGGATCATTCCTGAAGAGCACTTGGGGGGCGTTCTGAATAGCCCGCCGACGGGCATCAACAAATTCTTGGATAAAGATCTTGCCAAAAACGCGGTCGGTCTCCTCGCGGAAGATGGTGCTAAAGATAACGGTAACACGGTCGTGACTGGCCTTGACGTAAATGGCCTCCTCCTCGCGATAGTGAATTGCCATGACTTCGCCGCCCTCGCGCACACCCTGGGGAGCCTCCTCGGAAGTGTATTTGGATGCCTCCTCCTTCAACTTGTAGTGCTCCTCGTACGCGGCCTCGAAAGGAGCAGCCATGGCGTTACGCTTCAGCAATGCCATCTTCATAATCAGTGCTTCCCGTTCGTCTGTACATCTTGTCAGCCCTTGCAGCATCGCTGGTCGCAACGGAACTGACCCTTGTCCTCGGGAAGGTTCTCAAGATCGATCAGGACCGAAAAGTCGTAGCCGGGCTCCGGCGGTACCACGTATTGGCCATATTCTCTCTGCAGCACCTGCTCCGCGCCGTACTTCACCAGGTCCTTGTAGCATCTTATTTGAATGGAAAGCTGGATCTTGGTCTTCGTCTCAGGGGTCGAGATGTGGTAAATGACGCCGTCGAAGTCGGAGACGGTCTGGTCGATGTGAGCGGGAGGGGCACTGCCTTGGAAGTTAGCAAGCTCACGAGCATTGGCAACGGGAAATCATTTGACGCACCCGGAGAACCTCTCAGTCAACACCGACTGGATAAGGACGTTCTGGTAGTCTAGGAGAAGCATGTTGTCTATGGCCAATTGCCCGTGTGTCTCCTGTGATGTTGTTGCGTCGTTGGTTGCTGATGATGCCTCGTGGTGGGGCCTGACGTGGAGGTCAGTGTCGCTGTCGGAGCTCGGTGGCTGTGATGCTCATGCGGGACCAGGAGGCCGGATATACTTCGGGTGCACATGCCCCACTCCTCTGCCGCTTCTTATCGATAAGAGGGAAACTTTTTTGGAACGAAGGTGGGAGGTTCGAGATTTTGAAGATTGGCACTCACCAGTCGCATTTGACAAAAGACTGCTGGTACTAGAAAATCCGCAAAAATGGTCAAGTCATACTTGTGAGTTAATCTAAGTACACATATGTTGCCTGTTTTCCTAACATCGCTTTTCGTACAGAAAGTATGAGCACAGCAAGTCCTTCGGCATTGTCGCATCCAACACATCGAATCTCGTCTGGACCCCCAAGGCAGAGCTGGCAATGGCGCCGGCCAGGCAATCGTAGCCGCGAACGAGGATGTTTTGTGTTGGGACATCAAGAAGGGCGAGCTTTTGAGCAGGTGGCGCGACGAGAGAAACACTGTGCCTGTCACCGCGATCGCGCAGAGCAAGGTCGACCAAGATGTGTTCGCGGTCGGATACGAGGACGGAAGCATTCGCTTGTGGGACAGCAAGATCGCGACGGTTATTGTCAACTTCAACGGACACAAGTCGGCCATTACGACACTGGCATTCGACAAATCCGGTGTGCGACTGGCCAGCGGCTCCAAGGATACCGATGTCATCTTCTGGGATCTCGTGGCTGAGGTTGGCCAGTTCAAGCTGAGAGGACACAAGGACCAGGTCACGGGTTTGCAGTTCGTTGAGCCGGAAGGACAGGTTGAGGATGAGGAGAACACGGCAATGCTGGATAGCGATCCATCCGCCGAGGGCTACCTCCTTACCACCGGCAAGGACTCGCTGATCAAGCTTTGGGACTTGTCCTCAAGACATTGCATCGAAACTCACATTGCGCAAACGAACGGCGAGTGCTGGGCTCTTGGGCTCTCTCCCGACTACAGCGGATGCATTACGGCCGGAAACGACGGAGAGCTCAAGGTATGGTTTCTAGACACGACGGGACTCGCCGCACTTAAGGGACAGGTTGACGCGCCGCAAAACACAAAGTTCCTGCACGATAGGGGGACGCTGTTCCGCCAAAACAAGGACAAGGCTATCGAGGTGGTCTTCCACCCGCGCCGAGATTACTTTGCAGTCCACGGCACAGAAAAGGCCGTGGAGGTGTGGCGCATCAGATCCGAGGCGGAAGTGAAGAAGTCTTTGGCCAGAAAGAGGAGGAGAAGACGCGAAAAGGCCGGCAAGGAGGCTAAGGAGGAGGTTGATGGTGCGCCTGAGGGCGACGAGCAGGCTGACGACATCTCCGCCGCAGAAGCCAGTGACTTTTTCGTTCAGTATGTCATCGTCCGAACGGGCGGCAAAGTGCGGTCAGTCGACTGGGCTGTCAATAGCGGCAACAAGGAAATTCACCTGCTGGCCGGCACGACAAACAACCAGCTCGAATACTACAGTATACCCACAAAAGAAGGATCGAAGTCGAAGAAGGAAGATGTGCCCGACTACACGCGGTCACTAGCGGTGGAGCTCCCAGGACACAGGACAGACATTCGCGCCGTATCGCTCAGCTCCGACGACAAGATGCTGGCCACGGCCGCCAACGGAAGTCTCAAGATCTGGAACATCAAGACACAAGCATGCATTCGGACGTTCGAATGCGGCTACGCCCTGTGCTGTGCGTTCCTACCCGGAGACAAGGTGGTTGTGGTGGGTACCAAGACAGGAGAGCTCGAGCTCTTCGATGTCGCTTCCGCGAGCCTCCTCGACAGCGTTTCCGCGCACGAGGGCGCTATTTGGTCATTACAAGTGCACCCGGACGGCCGATCCGTGGTATCCGGCAGTGCCGACAAGTCGGCCAAGTTTTGGGATTTCAAGATTGTCCAGGAGGAGGTTCTGGGCACCACCCGCACGACACCGAAACTGAAGCTCGTCCAGTCGAGGACACTCAAGGTGTCCGACGACATCCTATGTGTGAGGTACTCCCCCGACGCCAAGTACATCGCCGTGTCCCTCCTCGACAACACTGTCAAGGTCTTCTTCACCGATAGCCTCAAGCTCTACCTCAACCTCTACGGCCACAAGCTTCCCGTACTGAGCATGGACATATCGTATGACAGCAAACTTATCGTCACGAGTTCTGCCGACAAAAACATTAGGATATGGGGACTCGACTTCGGCGACTGCCACAAGGCCCTCTTCGGCCACCAGGACTCCATTCTGCAGGTAGCCTTCGTCCCGCACAACTCGGACGGCAACGGCCACCACTTCTTCAGCAGCTCCAAGGACCGCGTCATCAAGTACTGGGACGGCGACAAGTTCGAGCAGATTCAGCGCCTCGACGGCCACCACGGCGAGGTCTGGGCTATGGCCGTCGGCCACAGCGGCAACTTCCTCGTCACCGCCGGCCACGACAAGTCCATTCGCGTCTGGGACGAGACCGATGAGCAGATCTTCCTCGAGGAGGAGCGTGAGAAGGAGATCGAGGAGCTCTACGAAAAGACCCTCACCACGTCGCTCGAGCGCGACCCGGATGCTGAGGACCAGGACGGCGAGGTCGGTGCCGCCTCCAAGCAGACCGTCGAGACCCTCATGGCCGGCGAGCGCATCGCCGAGGCCCTCGAAATCGGCATCGCCGACCTCAATCTCCTCAAGGAATGGGAGGACGCCAAAAAGTCGAACCCGCATGCGCCCGCGCCGCAGCGTAACCCCATCTTCCTCGCCCTCGGCAACATCACCGCAGAGGCGTACGTCATGAGCGTACTGAGCAAGATCCGGGCCTCGGCGCTGCACGACGCGCTCCTCGTGCTGCCCTTCTCGACGGTGCCCATGCTCTTCACCTTCCTCAACATCTTTGCCCAGCGCTCCGTGAATATCCCGTTGACGTGCCGCATTCTTTTCTTCATGCTCAAGACGCACCACCGCCAGATCGTCGCCAGCCGCACCATGCGCGGCATGCTTGACGGCATCCGCGCCAACCTGCGCGCGGCGCTCAAGCGCCAGAAGGACGAGATGGGTTTCAACATTGCCGCGCTCAAGGTCGTCGGCATGCAGATCCAGGAGAAGAGCGTCAAGGATTACGTCGACGAGAACTGGGATGATGGCGACGATAGCCGGGCCGTCAAGAAGCGAGCCTTTGTGCAGGTTTCGTGATATCGTCAGGATTAGGAGGTGTGATAGTTGGGGTGTTGTAAAATGGAAAAGGAGGCTAGATGGTGTTGACAATCATGAGATTCCCTGTTTTCCCATCAGTTCTTACTAGATATTGAGGTGCATCGCCAGGTGGTGGAACAGCATTGTTTCGGCTTTCAAAAAGTGTTTTTATGTACTATTCACCCCAATTTACTAGAACAAACCATTGTTCTTTCGATGCTCATATTTTAATCCGTATTGATACATGGACCCTCTTCCTTGAGCGTCCTTACTTTTGTACACAATCATTGCTAACTGATTCCTTGTGTCTATCATTGGCTCTTTGCCTTGTTCTTCGCACTGCCAGTCTTCGGCAGAATGTCACTCTGCGCGACCAACTGCACCAAGCACCAAAGGTAGCAAATACCGAAACCCACTGCTCCGATGCCAACATTTGCAACAACCCAGAGGTCAGGCTTACCTACGGGTGGGACAACAACCCTCTCTGCCACGTGCCAGACAGCCATGGCGACGTAGAATGCTCCGTGAAGGAGGAATGTTGCCCATTGGCGCACCTGATACTGGTCCTCCTGGAAGTATGCGCTCAGTGATGTGGGCGGGAGGCCAAGAAGATAGGCCCAGAGCAATGTCAGGACGACGTAAGGAACGCCGAGATCAACCCGCTTGAGGAGGGGAAACATCGTCCACGAGCCCAGAATGTTGGCAAATCCAACCCAAGCCCTGACGTCGCGCGACAGTCCCTGTTTGCCGGCGAGAAGTAGCGTCATGGGCATGAGAGGAAGGAGGGCGCTCTTCTCGTGGACCTGATAGCTGAAGAGGAAGAAGCCCCATGCCGTTGTCGCAAATGCCAGAGGCAAGAGTGACTTACGCGGTCGGAAGAAAAGAATGAGGTTGGGCGGGATGATGGACGCAAGTGTAGCAACGAGCGCACCGCGCTGAAGAAGATCGGTAGGGTATTTGCGTAGCTTGATGACAACATTCAGGGCGCACCAGAAGTTGGCGACCTTATCTTCGAAGAGGCCGCGCGCAAAGGGGAATATGCGGTGGACCATCTGTACGAGCTGCTCGACAACCGGGTAGTAGATGGCATTGGTGTCGAGGACGTCAGTCAGCCACGGGAACAGGGGCAATACCGGCGGCGGCCCCTCGTAGTCGGGTCGTGCGTCGATGCCCCGGCGAGCGTCGTAAAGGGTGCCCAGTACAAGCGGCAGGATCAGGAGGGCAAAGGCTGCAATGGTGGCTAGCGCGATAGCGATGAAGCGGCCGGGCCTCAAAGGAAAGACGCAGCTGCCCAAGAGGAAAGAGAAGACGGAGAATGCGTAGTAAAGGGCCATCTGCTTGAAGCCGAGGGCCGCGACAAAGAAAACTGCGGACCAGAGGTAGCGGCCAGCCAGCATGCTCGACATGCTCGCCAGTACGAAGCCGAGCATGACAGTGTTGTATTGGAAGTGTACATGGTCGATAAGGATTGTGGCAGGCTGCATCAGGATTGCGACGAGGGCCATCCAAGCAGTCCATGTCGGGACGTTGCTATTTCTAGAGAAGCGTCGAACGAAGATGACGGCCGCGGGGATGTAGATGAGGTATTCGGAGATGATAACCGTAGCGCGCATGAATATCTTGAGGGTCGGATCATCGGATCCTCGCGAGGTGTACAACTCGAACCAGGTCGGATCGATGAGGGCCCCAATCTTGCCACAGAGCCAGCTATGGTAGGCCGTCAAGGGCGGATAGTCGAGCCCCCACCACTGGAGGTCGTGGAAATACCATTGCGACACGGGGACCTGTGTCGTAAGCTCCATCCAGTGTCTTTGCGCCTCGTAGTCTCCGAACATGGGGGGTTTCTGGAAGCCTGCGAAGAGTGCAAGTCAGTATTTCTCCAGATCAAGCAGATGGAGGTCGCATTTACCAGAGTATCCCCATAGTCCAGCTGCCCATCTGAACAGACCGACCACCATGAGAATCAAGGGCAGAACCTCCCATTGTGACACGGAACCTCGAGCAGGCCACAGGAACGATGCTAGAGGAAAGACGGGCACCTTGACGAGAGCTTCCTTCTTGAAGAGTTGGCTCTCTGTGCTGGGGTTGTTAATGGCGCTACCACCACCATTTCCGCTGCTCGTCTTCTTGCCCCTGCGCCTGGGCTTGTGGGGAGAAGGGCTGCTCATTATTCGCAGCTCAGCTCAGTCGGTGATTGATCGGTTCACGACGTGCAGCATGAGGTCTGATGGGTATTTGTCGGGTCGCGGGGAGACAATGGGCAGGCTTTGTCGCGCTCCTGGTGACAGCGGGAGAGTCGCAGTTGGAAATTCAAGGGTCCACGTCGCGTTAACGAACAGCTGGTGCGTTGACATGTAGGTAAGTACCTTGGAGAAGGTCTCCACATCCCGTGGCCGACAAAGGCAGGGTCGGATCGCCAGGTACCTGCCTGCCGCTAGCCGTTTCCCTTGTTTGCATTGTCTGTCTCCTTACCTACACGTTAAGGAACTGACAAACAAGAACACATGTGACTTAAGATGTCGGAGTAAATTTATTTTCTGTCCTCTCATGTAACTTTTGCATCACCTACGTTCGCCTCAAAACCCAATTCTCCAATCTCTCTACTTTTTACTCACGCACATCAGCGGTTGGCTTCCTCTCCCTTTCCCCTCCACTTGAACCCAATCATCATACATCACTCCGTCTGTCTTGAATCAAGAGTTTCAGAACTGCAAAAATTTGTCGTACCAGAGGCCTAAAGTCTTGGGTTTGGCCTTAAGATCATTGACCTCCAAGGAGATGGAAGATGGAGCTCAGCTCAGTACTCCCGCAACCGGGGAATGCTGGTTTCCAAACACGTGACCAAGTCTGGGGTCGAAAGCCTAGCCTCGATTGGTTAATCCGGGACAACCAACGTCACAAGGTGGTGCAGTTTCACTGACAACTTCCCATGTTAGTGGACGGACGGTTGTCGAATCTTGTACATCTCAACCAGACCTATCTCGTCATACTTGTCTTCTCATTGACCGGTGATCAGCCCACTCAATTATGCCTTTCCCCTTTGTTCTTCCGACAACTTCGGCTTTCTCGTTCTCATCTAGTTTCAGCAGCGATACCCACCCCTCATTGCCCCTCAGTTCCAGCACTTATCGCGGAGTTGTGAGAGATGCCCTCAAGAAGCACAAGCGATTGCCACCAACATCGCAATCGTCCCACGTTTCCACTGTCGTCGGAGCTCTGAACGGCTACATTCCTTACATCCTCGCCATTGACGCTGGCCTCAACCCTGCAGCACAGTCCGGTGACTACATCAACCTCAACACCAAGACGCCACCCTCCATCGAATGGCGGCCTACGCTCTCAGACAACGCAGTGCCGGGAAGAGAGCGGTCCCGAGTGAAAGTCCAGTCCATTGACCATGAAATCGCCTTTTCACTTTCCACTCTGGCCAACTCATACGCATTGATCGCCCGGGCTGCTCTACATCCGTTGTATGTCACCACACAAGCTACTTTGGACAACCAGCAACGCACAGCGGCCATCCAAACCGCTACCAAATACCTCCTAGATGCCGCATCCATCTACGATTACATTGCTTCCCGAGCAGAGAGAGTTCAAGTGGAGCCCCCTTGCAGCGATGTCTCGCCCTCGACCCTCCGAGCTATGTCATCCTTGGGCCTCGCTGAGGCAACTCTCCTCGCAGTGTTGAAGGACGACCCCTACCCAGCAATCATTGCCCAAGACCGCAACAAGAATGACCGCGAATGGATGTACAAAGCACCTGAGATCCCCAAGGTTCGCGCTCACCTGTTCGCGCGCCTCTGCCTCGCCGCCGCCGAGCACGCCAGCCAGGCCTCTTCTCTCTGCCAATCCGCAGGGCGGGGTTCCAGCAAAGTCAATGAGGGATTGCTTCGCTATCTCGAAGATCTCCGGAGGACGTGCCGCGCAAAGGCCTGCCGCTTCTTCGGCATTGATGCTGAGATTGGTGGCCAGGTCGGCACGGCGATTGCTTGGCTTCAGGCAGGGCTCCAGGAGTTGGGTGTCGAGTCCAAGTACTCAAGCAAAAGCTCCGGATTCGGCCGCTTCAAGAAGGAATGGAGCGAGAAGCGCGAGGAACGCAAGGTCGAGAAGGAGACGACATGGGGCGCGGATGGCGGGAAGGGCGAGGAGACGCGCGTGATCGAGTTCCTGGAAGGGAAATGGCATAAACTCAACGACACGGTACGTTGCCCCTATGAACTCGCGATTAGCTCGGAAAATCTCACTAACCCTCTTTTCCAGATGAACGTTCAGATTATACCTCCGATTGGCCCTTTGTTGGCACAGATGCCATCCGGCCGAGAGATGCACACTCTCAAGCCGTATCAGCCGCCGACACTGGACCGCAGCGTCCTGGAGGCGATGCGTGCGCCGCCCGAGAGAAGTGATGACTATGGCGATGCCCTAAGCTCAGACGATGAGGCAAAAGGTCACGCTGGGCCGCCGGGTGGCTATCCTGAATCGAGACCAGAGTACAGAAGTGGAAGCACCTCATATTACTAGGCGTTGTATTGGGCATCTGTTCGCTTGTTTTAGGAACGTTAGAAGGTCACTCATGGTGGGACAACCTCGTGAAGGTTTTCCCGAAAATTATACGATTTTGGGTTAACGGAGCTTCTCTCTGCAACTCTGGAATGTAAACTTCGGCTAATACTCATTTATAAACGCACAGAAGTGTTGCCCATCATCCGATGCTTCTCATCCTCCTACGAACGCTTCTCCCGCATTGGCGTTGAGGACTGCATTCAATGACAACTGCCTGCCCAACTGGCTCAGATGAAACCCGTTGTCCATCTTCCCCGAGGAGCCCCGAACGAACAGGTGTCCCGAAAGAATCACGACCTGCGATGGATATATCCATCGCTGGGTATCCGGAGCGGCCCGATTCGTGCTCAGTCTACTCTGAGACTCTTGATTACCTAGAAGAGGGGGAAAGCTGCAGCACGGAGCTTGGACCGCTCACTCGCAGACAGAAGTAGGATAGGGAGTACGAGAGACTTTGCAACACCACTAACCTTAAGCTTCAGATGACACTGAGAGCCAGAGTTTAAAACATGTATGCCCCTGGCTTCACAGATCCCACTCGACCTCGGATCCCTTCCCCCAAAACCCTACCACGGCAGTAGTCGGCCATAGACGGAACAGCATGAGGGGAGGGGAGAGTTTTCTCTGTTAAATGGCCTCGGGACGCGCTTCGCCAGCTTTGCCTATTTTCCAGCTGCCCGGTAGGTATTGCTCTTCTCGGTGTTTCCTATCTTGAACGACACTCCATCGCAGGCTTACGTCCACCTTTCCTGCTCCTTGCATTGCAAAGGTTTGCCTGATGCGGAGGCATTCAGTTGCCCAGTCCGGCGAGGGAGACTATTCCCATCGACGAAGGGTTTCTTTCTCGCCCACAATGAACAGCACCGTGACATCTCCCTACGGCAGCACGACCATCACCACAAACAGCTCCTCATCCTCCAATTCGACCACGAGAAGCAACACCAACAGCCTCGTCATACATGGACTGCCGCCCGTGTCGCCCTCTCTTCAGCTTCCCTTCAAGCTCAGAGATGTCGACCTGCTCCGCCGTGATTGTCACATCCACGGCGAATGGGCTACCTCCCAGAGCAACAAGCGTTTTGCCGTCCTCGACCCGGGGACTGGTCGCGTGTGGGCGACATGCCCGGACAGCAACAGAGACGACATTCATTCCGTCATCAAGTCCTCGTTCTCCACCTTCCAGTCCTTTTCGAGAACTACTCCGGCCCGGGAGCGCGCTCATCTGCTGACTTCCTGGCATCACCTCATTCTTGCGAGCCGTCTGGACCTGGCCACCATCCTCGTTCACGAAACCGGAAAGCCGTTGAACGAAGCCCTCGCTGAAATTGACTACGGCGCCGGTCTGGTCCGTTGGTTCGCCAGCGAAGCCGAGCGTCTCGACCCGGCTCCCTCGTTGCCATCGCCGGCCCCATCACCAACCACGTCTCCCGCATCTTCTCCCACATCCGAGGACGGCGCCGCGCCAGCTCTCCCAACATCAGGCGCGGGTGCTTTTGTAAGGAAACGGGGTACAGTCCTCAAGCAACCGATCGGTGTTGTTCTCGCCCTGGTCCCATGGAGCTTCCCCGTTGCACTTACTCTCCGGAAATCGGCAGCGGCGTTGGCCGCCGGCTGCACAGTCATCGTTAAGCCGTCCTCGGAAACCCCTCTTTCGGCTCTCGCTCTTGCCTGCCTGGCCGACCGCGCGGGCTTTCCGGCCGGTGTGCTCAACGTCGTGACGACAAGCCTGGGAAACACGCCGGTTGTGTCTGAGGCGCTGTGCATGCACCCCCTCGTCAAGGCTATCAGCTTCACGGGAAGCGCCCGAATAGGGAAACAGGTCGCAGCGTCTTGCACCCGAAATCTGAAACGCCTGTCGTTGGATCTAGGTGGGAATTGCCCATTCATCGTATTCGACGACGCGAATCTCGAGCAGACGGCCAAGGACCTTGCGGCGCTCAAATGGCGGCATGCGGGACAGGTCTGCGTGGCGCCGAACCGGTGTTACGTGCAGCGGCGAGTATACGAAACATTTTCCGACTTACTGATAGCCGAGGCCGCGAAGCTGAAGGTCGGGCACGGGATGGCAAGGGGGACAACCCTCGGGCCGTTGACGACTCTCCGGGGGCTGTACAAGGCGGAGGCGCTGTGTAAAGACGCCATGGATAAAGGAGCTATTAAACTGCTCGGCACGGGAAGACGGGAACCTGGGGACGGGTATTTTATGGCGCCGACTATATTGGGCAGCATGACGGATGGGATGCTGATGTGTCGGGAAGAGGTGTTCGCGCCGATCCTAGGCTTATATATATTTGATACCGAGGACGAAGTTGTAAGCCGGGCGAACGACACTCCAGTTGGGCTGGCTGGTTACGTCTTCACGAAGAACCCCGAAAGACTCTGGAGGATGTTTGAGCGACTGGAAGCTTCGGTGCTTGGCATGGTAAGTTTGCTACCCCCTCTATCCCTTGTAAGGGCGGTAGAAGCAGTGGAGGGTAACTGACTTTTTTACAGAATACGGTTAGCCTGGTGACGGATACACCGATCCCGGCTGGGGGCAACGGCAATGGATATACGCCAGCGCAATCCATGGCCCTAGACGAGTTTTTGAGCACAAAAGCAGCCGCAATGCCACCATCGTAATCGATAGGTAGAGTCACATGTATGATAAGGGTCCTAATCATTTCCCGGTCTAGCTGCGATATGCTAGTAATACTTATGGAGTCATGAAGTTGATGAGTTGCATGTAGCTTTCATCACGTGTAAGAGTACCTCGCTTAATATATCCGGTATCACAGGTCCGTCTTTTATATTGACGAGAATCATGTCTGTGGCAGCGGAATGTGCCGTCATTGGCATCTTGAATCAAGTGACAGCTTTCATCTCTGCCCTTCTTTTGCGTTCCGTCCATAGCTCCCATTCATGGCTTCCTCTATCCACATCTTATTGTCTACGTGGTTCACCCCAAATTCCGCGGGTTGATACACGACGGAAAGGGCATAAGCCGGCCCTACCCGCCCAATACCAGAATGAGATGTTGACAATTTAGCTGGTAGTCATAACTTGCATTTTCTTACGTACCAAGTAGTTCTCTATGATCAGTCGTTGACTGTCATGTTTGCGCACGATCTATAAAGCTCTAACTGAGTTGTGGTCTGCACGTAGTTTGGCGTGCTTGGTTTGTAGCCACTTGGAGCCTAGTGGTTAGCTGACCAAGGCTGAACATTGTTTGTTCCTTCGTGTCGGCTACCACATGCCGGACTCAGGACAAGTACTCAACTTTGCCCCGTTGGTCGGTCCAAGCATTTGCCTTTGCAGGCCATTATGCGAGCCTGTTCTACTTGCACGAAACATATCATTCCTAAATATATGGCCGGCAAGTTTGGATCAAGTTAAAATGAGCCCTGTCTTTCTTCCCGTGTTGCCAGAGTATCTGTGTCAAAACCCGAATCATGCAGAAGCTTGATCATCCTTACCACGGACAGAAATCTGATCAGGCCAGGAAAGAGTTATGCTTGGACTCGTTGTTAGACGAGGCGTTTCGTAGGCTATCAACTAGGCAGGTGACACTTTCAATGAGCACTAACGTTTGTGGCATCAGAGCTAGGTTCGACTGATGTTTCTTCAGTCAGTACTTACAATTATCAGGCCCCAACATGCCACGACCGTTAGAAGATAAGCAGTTGAAACAGAACACGTTTCTCATATCACTTGTGGGTTCTTAGTACGGATGGCAAGGGTTGGTCTGATATATGTATACATATAGAGAGAGAGAGAAAAGTTGCGGGTGAGCAAGCTTTAGAACCATGTTTATCTCCCGGTTGGATGCAGCACTGACAAGGAAAGTTCATTTCTTGCAGAGTTGTCACAGTCTGACCACTTACTTTGGTTCTCTGTGTTACGCTGAGAACGAATGAGTTGCACCTATTTTGGACCACACACCATGATGCCCTTTCGACTTTGTAGTAACTCGTATCTGCATAGCAAGTTGAAGACCTCGGTTCTTGTGACCGAACTCGATACGAAGTACTTCCTCGACAACAGCATTAATTGGCATGAGATATCCATCAGTGGTCTCAACTAACATAAGATGTACCTTGTATGAAAGACTCAGCTTCTATCTTCGCAGGTTATATTTGAGGACTGTAGTTCCCAGAGCAGCTTGAAAGTCTGGGAATCTATCCTCGAAGTGACAGTAAGTATCAACAAGGGCACATGATTTACAAGAGTTTCGCACGTTGATGTGTGTAGGTTGGCTCCATAACTATACTGAACAGAATCAAGGCAGTCTATCGCGTGCGGCCGCGTCATAAGTGAAGCTGTGCAAGTCAAAATATTGCTGGCAGCCTCACCCCTTACTCCCGACTCGAGGAGAGGCCCATCTTTATCCGTCGTGAAAGCTCGATTTCGGATTTGTAAATGTTTGTTACGCATTCTTCGTCTGCAGAGGCTTTACCTTCAGGGTTTCCTCTTTTCATGCACTAGTCGTACGACCAGTATGCTCCGTCTGCCACTACCTCCGACACCCAGGAGTATCTCCAAATCCCACCGCGAGACTAGCACATGCCAAAGTTGACCCACAAATTTATAGTATTGACGGCTAATGTGTAGAGGGAGACATTGCGGTTCCTAAACGCCAAAGACGTATTTGATATTCTGTATCGATTTGTAGAGATCAAAACCTCTTTTACCAAGCCACCCAAACTCCTCTTTTGATGCACATCGGATAGGAAATGCAAACACATATAGACTACACACACATCAACAGACCCCCTGTCCTGTGGACCTAGAGGTCCTTCGAGCGCATCTTCTTAAGACGCATTCCACCCTCGAAGACACCGCGGTCGACAGCAGCGGCGACGGTAAGAGTACCGCCAATGATGGCGCAAAGACCAGTGAGGAAACCCGTGAAGGTCTTAGCGCGCTCTTCGCGGTTGATAACCTTCATGGGTGAGATATCCTAGGAACTCCTATTAGCGACGTGGTTGGGGAATCAGGGGCTAGGTGGACTTACGTAGGAGAAGAAGACACCCGGGATACCACCACGGGAGTGAAGGCGCTCTTGGTGACCCTCAGCAGCATCGTCTCCACCAGCCAGGCTACGCTTATGACTCGTCACAGAGTACTGATGAGTCTCGACGCTGCCGTCGCTGCCCTGGCCGAGAAGACCGAGGCCAGAGCTCTCATCCTCCTGGTAGGCGCCCGACTTCTGCCAGTTAAGGGCAAGGTATGAGGTAGGCACGATCTTGACAAAGTACATAAAGTTGTAGTTGGGGTCATTAGTCTCCTGGTGGGTGTTGTCGAGTGGGTTGCCGTGGTGGTTCGTCCAGGCGTACGCGCGCTTGCCCATCTTCTTGGTGACCTGGTCAGGCAGCTGGGGACCGAAGCGCAGGGAGTGGACGGTGTGAGTGAAGTCGTGCTGGGCGTCGGCGGGGGTGTCCCAGTAGTTCTTGAGGTCGTGGACGTGCATGTTTCCGTTGCTGAAGCTGCGGCCAGGGGCAAGGTGGAAGTTTCCGACGACCTTGTTGACACGCAGGTTGCCCTCGATGCGGCATCCCTCCTGGCGCTGCTCCTCCAGCCGCTCGGCGTAATGCTCGCGCGTGCACTGCTCGACGCCCTCGCCCTTGCCAAACGCCCACGACGCTTGCGCATACGCCTCTCTTACTTCCTCGCAGGTGTTGCAGCAGCCCGCCTTCTGCGCGTTTGCGGGGGCTTGGGCGCCGTAACAGGGGCCGCAGTAGTTGGGATCCAGGTGCTCAGCGGAATCGTCACGGGAGTGACTTTAAGGGGTTATCAGTACATACGTCGACCGCGTAGTAGGAAACAAGTGCTGCTTACAGGTCCAGAGCCTTGATGTCGATGACACCGCCTCCCTCCTTCTGGGAGCGGAGACGAACCTTGTTGACGCCGTGCATGACGCCGTGCTGCTGCTCGCCAGAGACGTCCATGACATCAAGGGTGAGAAGTTCGCAAGGCATCTTGGGGAAGGTCATGTTGAGATGGATCTCCATGCGCTCGCCTGTGCCAAAGGCGCATTAGCTCCCAATGTCTTATTAGAATTGTGAATCGTCCAAAGAAAGTTCCATACCTCTTCCCTTGTCCACAATCAACTCGGGGTGGATCTCTATCCTCCGGTAGTCAGCCCATTCTCCCCAGGCCAGCCAAAAGACAACGATCAGCGACACAATGGTGACGATTCCGCCGGACGTCGTGCGAATGCGCGCCTCGTCGACTGTCTTTGTAAAGGCGTCAAGCCTCGTAAATCTCGACTTTGCCGGCATGGTGAAGGTCGAGAACTAGAAGAGTTGGTGGGAAGGCTGTCGATCTCTGTCACGAGTTGAAGCAGCCTCGCGGGCCTTTTGGGGGGACAATTCAACGGAGAACAAGTCCAAGTATCGTACTTTCGCAGCGATGCGCCAAGAGCAAAAGAGCAAAGAAAAAGGAGTGGCGGGAGGGGACAAAGGGTGATGTCAGGAAGTGAAGAACCCCGCCTGAACCATAAGAAGAGAAAGTCGACGCTTGGGAAGTCCTCGAGGTTGGGAGCACCAAAGAAAAGAGAGCAATCTCACAAAGCCTCGGGAGTTGCGCAGCCAAAAGTAGAGGCCACCTCACTTGTCTTTTGGCCACGCATCCCGTCCACGGTCCAGCTCCCAATTGCGCTAAAGGTGCACTCATCAGGGGTCTCGCACGGGGCAGTGTGGGCCCCCATCGATGGGTAATCGTCGGCCGTTGGCCAATGGAACATGCCGTCCGGCGCTAGAAAGAATCCAGAGCGGAATGGTCCGTGCTCAAGCTGCAATTCTCCACTGTAAAATCCCAGCCTGGCAACCAAGGCTGAGGAGCCGTTTGATCGAGAAGTCAACTCCAAACGCAATTATCAACGTCGCGGCGTCTGTCTGGAATTTGAGATCTGCATCCAGCACGCGTTTCTAATAGCGACCGACAGGAAACAGAAAACGCCCAATTCCCATTCAACCGCAATTGAAACTCCTCAAATATCCAACCAACCGATTTATTCTTGGAGTGATTCATCCTTCGACACATCACCGAAATGTCGAAGCCACCTTCCAGAGTCGTCTTCGTGGGCAATATCCCATATGGTAGGTACCGAATGTGTCAAATGGAAGAAGAAAATGATTTCTAATTGCTTCGACAGGTCTCTCCGAAGAGCAAATTAGCGACATCTTCAGCAGCGCAGGCAAAGTCCTCAACTTCCGCCTCGTCTACGATCGCGAGACTGGGCGGCCGAAGGGCTTCGGCTTCGCGGAGTATCCCGACAATGGTAAATATGACGGCTCCTTGAGAAAGTACGAGATGCTAACCAGACGCAGATTCTGCAGCATCCGCGGTCCGCAACCTCAACGATTACGAGATTATGGGCAGGAAACTGAGAGTCGACTTCTCTAACGAAGGAGGCAGCGACGGCAACGACGACAACCACGGACATGTGAGTTTTAGAACCGCAGCTTTGCTCCCGGATCTGGTCCACCGCCAAAGCTGACACATTGAGAAACAGCAGGGCCGAGATGGCGGAAATACCTCTTACGCCTCGAACGGCTACAACCCGGCCGCGCCCCCAGTGCAGTCGAGCACGCTTCCCCCCCTACCAGCCGGCAAGGAGCTCCCCCCAACGTGACCGCAACCGACGCCATCTCCCGCACGCTGAATACGCTACCCCCGTCGCAACTCCTGGACATCCTTACGCAGATGAAAGCCCTCGCCTCTTCCGACCCCGCCCGGGCGACGGAGCTCCTCCAGCAGGCGCCGCAGCTGGCATATGCCGTCTTCCAGGCTCTCCTGCTGATGGGTCTCGTGTCGCCGGAGGCGATCCACTCCGTTATCGAAGCCGGCGGCGCGCCCTCTGCAGCCCCGGCCCAGGCAGCCCCGATCGGCTATCCGCCCCAGCCCTCTGCGACGGGCTTTCCTCCGGTGCCTGTGCCGGGTGCCACTAACACACCGCCAGTTGCCGGTACACCATATGCGCCGCCCCCCCAGCAGGCCCCCTACGGCGCGCCACCCCCACCGGCGGCCGCAGCCCTGGGCCAGGACCCCGACGCGCTCATGCGGCAGGTTATGGAGTTGCCAATGGAGACGATCAACATGCTCCCCGAGGCCGAAAGGCAGCAGATCCTGGCTCTCCGGGCAAGCTTTGGTGGCCAGAGACGATGAGTGCTGAATCTTCTGGCCCGCGCATACGCCAGCTCAACCTTGTGGCTTGTGAACTAAACGTGGCCTGGAACCGTCTAGGCTGGTTATTTTTGGGTGAAAATACCACTGCACACCCAAGTCGATGACGAAGAGACTGGCATTCCGAGCAAGCTTGGTAAACTCTGCACCCAAGAACAGGGCCACCGAGTCACCGACTTCACACGATGGGGCTTCCCGTTACGAAGTTTTACCTTGCAGATGATGCGGCTTTGTGGGCTAATAAGCGGCCCATACGAAGCTATTCTTGGACAAAAGTAGACAGAAAGGTATCTGCGGAGGGGCAAACAGAGGGGCCTAGCGAGAAAGTGCCTACTCCTCCCACCAGCTTGCCGTTGTTGGCCCTCCAACCACTTATTGGCGTAGCTCACCCCGCCACCAACGATCGCGACAACCTCACCGAACAACCTGGCATCTAAGCCTCGGTCAAACAGTAAAGCCTGTCCACGGGCGTGTGGGGAGGTCGGAAAGGTGGTGTTTGGTTGAATATGATGGCGCGTATGTGCGCGCGCTGCGCCTCCCCTTGGGCGGATAAGACAGGACAACGGAGGGCCCCGCGGGAAACGGCGGGGCCAGTGCGAATTTTTGTCGGTAGCAGTAGAGTGTGCATACGAGGCAGATCACGAGGACACACGGCCTTGTCTAAATATACCACAATTACAACTAAGAAACTTTCGGGGGCTCGCCTAGCTGAAAGAGTCCCGATGCACCTGCGCCGTCGCTGTTGGAGGCGAAGATGACGTTTGTTCTAGAAGGTTGGCAATGATTTGGTTTTTGGGTGGAGGGGGAGGGGGGGGGGGAAATGCTGCGGCTGCGGCCGCGGCTGGTCCATGCGACGTTGGCAAACGACAGGTTTAGCGCGGCGAGCGCCCTGCTCGCTCGGCCCGGCCGACAAACACCACGATGTCAAGAGAAGGGCCGGGGTCGAGCAACGACGCGCATCCGTCCAAAACGGCGGCGGACGAAGAGCTGCGCAAGAGAACACGGGTGGTGGCGGCGGCGATATACTTGAGACTGGCGAGCAACTCTAAATGACGATGCTCTACAGGGCGACCGGGGGGGGGGGGAGCCCGGGGTTTCGTGATGCCTTTGACTGATAAGGTGGCAGCCCGCCGATATAAAAAACACTGAGGGGAGGGGGGAAGGAAGATAACATGAGTAGAACTTTGCATTTTGCAAAAGACCCGCCAGGGCGTTGTACCCGAACCGCTGTGGCCACTGGGCAGATCAGGCTTGGACTGAGTTTATGCCTCGCAACTGCCATCAAGCAAGTCTATATGATATAGGGCTGGGAACGGGGGTTGCTGCTAATGTGTATGGTAGTTGCGAAGAGACTGCATCACTCTCCAGTAAGTAGCCACTGCTGTACTCGTCGGATGCTGTATGCAAGTCAAGGGACAACAAGTCGAGAGAAAACGCATGGCGTTTCCAGACAACGTGTCGCTGATCTTCATGCTACCCAGGGAGAGAGGCTCGCATCGTGCTGTGTCTTGGTGAACAGATGGGAAGTCGTAGCCGGGCGCATCCCGTCTTCTGGTGTGGCTTGGCTGGATTGGGCCCAACGACGAGACCGCATGCGCATTGGACGAGTGGATGGGATGGCTTCTGCGAACTGCAGTGTCTGCTGTGCGCTCTGGCTAATTGGACAGGGCCAGGGACATCGTTCGCCACTTCAACACCATTCGCATCGTAACCGTGTGTTCGACTACGGACATAGTACGAGCCCCCTCGTACCGATATCGAAGATTCAATAAATTGTGGTGCTCCGTGGGTGGTCCCATTCGTCCACCTGTGTCTGCGCGGAACAACCACATGTCTCACTGAAGCTAGAAGCCCATTGGGAGAGTAACGTCATTTCCAAAAACAAAAAGGAAAAATCGGGGGTTGTGTCAGAGACGGGGAAGTCAACGGGCTGGGCATTTCAGGTCTGCATTTCTAGATGGGTTCCTTTGTCAGAAACCCCTAGATTCCTTTTTATACACATGTCAAAGCAGCAGCAAGCTGGGGGAGGCTCCCTATGCCGCCATTGGCTGCGACTACATGAACCGTTGAAATGGGTTCATCTGAGGGCGCCCCGGATGCAACGAATAAGTGAACGGTAGAAGGGCTCGGCAAGAGGGATCATGGCAGCGGGCTGAAACAAGTTGCCAGTTGATGCGAAACTGGACGATGAACGGTTGCTCGACGTGGAGCCAGTGACATTGGATGGATGGTGAGGGAGGGGAGCAAGAGGCCCGAGGCGGAGAGATGAAGGGAGTGAGACGAGCCATCAAGAGGTCATGCAGGTCTGCAGGTTCCTTGCAGCTCTCGAAAAGTTGCCATGTGAATGGCCGACGGTGCAGCGTTTCCATCGTGGATGTGCGCGGGGAGTAGGCCCGGTTCGAGTCCTGTTGACGCGGCCTCCAGGATCGGCGTAGGAGTGAGCCGCCGTGTAATTTCCGCAACCAAATGAAGACTGAAATATTGTAAATTTCCGGGCCTTGGAAATGCAGCCTATGCAGGTCATCTGTTTGCTAAGAGATTTCCTCGAAGGGGCTGCGCGCGTCTTGGGTCTTTTCTCACTCTTCCCGGGGAAACAAAAGAAGGGTCCCCGAGTATTGCCATTGCCACACTACTGCATGCGCAACGTCGCACTATTAAGGTTGTATGTACCCATAGTCCAGAGGAAGAAGGTTGCAATGGGGCAGGGTCGGTGTGGTCCCCAATTGGTGCCGGGTGACTAGAGTGAAGGAATAGAATGGACGGGAGGCAATTCGAAAGAAGGTTCGCCATGATATTCCGTACCTGTCTGGTGATGGTCTGGGCCAACGGAACGCGGGGATGACTTCCCAATCCAGGGGTATCGAGCTGCGAAGGACGGGAAGCGAAATAAATCGAGCCCGTTCGGGGTGGAGGACGAAGGGCAGCGGGATATTGCCATGTGGGAAGAACCAACGGCGCTTACGGGCTGGCAGCGGACATGAGATGACGGGCGGGGAGGAAGGTGTTGTCCTGCGAGGCCATCGCCAATTCGTCCTGTGCGACTCGGCGGGCTGTCGCAATGCACAATTCAGATCGTTTGGTGTTGTTCTGGACCGTTGTCCGTGGCATGTGGCTTCGGGGTTTCGGTTTGGCGTCGTATGTATTTACAAACTGTTCCATTATTGACGGGGCGGCTCAAGGCCCAACCAAGGCTCGATGGTTCCCCAGGCCCGGGCTCCAAAACAACAGCGCGAGGGGGCGTTCCAAGCAGTGCTTCTCCCGTCGACAAGTGATTCGCGAATGGACGGGGACCGGCGATCAAGACGACACATCGCCATGTCTCGTTCAACAACGAGAGCTCCGTAGCAGCTCCGTAGCAGCTCCGTAATTAATTCTGGAGTCAATACGGATCCGTAGCGCAAACGGTTGCACAGGGAGTGGCCTGGGTCTCCCTTCGCTCGGTCGACCGCCGTTGCATGGCCGGGATCTGCACAGAGACATGGCGCATGTTTTGTGCATAATGGTGCCGGTTTAGTCCAAAGACTTGAGAGGGCCAAGGTCTGAAGACGGATGGAAAAGGGAAAGCAGAATGACGGAGCGAAGAGAGAGAGTGGGAGAGAGACACGCGAAGAGAGGCCGAGTCGAGGCAAGTCGAGTCGAGTCGTGTATTGTTGCACCAGGTGTTGATCACTCACTCGGTGGTCGGTCCAGATTTCTGGCGCAGCGTGTTCCAGCCTGCGTTTTCGCCCGTGCTGTGTTAGTGCCGCGGCATTGTTGCTAAAGTTAGGTCTTTTGGCCATCCACCAAGGAACAATGACGAGAAACGCAGTCTGGGGCAGGCCGGAGTAGCTGGTAGCTAATTTAGCTGGTGGTTGCCGGGTCCCTTAGTAAGGCGGCCCCGTCGTGCACATCGCTGCTGAGAAGCAGCATTCCTTGCTGAGACGGGCAGTGATGAGCGGCGACACCTGAATCCCGGGGGTGGAAGAGAGGGTCGCAGCGCTTCCTTTCTTTTCACCTGCGGGTTGACGCCGGTAGCACCATTTTAAGCGGCCATTGTTGCCACGGGTAAACATGAAAGAAACACGGCGGTGGCTGCTACTGCTGCTGCTGCTGCTGCATCGCCGAAACGCCACTCGTGTTCCCCAAGGTAAGGTAGGGAGGGGCATCATACCAAGGTGAGGGAGGAAGACTCTGGTTCCGTACCAGAATGACTGCTGCCAAGTCGACGTAGCTGCCTTGCGCTGGTGGATGTCGCCCTGCGCCGTCATGCATGTCAAAGCAAGGCCACCTGACGTGCTCCGCGATGAATGCCTACCGCATCTTACATCATGATGTTGAGCCCGAGGCGAAGCGCGCCGTTGATGAGAAGCACGGATGGCGATCCTCTCGTACTAGACGCGCTGTATACTGACCTGAAGTTAACCGTTCATGGACCACAACTATAATCATCGATGCGTAGCGACTCGTGTGAAAGGCCAACCCGAGCGCCGTACGACCGAGCATTCGCAAAGTCTCTGTGGTGTGCACTGACCGGGCTCGCCTGACTGTCACCGGTCCAATTCCTCAAGCCACATACTCAATCAGCGCAAACGTGCCCGTCGATGGTCTAGCCACTGCTCCCTCCAGGGTGGTGTAGATGTGGATGCATGTAAAAACGGATTGGCACGGCACCATTTGCTACGGACGGACGACGCCGCATGGGCATTGACGAACAAGGTGACAGCGACAGAGAAGAACTGGAGACGTGCTGTTTCTGGTTCGAGCGCAGGGTCGCAGGACCGCAGGGCCACAGGGCTTGAAAGGTCGAAGGGGGCGTCACGGGTGGGATGCGACAAGGGGGGTTCTTCGACAGGGGGCGACGTAGGAGAAGAGGAAGACACTGCGAAGGGGAAGAGGGGCGAAAGGAAAAAGGAAAAAAAAAGAAGAAAAAAAGGGGAAATTTGGGGCTTGGAATTAGTGCATCGAGCTGCAATGCGATGGCATTACTACAGCTATGGCTCAACCAACCAATACCACTACATAGTATAACCAGCACCTCACATGTATGTACGCCTGCACCCCAGACAGCGCCATCTGCGAGGGCCAGCAAGCCATCCAACACCAAGCAGCCAAGGAAAGGTAAGGTAAGGTAGCACAGAGAGTAGCCTGAATGGCGGGTTTGTCGAGTAGTGTACCATCATGAACCTACACCTGATGCTGAGGAGCGAGCGTTGCGTGTACACTACATTACATAGTACAGCTTCCACTGGCCGTTGCTGCTGTGTTTCGCGGGCGCCCTCTTGTGATGCCTTCCCCTGTCACCTCCCCCCTGCTTCTATGGCTCGCATGGAATGCCCTGGGAAGACGTCGTGGCTGCGGATACGTGTGGTGCTAGGTATTCCATCCTCTCCCTGCGAGTTCCGGGTACGTACCGGCTGGGTACCCAAGTACTGGAGGTAATGAAATATTGTAGGAATGTCTTTCGCCCTTTCCTCCAATACGTACCTGCTTATAGTGAGTTTTGTACGGTAGTGCTAGGTGCTAAGAAGGTCTTTCCGTTAGCGTTGCGGTAGGTGCTAAACCCAACTGAGTCTGTTCGCTCCGTCCCCACGATGGGACCATTCGCTCCCGTCCCTGCTGGCAAGTGCAACTTTGCACTCTCCATCCCAACTCAACCCGCACCCCATCTGCGCTGAGTGCAGATTAGCGCAGACTGCAACGCTCCCCCCAAGGATACAGCAGTTGCATGCACCACGTACAGTGAGGTAGCACTCATCTCATAGCACAACTTCAGGCTCGGACGATTCAGGCGCATTGCTTCTTTCCCTTTTTTTTTTTGTCCCACGTTCATTCACGTCCCTTTCGCTTGTCGCCTGCTGCCCACCACCACCACCACCGCCCCCCGCCCCCCCGGCCGGCCGCCCTACCTAGCAGCTCTTGCTGCTCATCACCTTTTCCCTCGTATCCGATTCTGGGGGAAACGGAGATCGCTTCTTGCTTTCCCGCCTCTCGCTTCGTTTCGCTTCATTGTTGTCCCATCCGCTCCTTCTACCCTTTCTTCCGTTTTCCCCCTTCTCGACTGCCCGTGTCCCTGTCCCCTACCTGTCTGCTCTTTGCGACAAATCGGTACGAATCCCACTAGCCCAGGCGTTCGAGAACAAACCGTCCCGCTACCTAGCTCGATCCGACCTCAGGTTCCCTCAGGTTGTCTGTTGTCTTTTGATACCCTCGTCTCGCCTCCTCCTCTTCCAACACTCCTTTCGTCCTTCGACTTCTTTCCGGCTGCTGCGCCTTCTTTGTTGCCCACCAAACCCCCCAGGACTAAAACGGACACGCCCGCCCTTCGCTAGCGTTCTGTTTCTAAAGAAAGCCTACCTAGCCGACACTCAACCTTCTGTACCTCCATCCCCAACAGCGCCGCCCAGAAAGTCGACGACGACACTCGTTCACCTGATCCACGTCGAACTTCCGCCTGCAATCGTCGTCTTCTTCACCTCCCGACTCTTGGTCTCGGAACACTCACTGCTTATATGCGCGGTTGGTAGCATTCTCGGCAGCCACACCACCACCCGGCCAGAGACCTGTCTGTATGCAGCATCCTCCAGTCTAGACTGACGCCATAACCGATCCTCCGGCCAAGACTTGGCTTGCACCGCCAGCATTCCAACCACCAACCACTTCTTGGGCCCGCCCAGTCGCCCATTCGATAAGGTGTCGACTTCTCCATCCCAACACAGGACTCGAACGACATCTGCATCGCGTTGCATGGGAACGTAAAGCGAGACGCGCTCGAAACCCCCGATCGACCATGTCGCCGCAACGCCCCAATTTCATCGACCTTCGGGCGCCTTCAAGCATGTCCAACGTATCGAGACCTTTGCGATCCCCGAGACTCCACGTCGCTGGCGAGGCGCCCCCTGAACTGTCACCTCTTGATGCCTTCGCCCTACAGAGTCGCCTTCTCGCGCGGCAGCTTCAAGCTGCCGCCAATGGCGAAGGGAGGCGCATGAGTCGACTGCCGCCTTTGACCACAGAGAGCCCGTTGGTCGTCCAAGGCCGATCAGACTACTTCCGCTCCATGTACGACTCAGGAGCCGAGGACGCTGCTCTTCCTGAGCTTCAGAACCCCGGGCTAGGATTCAGAACCGAAGTGGAGGACGCCTTTCCGTCTGAGAAGGACCGACCCGTGTCGGTACATCCTCGAATGAGCCGAATTCCGCCCACGCCTGACGAAGGCATCCCTCTGCCACCGCAACCGCTGCCCGAGACGATGCGTGGACGAGCGTTGGACGCAATGGCGGAGGATCAAAACGAGACGTTCTTTGGCGCCAGGAGGGAACAGTCCCCGGCGCCCCTGGAGCACCCACCTAACGACTCGCATTTGCAGACTTCACCCCCGAGAAAGGACCTCTCATTACCTCTGCCTTCGCCGGCACGATCACGCGAGAATTCATTGACTGGATCGCCCGGCAAGCCGTCGAAAGGACATTCGTTTGATGGGCCGGGATTGGTACCTCCACGGCCCAACTTTGGTGCCCGATCAACGACCTCCATGTCCTCGCCTCTCGACAACTCGACCGACGACATGAGCAACTCCATCCAGTCCCTGCCTCCACGCAAGCTGTCAAGTTGTAGTGCATATGCCGTGTCGACGACCTCTCCCAATCTCAACCCAGGCCCTTTTCAACGCTCACCGTCTGTATGCTCCGATGCCTCGTTGCCTCTGCCGCGACCGTCCTTCAATTTTTCGAGACCCATGAGTCGCGCCGGCACTCCTGGGCTGGAGACCCCAACGCGCCAGGCATCATCAGACAGCCAGCCGTCCTTCATGTTTGCAAACGATGACTCGGCCAACACCCCCGTTAGTATGAACAGCGAGGGCTTCCCCGACTACTTGCCGGACGATGGCAAGGCCGCCCCCTCATACATCTACTCCAAGTACTCCCTTCCTCGTGGCAAGATTGTCCAAAGATCAGTTCCTCTGGATCCTCACCCTCAAGCATCGATCCAATACGAGCAGCCCATGTCGCTCCCGAGCAACGTTCAGGCCATCCAGCGTGGAGCGCCTCCATCGCCCCCGACCCGGCCGTCCAGCTCGGCGGAACCTGATGACCTCAGCTTGGCCAAGCCATCGTTCGATTTTGGAAACCAAAGTATGGATCGTGGCGGCCCGGCGCTACAGCCATCCCCGAACCCGAGTCGTCCGTCTACTGAGAGCCAGGCCTCATCAGAGGACCCGAGAGGCCGTGCGCTTACCTCTCCAATTCACGAAGCTGCTGCCCGAGGACAGACTGCCATGTCCACGAGTACCAACGACTCCAACAGCACGGTCAAGGCCCCGCGCTCCCTAGCCTCAGGCGCCCCGACCACATCTGAGATGACCCCAGAGGAGCATTTAGCTAAGGGCATCGAGTGTCATGAGAACGGCTCAGTCAAGGAGTCGACTTATCACCTTCGTCATGCCGCGAAGGGAGGCAACCCGACGGGCATGCTTCTGTATGCGTTGGCGTGCAGACACGGCTGGGGCATGCGGCCCAACCAGCGAGAGGGTGTCGAGTGGCTGAGAAAGGCCGCCGAATGCGCCAGCCTTGAAATTGCCGATGATGAGGACCATGTCAAGGAAGGCAAGTTTGTTGATGCCATGGAGAGAAGAACCCGTAAGGCGCAGTTCGCTTTGAGCATCTATGAGCTTGGCGTGAGCCACATGAATGGCTGGGGAATTGAGCAGGATAAGGCTCTTGCCCTGCGATGCTTTGAGATTGCCGGATGTAAGTTGCAACCCCCTTGTCCCACTGAGTTGCGAAGCTGACCAAAGGAACAGCTTGGGGTGATGTTGATGCGCTGGCCGAGGCCGGCTTTTGTTATGCTCAAGGAGTTGGGTGTAAGAAGAACCTTAAGAAGGCCGCTGGCTTCTACAGACAAGCCGAAGCCAAAGGGATGAACATGGTCGGCAACAGCTGGTATGTATTGCTCTTAGTCTATCAAGGGGAACGCAATATTGACGCGCGCCTCATAGGATTCACAAGTCGAAATACAACGACGAAGACACGTCCACCAAGAAACCTCGCAGCAAGTCTAGGACACGCACCATGTTCGGCATCAAGACTGGTTAGCGATGAGTCTTATTGAAGTTCTTTCTGCACGGAGCGTCTAGCGGCATTTCACGGATCATGACCACTGCATCAACACATCGCCTTCATACCCCGCATCTTCGGAGTTCTGGGAGGCTGGCTCTGCGGAGTGCAGCCTTTTTGTTTTGTTTACTGGGCATTTAAATTCGATGGCTGGGAATTGTGCCATTTTCTGCATTCAACAAGGGCCATGAAAACGGTGGCCACAGAGGGAGGATGCGCCCCGGCTGTCCCATTACCTATGCAAGGGGTTGAGGGGCCTATGGTTTTGCGTCACAGGGGTCAAATAGTGATGGATCCCTTTCAGCCTTGATTGAACATATCCTTGGTTCCTATGTATATACCACTTTTTCCTTCTTGGGAAGGAAGCAACGCTATCGCTCCTTCGGGTTTCCCCTTTGTCTTGCCAAATAAAATTCAATGGAGAGTTCTGCAGCTTAGTTGCGGCAGCAGTGTCAATGAGAAACAATTTACAATACACGCTTGGCAAATGTGCCCTTCCACCAATACCCACATGCCATTTGTATCGCTGAGAACAATTGATCAAACAGGGGAGGCTGTGTGTTTGTGGTCACTATGCGTCCAGCGAGACTTGGCATCACCACTGATGCCTTGCGTCTCAAGTCATTAGGTGGAGGGAACAGCTTGCATCAATCCCATCTATTGCCATCATTGTATTGTTACAGAATCTTCCCGTTCCGGGAGTACTTCATTAGCAACTCGTTGGATCTCCTCGTCTCATGAAGAAGAAAAAAAGAAAAACCATCTGCTTAGGTATCAACCTCCATCTCCTCACCGGCCGGCACCTCCGTTACGCTCACATAGCGGCCAATCTCATTCTTCTTGATAATCTTCTCATTGAGCACCGCTGTGGTGCCCTTGGGGAAGGCGTAGCTCTTGAGCTTGGCGCTGCGCTCGTTGGGCTTGACGAAGCCGCGCTTGAGGGTGGTCTTGTCCTTTGTGATGATGGCGACGTCGACGTTGCTTCCGGAGCCGAGGTCGTTGAAGATACCGGCCTGGATGGCCTCGCTGGCGAGCTTGACGGCCTCGTCCTGGGTCAGCGAGGGCTTCCACTGGGTCTCGAAAACGGACATGGCGGCCAGGGAGCCGGAGCCCATGGTGACGTAGGGAAGCTTGTCGGTGGAACCGTGAGCGTGGACGGTGAAGAGGTGCGTGCCCGTGGGATCGACGCCGGCGACGACGAGGTAGGCGCCAATGTGGCCCTGGTACTGGAAGAGGTGCTGCTTGAGCATGGTCATGCAGGTGACGACGCGGGGCTTGCGGCCCGTGGAGAGGGCGTGGAGCTCGAGGTTGGAGGAGATGATTGCCGTGGTGAACTCAGTGTCGGCGGCAGTGCCGGCGCCCGCACACCAAATCTGGGGTGCGATGTAGTGCAGCTTTTCGCAGTTCTTGTCGGCGACGATGGGGCCCGAGGTTGCTCTTGTATCGGCGGCGATCTGCCAAGTTGATACCATTAGTTACTGCAGTTTGGGAAGCGCCGTAGGTGAGAGGAGGGCCCTGAGGGGCGATGCGGAATGGGTGAGGAACCCCTCGGGGACCCCTCGGGGACCCCTTGGTTTGACGAGAAGAGCAAGGAAACCTGGATAGTACTGACCACTACACCGCCGTCGAATATGCATCCCACGATGGTGGTACCTGTGCTGGTCGCTTTAGGGAGCGGGACACCTCGGGCGTGGAGGGCCGCATTGCGGTTATAGTTCGAGAAGTCGAAGCCAGGCATCGTTGCTGACTTGTCTGGGCACCCCGGACGCTGTGATCTGTATGTCTATATCGTCAATTTCGTCAAGGGTTTCGTGTTCGTCAGTCGTCGGTGTTGATGTTGGGTTCGAAGGGAAGGTCGTCTAGATGTGGGGATCGGGCGAGGTTGAAGGCGGACGTGTGAGAGGCAGAGCTGATGACGAGGCTAAAAGCTGCCTTCGATGGTTGTTGCCGCTGTTTGGGGAGGCAGGAGCTCATGCAAGGCACCCTGACATATCCAACGGAGCTGCCTGGCGGATCTTGATTGGTCAAGCATGGCCCCGGATCTGGAGCTAGCCAGAGCTCGATGCACGTGACTGGGAATTTTTGGGGATTGCCAGGCGACTAGGGGAACGGACCAAGAGCGGGAGCTACGAACCTGGAATTTTTAGGTAGACAATTGCCAGACGAGCCCAGGCAAGAGCAGAAGGTGCACCAATCTTTCAAGGCATATCTCGAGTGACGCCTCTGCCTTGTTACCAATTGCATACGCGTTTTCACGTGTGAGACGACCTAATACTTCTTTTCTTTCAGTTCACGGCACTTGGGAAGCTCTGTTGGACTCTGCAAGCTTTCTCACTTTTTTTTCCTTCCATTTGCTTGTTGCGACAGCAGCAACAGCAGCCCAACCTCGCGACTCCAGCAACCACCGCACACCCTGGCCAACCGCAACGAGGCTAACTAAAAGAAAAAAAGAAAGAAAATTCCGAGGGAAAAGTCCTTATCAACAACGCGACCCCTCCAGCGAATGCGAAGGGCCGCCCTGACCTACAAGTCCCCCTCCAGAAGCCGGTCACGTCGCAACAGCCATGGCCTTCAGCTTCGGAAATCAAGGAAACGCCATGCCCGGGAGCACTGCTGGAGGCGGAGGACTGAATCAAGGCCCCGAGCTGGAGGTGATCCAGACCGAGGTGAGATCTGGTCACCGACACCGTCGATGCCGCTGTTTATTGAAAGTTCGAGGCTCACCATGTAAATCTATCCAGGCGCTTGGTTTCAAGTCGATCGCCGGCGACGCAAAGCTCCGGCTCACATCCGCCTGGTCCCCGCCGCCCGCCGACACGGCCTCGCTAATTAGTATCGCCGCCCGTCGCGGCCTCGTCGCCGCCGCAGGCCCCGATGGCATCACGATCGCCTCGACCGAATCTGTGCGCAAGGGCTTCGAGGCCGAGAAGCAGGGCGACTCCGACGTCCGCGCGTTCGAGCCCCAGGGCAAGCTGCCCATGCCTATGAGGGTGTCGCAGCTCGCCTTCAGCGCCGACGAGAACTACCTGATCCTCTCCGCCGAGAGCGGGGGCGGGCTCGCCGTTTACGAGGTACAGAGCCTGCTCCAGGGCGGCACGAAAGCTGCGTTCGAGCTTGCGACGAACGGCGAGACGCTAAGAGCTCTTATCCCGAACCCCACGATCGAGAAGGCGGAATTGTGCGCCATTGTAACGGACAACGGCAACCTGCACATCGCCAACTTGAAGGAAAGGCAAATCAGCAACTCGCTCAAGGCGCAAGTGAGCTGCATTGGCTGGAGTACGAAAGGAAAGCAGCTGGTGGCGGGCTTGGCGGACGGCACCATTTTCCAGATGACACCCGAGGGCGAAGTGAAGGGCGAGATCCCACGACCACCGAACGTGGCCAACGCTCACGGTAGGTCTTTGCAGTCTAGTACGTGCTGTTGTGAGGAACTAATTGGCGGCAGTCTCTTCTCTGAGTTGGTTGGAGAACCACCTCTTTCTCGCTATTCACACCTCAACTTCCGAAGCACCTCCAACTTCAGTTTATCACATAATCACAAGGAAGCTACCGTCAGATTTCACGTTCCAGAAACTTTCCGACCCCGTCGACCCCTTTGGCGCCGAAAAGACCCCTCACCACTCCATACTGAGGCTGAAGGACTTCCCTCCCAACCTACAGGACCTCCTGATTGTGGCATCTACCGCCTCGCCAGACATCGGCCTCCTCAGCAGGGCCAAATCGCCTCTGACAGCTGACCACCCAGTAGACACTTCCGGAGTCTTTACCACAACAGAATTGGCCGATGATTCAAAACGCGCTTCTCTTCCCATGAACGAGAACTTCGACAACACCATTCCTATTGGTGTCGCCCTTGATCTCTCGAGCAAGGATAAGGTTTACAAGCCACTCCCTGCAGATGAGGAGATTGAGGATTCTCCTGGCCCGCTGCCGGGCTTGTGGGTGCTGAACAACGAAGGCGTGTTAAGCTCATGGTGGATTGTATACGAGGACTCCATCAGGCAAGGCACCACCTATCCCGGCATGGCTGCACTCGACACCTCTGCGCCACCGACGGCGGCTGCGTCAACACCGGCATCGACGGCCGCCCCAACCCCGAGCAACTCAGCTTTCGGCGCCCCTTCGAGCACGCCCGCTTTTGGCTCAGCGTCTTCCTTGGGCTCGACCCAGAAGCCGTCACCCTTCAGCACCAGTGGGTCCAAGATCCCCACATTCGGTGGCTCTTCGACACTCGGCGCGAAGACCTCACCTTGGGGCAGTGCGAGCACCCAAAGCTCCACCACGCCTGCGGCCTCTTCCGGTTCCGCCTTCGGTAGCGGTGCCTTTGGTGGTGCCTCGACGACATCCGGCTCTGCGTTTGGCCAACCTTCTGCCCCTAAGTCAACATTCGGCAGCGGTGGCGCGTTTGGAAGCCCCTCCGCCGCTTCTTCAGGCCCTGCGTTTGGCCAGCCTTCATCGATTGGCTTTGGTCAGTCGTCGACGCTAGGACAGAAGTCATCACCATGGGCGTCAGGGGGTGCATCTGGCTCGACTGCGGCTGCATCACCGGCGTTCGGTCAATCCAGCTTTGGTGGTCTTGGCAATGCTGCAAACAAGAGCCCCTTTGGCGGTGCATTCAACTCAACCCCTAAGGCTGCCCCTGCCTCTGGAGGGTTCGCCAGCTTTGCCACATCTGGCGGCTTTGCTTCGCTTGGTAATAAGCCCAACGAGGGCGGAAGCGTATTCTCAGGCAAACCCTCGTCAAGTCCCTTTGGCTCAGGTGCTCTGCCTTCCACAATATCAAAAGAGACGGTATTCCCACCGCCGAGTTCGAGCGGTCCTGCGACTAGCAATCCATTTAGCCAGCCGTTCAAGCTGGGTACTACCTTCAAGGCCGACCCCTCTGCGAAGGACGATGACGAGAAACCCTCTACCCCTGGTGCTAGCGGATCCTCCCTATTCGGCAGTAACTTCGGTTCTGCCCTTGGAGATGCTGAGAAGAAGACCCCTCCCAGGGATCAGGGAATGGACACGACAGAAGAGACACCTAAAGCGAAGTCGATCTTCAGTCTCGGTCAGTCCACCACCCCGACGACAACGCCAGCGCCCTCCAAATTCGGGTTCCCGTCAACGACGACTACAACTTCGGCCCCCAAGAGTGGTTTGTTCGGCTTCCCATCGCAACCGACAACGGGAGGGCTGTTCGGCTCCGCGAAGCCTGCCGAGAAGACACCGGACATCAAAGTCGAGTCCGAACACAAGCCTTTGGGCGACGCGCCTCTGCCCCCCGAATCAACGAGCAAGAACGAGTACCCTCTAGGAGAATCATCTTCTTCGTCAGGCACCGGTAACGCTCCTTCAGATGGTGGAAGTAAAGCTTCGCCCAAGGTGGACAACGCGCCTCTGCCTCCCGATTTCCTGTCGAGGCCAAAGGCCACAACAACAGAAGAGGCCACTACCGCACCGCTGCCGCCTGATTTCCTCAAGCCTTCCAAGCCTCAGGGAAGCACCACTCCAGTCGATGAGGCGCCACTTCCACCTGACTTCCTTACGCCCAAGCCCGGAAAAGCTGCGGAGTCCACCACGCCTTCTGAGGCGCTGCCATTGCCGGCGGACGACGCCAAATCCTCTGCTGAGCCGGAGCCAGAAAGGCCCAAGTCCACAGCGCCGGCCACTGCTCCCGACTTCTTGAAGATGCCCAAGCAGTCCTTGTCCTCGGCAACCTGGTCGTCCACGCCGCAGAGCACCACGCCTGCAGTTGACGACGCCCCACTGCCCCCGGATTTCTTGGCCAAGCCTAAGGAGAATGTTCTGCCTACCATACCGACCATCCCTGAGAGTGAACACGATAGCGATCTTGAAGAGGACGAGGATGATGATGAGAATGATGGTTCTGAAGGCAGCGGCGTCATGGTCTCCAAGGACCTTAGCCCATCCATGACGGCGATGACTCCTACGGCTGGCATGACCCCGCAGAGCTCTTTCGGTGGAGTCAGTAGCAGTACCTACTCAATCCCGCGCACGGAGGAGGAGAGGCCACGAGCATCATTGTTTGGTGATCTCAGCCGCAATGCCCCCGTGTTTCCTCGGCCCTCCCAAACTAGCCCTCGGTCTCCCAGTCCCGTAAGAGGGGGCGCTATACCAGGGCGCATGCTGCGCCAGGAGTCAGCTCGTTCGGTTAGTGCCCCGGGCATGGCCTCCCAGATTCTTGCGGCCCAGAAGAAGCAGCCGTCGCAGATGGGCTCGTCTATCGTCAGCAATAAGCCCGCTGAAGATCACTTCATCTCGCAGCAGAGACTTGCGCGTCAGAGACGCCAGGCTGAAGAGACCAAGACGCTAGAGGACGAGGAGGACGACGAGATTCAAAAGATACTTGCGTCCAAAATCGAGCCCTCGCTCAAGCTGGACGACTTCATTGCACACTCCAACGTCGTGCCGTCGGCCAAGGAGACTATTCCAGCCCAGGTCGAAGCTGTGTACCGCGACATCAACTCGATGATCGACACCCTTGGTCTGAACGCCCGCTCTCTGGCCAGCTTCCTCATGGGGCACGACATCGGCTTCAAGGCGGGTGGCCGACGCAAGGAAGACCTCGAGGATCCCGAGAGCTGGGTCCTCTCCGAGATCGACGAACTTGGAGAAGTCATTAACAGATCGTTGGCCCAAGATCTTGAGGAAGGACGGGTTCACGATGTCGAAGAGAAGCTTGAGGCTTGCAATGAGCTTGCCCGCGAGATGTCTCGCCTCCGCTCGAAGCAAGACGATTTGAGGAAGATTATCATGGTGAAGACGGACCCCGAACAGGCCGACCTCAGCCGCACACTGCCTCTGAGTGCCGAGCAAGCTAGCCAGCAGAATGAGCTGCGTCGCGAATACACCAATTTCACGAAGCTGCTCGCCGAGGCCGAGGAGGCGCTGACGATTCTGAAGACGAGAATCGCCGCCGCAAGCAGTGCGTCTGGCAGGGGCAACTCCAACATGCCTACTGTCGAGGCCGTCATGCGCACCATCAGCAAGATGACGAGCATGGTGGAGAAGCGCTCCGGCGACATTGACGTCCTGGAGAACCAGATGCGCAAGCTTCGGTTCTCGTCCGTCAACAGCCGCGAGGGTTCTCCGATGGTCACGCCTCAGAGAAACAGCCGCTCCATCATGTTCTCGCCTGAACGGACGGCCATGGCCTCGCCAGCTACCATGCGTAACTCGCTCGTGTCATCCGTAGCGTCGTACGGCGGCCGCGGCACGCCGCCCCGTAAGAAGCTGAGTGGCTTCAGCAGGGATGAGAAGTCGGATCTGATGGCGAAGCGGGCCAAGCGCCAAGCTGTGCTGAACAAGCTCAAGGGTAACGTCGAGCGGACGGGCGTGAGCGTATGGGCTATGGAGGACGTTGAGTGAGGGTGTTGTTGTTGAAGGGATGATGCAACCAACTTTGGAGTTAACGAAGTAATGGGTATGGATATTGTGAAGCGTAGATGGTGTATATCATAATGTACAATCAAAGAGCACCCAAGCCCCTAGTGCATGTTTCCCGCTCAGGTATATCAAGCCCATGACGACTACGCCATACATGCGAGTAGCTCGAGTGCATTGTCGACATCTGCTTTTCATGCGTACTCGATTCAAGATCGGCTCTTCCCTAACCCAGCCAGCCCCCCTTGGCTTGTTCATTCTCGGAGCTGCTTCAGTATATAAAGTGCAGAAACCCCGCCACCAACCACTTTTGGCCAAGAGTCTGGCGATGGCTCTCTGAATGCGCTCAGTATCCCCTGTAGATGCTGGTGGATCTTGGGCGAAATTCGGATGGAGAAAATGGCGCGGTTTTCCTACAAGGCCCTGCAAGCCCCTATTGTCGCTTGGGTATTCACGCCCATGTACTCGGAGAAGAGAAGAGGGCGGCGGCAAGAGAAAGACAACGAGCACACGGTCCGGGCATACCATATCTTCGCCCTGTTACATACCCCTCCAGCACCCCATCCAGATGGTGTGGGCGGCAGATGCACCGGCACAGATCACGGGCGTCTACAGCGGGACGTGAACCCCGAACAGGATTCGCAGGAGTTAAGATTCGTTTGCTATCCGTGGACTATGACGCAGAGAATAGTGCCCGCCAGACACGAGCAAGTCTTGGCCACACGTTGTGGTCTCCTGGTTTCTCCGAACTGGTCCGGTCCCTTTCCAAGGGCGGGACGCCTGTGCTTTGCTGCTTGCTCATGTCGGCCTGTCTCGTGCCTTGGACGCATGATTTGAGAATCGCTGTTGGCCGTGATTAGTTCACTCTTTCAGTTCACTGCTACTCTGTGCTGTTGACCAGCACTAAACAATCTATCGTCTTTCTGGTATGTACTAATGTGGCCTGCCACAGGATCTCTGCCGTAGTATAAGGTTGCCTAGATCGATATCGGCCAAGTCATCCTCTAGCTTGAAAACCCTCGAAACATCTGTTCAGAAAACGACGTATCATCCCAACTGGTATCGTTATCGAGATAAGTCCAATTGACGTTCCCGTCAAGGGCATCCATAAAGTTTTGTTCATTGACATTGAAAGAGTTGGCGTCGACACCAATCTCGCGAATCAAGGGGACCATACCTGTCTGAGGCGCAACTAAAGAATCATGACTCTGTAAGGGTTCCTGCTCCCCAGGTATCAGGGGTGGGAATGGAACTGTTCCACCTGACGGTGTTGTTTCTAAAGGAGGCGTGAGTCTTCCTGACCATGGGTCTTGGCCTTCTAGGGAACGGATTACCTGGAATGCCGTCCCAAAAGCTGTCCGGTATTTCTTGTTCTCCAAAAACAGGCACCGAGGTCTCGATGAACTGGTTGATGATGTCGTTCATGGAGGAATCTAGTTGAGCAAGGCTCCTTGCCTCGTCAGATCCTGAGCGTGGAAGCAAAGCCGGACCACTTCTCAAATGGTTCAGGTAGATCTGTCGATCTATTCCTTGCCAGAACCTTAAGAAATCTGTCGCCACCTCGCGGAATAAATCATAGACATAGGGCGATTCTGGGCGTGGCTTTCCGGGGAAAACAATGTCCCAGACGGCAAACCACTGATCCCTCTCTTTAAGCTTACGGTCCACTTTTTTCCGAAAGCTTCTTCTGCTGCCCATCAGGGGGCTGGAAGCTTATAGTGTCGTATGTCCGGAGCCTTGTGTGCTCTCTTTGATCTTCTATAGCTTTGAAAGTCCTTCCATAGCTTGGGCAGAAGTGTGGGTGCATGTGTTTCCTTTTTAGATGTTGCTTGACGTCTCTGATCCGGCTTAGATGAAGCTGAAGACACTTATGGTGTTTGCGTCCGTTTTCTCTGTAAAAGGGGCAAGCCAAGCTGAGCCCCCTGTCGTTCTTTTCACTGATTGTACCTGGTTTTCTTCGCTTGTTCCCATTGGCATCTTCTGAACCATCAAAATTTTGTTCTTGGTCCGATAGATCGTCGTTTCAGGTGCCTCTCCTACGGCTTTGTGGCGAGGCATCATCTCTCTGGTTATTGCCTGACGCTTCTCTGCTTCCTGAACTGTGGCTTGGCTGGCAGGTTCTGTAAACCAGTGAGTTTCTTATGATCCTCCCAAAGATGGTTATGATACGCGTTGCGCAGGGATGGTTGTCATCTAAGACTGGATCTCCCCAGGTAACAGCGTGTAATGTGGATTTTGACTCCATGAGAAGCATTGAGTCGGAACATTGGATTCTGGATATGGGGTTCTCCATTGATGGGGCTGAGACGAGATCCTTTTGAGGCCTAGGGACAGACATCCAAGGTGACAATGAAACCACGTTTGCCACACGCTGGATTGGTTGAATTGTTGTTGGCGCGTCATGCGTACATTCGGAGACATATATCGGTCGAGAGTCGCCCAGGTCTTCGTCTGGGAGGGGAACTATTTTGCCGTATCCCCCTTGCTGGTGCTCATGGTGCGTCTTGGTAATATCTGGGCCTCCCTTTGCGCGTGGGCTCCGCTCTCGACAATGCAACCAGTGCACAGACGGATCACTAGCAGCAATGAAGCCGTGAAGCTGATCGAGGAGGCTTCTGTAAGTTTTTAGAAAGTTAGTCAAAAGCCCTCGATGCTCATTCAGGCACATATCTGTTTCTGCTTCCACTCGCTTCACCTCAGTGGCCTGTCTGAGTGGCAGAAGCCAGTGGTTACTGGGAACTCCCATAGTAAGGATTCTCGGTCTCCCTGGCTGAGAAGCATTCCCATCATGGTACCAGGCTGGCGAAGCTTGACACATAACTAAAGGCCCTAGGGGAATATATTCAAAACCGGCTTGTTTTACTTTCCCAATAGCCAGACGACACGCAGCGGACGGTTTGGTCGACCTTAGGAACCTGGGGTAAACCGTTTGCGAACGTTTTGGGCAGAAGGCGGCGTGAGTCGGATTCCCAGCAAGAGCTGGCCCCTAGGAGTAGCCATTTCTGGTCCGTGGCCTTAGACTGAAGATTCCGAAGAGCCACATTGTATGTAAGGACTCCGCGATATGAGCGAGGTGTCTGCACCAGAGCCAGCATCAAGCATCTCATACTGAGTTGTCCGTATACCCACAGCATTCCAAGATTCAGTTTTGACCCGGTGGTGCTCCTGGTGTGCTACGAGTTGACAGTTCTCCTGACGTGCACATAGGATGTGACTTTTTAGATTTGCCCGAGGCTTTCCTTGTGATGGCTCCTTTGGTTCGTAGCATGAGACTTCTCGGTTGCACGCATGACTTCTTCCCAAGTTGCTGGAGCGAGACATTTCTCGCGATAGACGTGGGCCGCCTTCCAATTGGCTTATCATAATCTCCATTTGATCTTCGAGGTAGGTCTGAAAGTCACTTGGAATGGTGTCTAGTTGTTATGAGGCCTGTTGAGGTAAGTTATGGACTTCTGATTGCCACGAGGACGTCGCGGAGTGAGCAAAGATGTACCCAGATAAACTGAATCAGCCGCAAGTTGTGAGCATTCTCGTGAACACGAGGCAGTAACGACTGTTTGGGGCTCCCCTTTACTTGGTGTCAAGCTGGGATTTCCAGAAGCTGTACTATGATGAACAAAGAATAAAATATACAGCAATAGCAGACGCATACTGGGTGCCCGCTGCCTAAATGTCTTCTTATCCCGGCTCTCGCAATTCTTTTCACAGCTGTGCAAGAAAAGGGAAAGGGGAAGAGCACAGTTGTGCTCACCATCCTCCGACTCGTTGGTGCCTGGAGATTGTCGAGAAGTACAGTGATTGGCCTGCTTGCCCTGCTGCACACCCTTATGTACACATGACTTTTTCACTTTACCGCATGACTGAAAATAGAAACAAGAATAAAAGGAGAGAACCCCCACCAAGACAGTTGGTTGCATTGCCAATCCTTGAAGAGTACAGTCACAGCGGGTGGGGGCTGCGAGAAGCAGCCACATCGTCGCCTGCACTTCGTAAAGCAGCTTTGGGGGCTGGGGAAAGGAGAATGGATGTTGGAGCATGACTGTGCTTCTCTCTCTCTCTCTCTCTCTCTCTCTCTCTCTCTCTATGGCTTCAGGGGTATGGTCTGAGGCAGTGTCGGAAGCAGCTTGCCTGCGCCTTGGCTGCCTACGACTACGTGACGCCACCAGGAGGAAAGGGGTAAGCAGCGTCGTTGTGGGATAGAGGGTTACTTCAACCATACGCAATCAAGAAAGAAATGGAAATAACGGGAGCGTATCAAGATTACAGTTGTGCCGGCGCAGATGCAGATATCGCCAAGGTTATTCAAGCCAGAGAGTATTTGACATTATCCACCACCGACTCGTACAAACACATGTCCCGTTTACCATCCGTGAATGCACGAACCAATCCACGCCAGACTCAACCAACGACGTCGCGTTTGCTTTTGTTCCCAACCAAACGCCTACAACACCACTGAAAAGATGCGGACGTCCTGCTCGCCGTTATACAATATTATAAACCCGCTTCGCAATCAGGTAGCATCCCATACCAAATGCCAATAGGCCTGCCGTGATCGCCCAGAACCATTTCAAGTCGCCCTCATACTCCTGGCCAGGTACCCACACGTTCATACCCCACAGGCCAGTGATGATGTTCATAGGCAACACGATGGTACCCAGAACGGTCAGCTTGCCGAGCACGTCCGCCGTTTGCTCTTGTCGCTCGTTCATACGGATGTTGATCTGCGCCAGGTAATTGCCGTGAGACCGGGCTAGGATCCTAAAGGGCAAAAGTTAGGTCCGACATGGAAGATTGCGCTGAGCGAGAAGCTGTGTAACTTACTTTTCGTAGTGACTGAGGTTGGACGTCATGGTCACAATATGATCCTGAATGTCGCCCAGGTACAGTCCAATATCTGACCTCGGGGCAACCTCCCAGCGCTCATTACAACGTTTCGCGAAGCCCTTGATGACATCTGCCTTGTTGCCAAGCAGACGGTAGAGACTCATGACACGCTTGCGGCAGTCGCCCACCCTTCGAAGCATATCACCCTCGGATCCTACTGATGTTCCTGCGTTGCTTGCCTTCTCATCAAGTGCATCATTCTTGGTGTTGCCAGTCGTGGAGTGGAGCCTCAAGATTTCGTCGTCTATGTCGTCGACTTCGTCCTCGATGTTTTGAATCAGCGGCACAAATACGTCCGTGATGTCGTCAATAATGGCGTACGAGATCCAGTCGGAGTTTACAATCAGGTAGTCCTTGAGCTGACGGATACGACGTCGCACGTTGGCGGGATGTGGTGTCATGGAGAAGTGGAAGCTGATGACGCCCTCGCGGAAGACGATGACATACATGTTGACGGGTTCCAGGTAGTCTTCGCTGTTTTGGTCCTGATCGAAAGATCGGTAGTTGACGAAGTAGTAGTGGCGGAACAATTCCACCTTCTCTCGCGCCTCTTGGACCATGATATCCTCAGCGGTAAGCGGGTGAATACCGAAAGCTTTGGATAGCACCTTCATTTCTGCTTCGGTGGGTGAGAGCACATCGAGCCACCACACTGGTCTTTCACCGTACCTTGGTGTGTTGACGAGCAACTCCGGCGTCTGTGTTGTCTGGTTGCCTACAACCGGTGATCTGATACCAGTGGGTGTACGGTGGACAGATCCTGCGCGAGAGCTGCCTCCTGATGTCTTGTCTGGGGATTTGACACCGTCTCGCCTCTCATTATCGTTTTGGGTGTTTGCCAGAGACGGCTGCCGTGTTGGAGCTCGAGATTCTCCATTCAACCCGGTGTGCGAATGATGCGTGGAAAGCGGCGCCAATCCGCCCTCCTCCTCACTGTCCTCGCTCTCATCGTCGGAGAGGATACGCGGCTCCGGGATGAACAACTCCTGGAAGTTACCACCAGGTTGCACGAGCTCCGATATCGTTTGACTGTGAATAGTGCTCTGAAACTCCTCGTTGAAGTAGGTGAACCTGTAGGGCGCATCCTCCTCGGCACGATACCACTCTCGGGTAATGGGCCGCAGACGACCGTTGATGAGCTGAGGCTCAGTAATGCGCTTGACGCGTCTCTCATCGCTGCGTCCTTCCTTTTCGAAGCGGCTCCATTCTTCAAGAATAGCGAGGTCCGGCCAACGGCGACGACGACGCCTGGGGCGTTGTTTGGTTGCTGGGTCCTGCGGATGCCCCTCCTCGTCACCGATTTCGGAGATGCCACTCGGGAAACAAACGTCCTCCTGAGCGGTCAAGGCGATGGTGTTCCTCCGTGCCATATCAGGTGATAAATCATTACGGCCATCGCGGTCGGAATGGGAGCCCACGCTGCTCCTGTGACTGCTGCGCGGCGAAGCATGGATATTGATCTCGTCGTCGTGGATCATAACATCCCCGAAGCTCAGGTTCAACGGATCCGAGGGTCGGAAGGTCGGTGACCCAGGCATCGACGGGGGATAGTTGACATTGTAGCTGTCGTTCTGGAAAGGGGTGGCTAGCTTCGTTCTGGAGGATCTGCTGGACCCGCGTCGGCTCACTCTCTGGCGAGGGTCGTTCGAGCCGTAACCGGGATACATTGGCGCAGTTGAAGAGCGCTGAATGGACCTGGACAGCAAAGGCGCACCCTCGTCCCATGATCCGTCATCGTCCTCTGCGCTGTCCCCCACGTAGGTGTTGCGCAGTCTGCTGCCCGTCTGAGGCGTCGTCGTCGCGGCAGAGGCATTCATTATGGAGGGTCTTCGAGGTCGAAGTGGCTGTTGTTCTCTGCTTTCCATAGTGAGCACATTTCCGGACCATAAGTATGCGCCAAAACACGCGAACTCACCGATGATCTAGAAGCGCCTCGCTTTCAATGCTCGTATTGCTCAAATTGGTGCGTTGACGGTAAAAGCCCTCGCGCTCGGGTGCTGGGGCAGCAGCTTCGTCGTGCGACTCTTCGGGCAAGACGGCGAAGGACTTGCGGCGGTTGCGCTTCTTCTTGGCTCCACCACGGTGATTCTTGCGCCGGCGTGGCTGTTGGTGCTGTCCGTTTGGATCATCCCCGTTGGGATTATTCGAGGGCGTTGCCGGTGGTGGTGGTGGTGCTCCTGCTGTCGAGCTCGAGCCCGGGTTTAGGGGTGGTCTCCGGGGCGTCGACGTCTGCAAATGGGCAGCCAAGGGCTGGAACGGGTTGTCAGACATGATGGCGACAATGTGTCACACCAGTCGTCGATGCAAGCTTGTGTAGATTATGAAATATCGGCGGTGCCGTGGGTCGGCGTCGAGTACTAGTTGGTTGAGGAGGGTCGTCTCCTGGGGGTTTGGTGGCGACGGGCCTGATTCCCTGTGAAGAACAACTGCGGGCGAACTGGGGGGTGGATATCAGCTGTGTGTGTTTTGTGTGTTTTGAGTGGACCGGAAGGATGGAAGCTCGACGCGAAATAAATAGCGACGGTACTGAATCAGAGGCTATGCAATGGACGAAAGTGCTGAGGGGCCGAGATAGAGGAGATTCGCAGGCTCAGGATATGCAGCCATTGACTGTAAGACCAGCAAAGAAGGTGATGCAGCGCAATCATTACGCGCTGGGTCTGACACCGCGAGATGGAAAAGTCTGCCGATCGGATTGGAATTGTAGAGCGAAAGATAAAGACGATGCATCCGTTAATTACTCTCGGTGATGTCAGCGGAAGGTGGAACAACCCAGCAAGTCTATCCAAAGCTAAGCTGCTTTGAGGGACCCCCCGGCCGTCCCAGCACGTACAGCATATAAACTACGTACATACTGTAGGTACACCTTGCTGAGACCCCGCCCTGGTGCTTCCATCTCGTCCATTGGTCGAGAGGTCCGAGAGCAGCTCCTCTAATCCTACAGGCATCGAAGCTCCTCTAAAAACACTCTGAGCGTAGGGGCCAACAACAACCTGGAGCCAGTGAGCCACGGTGCACTGGAACACCCCCACAGTGGAGTAATACCAGTGTCGGCTGTCTCCAAACGGGGCATCTCTTCAGTGTCGCTCAGTGCTGTTCTCCAGGTGTTCTTGACTGCCCGCACTCTTCCTTGTACATTACGCAAGGCAGTGGCCACCCAATCACTCCACAAGTCTTCACGCCGTCGCAGGTCCTAGAGCTTGGCCCAGGCGGACACTCCTCACACTGCTTGCTCACCGCTCTCAAGGCCGATCGCTTCCGGCAGGTGGGCACACGACCTCCCACCGAGGGAAGTCTTTTTTGGAACGGCTGTCTGGGCGCCGGGTATCTTTCTACCCGTCGATTGGACTATATCAAGTACGGTACTTGACCAGCCTGTACCTCGCCCGCCCTTTAGCGTGGAGGTAACCACGGTGGCTGCGTCAAGAAACAGCATCACAGGGTGTCCGAGCCCAAAGTCGTCCGAAATTGGCCCTTGCTGGTGTGCCTGACACATGGACATGCAGAAACAGCGGCTACAGCGGGAGCTAGGTCTATGATGGGTCATGGCAAACTATCTGATCGGTATAGTTAAGTAGGTGAGGCCAGTCAAGGGCAAACTCGGCTACCGGCACACCACAATCGTCGAAGTGAGGCGACTTGAAGTTCATGCTACACCACAGAAACACGGCAAGTTGCACATCTTTAAAAGTGCTGATCGACTGCACCACCTGTCATTCCACAAACTCAAGTCATAAACCCTTACCCACAGGATATGGCGTCTCCCTTCTATCATGTGTCCCATGTGGTGCATGGCGCAACTGCTCATGATGAGCGGGTGTAGTACCTCGATAACAAGGTAACCAAGCCTGCGGCAGCTGTTCGACTCGAATGTGAAGGCAGCCAGTAAGTGCTATACCAGTGCCTTTCCTGCGCTAAAAAAGCTTGAGTAAGACTCGACCACGTCGCTAAAGCCATCCAGCAGAATCTCGTTCCAACATTGAGGTTCACAGGAGCCATGCCAGTATTCACCAAATGTTCTCCGTGAACCCACACCATGAACCCACACCTTGAACCTCCTCGTACGTCGGTTTTTCTTCAGCTCAACTGAGCACCTCGCATTGACAGTAAGTATACCTAAACTTTTGAATAACCATCTATGCCTGCCTCCATGCCGCGCCCGGATATCAAAATACCAATTTGTGTACAAAGAAACGTCGGTAGTCGACCGTTTTGACGACAGCTATGCTCACTGCCATCCCTTGCTTGCGCCCTCATTACGAATTTACTGGAAGTTCCACAGCTTCGTCACCAGGTTGTCTTGGAACCCAGACTCCGGTTCGTTCGGGAGGAACACCTTCTTAGGAATCTGGAACTCGATGACGGGCGGCTTCTTGACCTGCTTGCTCATCTCAGCCTCGAGCAACTGGAAAATGGTCAGTCAACTAATGCTCCTATTCGTCGTTTCTGGAGGCCACTTACACTGCCGTATGAGTGGTCGAGGAAGTCCTCAATGTTGTAAGACTGCTTAGTGAACTGCTCCGACATGATCTTGGCAATCGTCGCCACGTTGGGGTGGTAGTGTGACTGCAGCTGCACAATCTCCCACAGACAGCTGTCGATGGCATGTGTCTCCATCGGGTCCGTCTCATCGGCCACAAACGGGTCGTCGAGGCCCTGCTTCTCCATGAGGGCCTTGACCTCCGGGTCCCTCGTCTCCCTGTGGATCATGAACGTGCAGAGCGGGTGCCTCTTGAGGATATTGTACATCCAAGGCACCACGAAGACGATGGCACTTGGAGGGGCGTTCAAGCTCAAACGTGCCAATCTCTTGATAAAACTCGCCACCAGCACCGCCGGCAAATGAGTCGACGATAGGAATGTATCCATCAGCCGGAAGAACCTTGAGCGGTGCTTCGAGTGCAGTATCTCGCTGTCCAGAAGGGAGTAAAGCTTCGTGTAGAACGATGGGTAATCGAGGTTGCGCTCCTTGATGAGGTAGAAAACACCTGATAGCGCAAGCAGTGAGATCGAACCGCCGGCGTCATAGGAGTCCGTGAGGAAGTCGGCCAGCAACTCCGGTCGGATGAACCAGGGCGCGATCTCGTTGGACATGACGTCCAGCACTTGCTTTCGCTGCTCTCTTGTTGCTGCAAGCTTGAGAACCGCGAGCCAGGCGTCTTGGCCTTGCTTCTTGTGCTGGTGAAGGGAGTTGACGTTATGCGACTTCTTCTTAGGCTTTTCGGCGTAGAAGTTGCCGAGTTCCGTAGGCACGCCACCAATGTTTGAGAGCAGCTCGAAAGCATCGTCGAAAAGCTCGTCCTCGGGCAAAGACCCAGGCGTCTCAGCCAGAGACCTGCAAGCTGTCAGTTCCTTGAGCCTGGGACATGTTTCCTCCCACTTACTTGATGGCCTTTAGCGTGAAAAAGCGAATATCATCGTACTCGGTCAAATACTTCTCTACAAACTCGACGCGCGCATCATCGCTATCTGAGCCCAACAGACCCGCGATGATCTGCTCGAGGAAGTTGTGAGGGAAAATGTAGTCTTCCTTCTCGTAGAGGTACTGGGCCTCGGCCTTGATACACCGCATGGCCAACGTCAACACTGTCGGCGCCAGATCCTCTTCGGCAAGAAGAGAGACGAGCACACCCTTGTACTCGAAATACCGCTCCTTGAGCCACTGCACAACAACAGCCTCCTTCTCAGGTAGTCCCTTCCTGGGGACGAGAGCTCCCGCAGAGAGCAGTCTCACAAAAACTCTGCACAGGGCAACACAGGCCAGGGTCGCCGCCTCGGGCTCATCCTCGTGAGTGCTTGTGATCTGTATCAGTTTTGATATGTTGTTGTAATGCTTCTTAGACTCGAGAATCTCATTCTCGAGCAACAAGATCTCAGCCTGAGGGTCGTTGCTCTCATCGCTGCTGCTCTCCGCTTCCGATTCGGATTCCGACTTGGCGCGCTTCTTTGAATTTTCCTTCGTCGGCACTCTCTTTCTCTTCAGGCCGTCGCCTGAAACTTTGGCGGGCATTTTGGGCGAGATTTTCTGAAAAAGTTCCTGGTGTTGATATCAATCGTGAGACCGATCTCAAATTTACAGCGGGTCCCAGCGATGGGAATTTTTTGAGGTACAGGTACTGGACTACATCCTGGCCCCACTGAAGACGCCCGAGCTCAGCCAAATTCAATTCGCCGCAGCCAAGAGACAGCCACGCCGAGGACATCCGCCTCATCACGTGACCCTCATAACGTAACCGAGTTAGCGCCAATTACCTACTCGCTCACTCGAAGGTTTTGTCAAACCTCACCTCGCAAGCTCCGACCTCAAGTCCTTAATACCGCACCCCAGATCATCTCACAATGGCGTCCCGCTTGGCTAGAAGCGCCGTCGGTACGTACAGACATCTTCCCCGAACCCTTGACGTGTCAATTGGCACACCCGAACGACGACGATGACGACGAAAAACTTCGGAACATGGTGGCTAACACACAGTCCCCTCTTCTCCCTCGAACAGGCGCGAACCTCCTCCGGCCAACCCTGGCCCGACGCACTCTGCCCGCCATCTCGGCCTCGATCGCCGGCGCCCGCAACGCGTCCAACGTTCCCGCCGAGGACCCCAAGAAGAAGGCCCAGTCCATCGTCGACGCCCTGCCCGGCAACTCCCTGTTCTCCAAGACCGCCATCCTTTCCTCGTCCGCCGCCCTCAGCGTCTACGCCATCAGCAACGAGTACTACGTCGTCAACGAGGAGACTGTTGTCGCCTTCTGCCTGCTCGCCGTCTGGGGCGGCCTGATCAAGTACGGAGGCCCGATGTACAGCGAGTGGGCCCAGGGACAGGCCGACAAGATCAAGGGCATCCTCAACTCGGCTCGCGCCGACCACACCCAGGCCGTCAAGGGCCGCATTGAGGACGTCCAGCAGATGTCCGGTGTCGTCGACATCACCAAGTCCCTCTTCGCTGTTTCCAAGGTACGAACTATGGTGCAATCGACGGTCATGGGAGGAGAGGAATTTCCGATAGACCTCGGACAGACGGATCGGCGGGATGGCATGAGTGGCCGGAGTATCATCATCAACGGAAGCAGCTAACGGAGTTTGCCGACAGGAAACCGCCCAGCTTGAGGCTCAGGCCTACGAGCACCAGCAGAAGACTGCCTTGGCCGCCGAGGCTAAGGCCGTTCTTGACTCCTGGGTCCGCTACGAGGGTCAGGTCAAGGCTCGCCAGCAGAAGGAGCTCGCCGAGAACATCATCGCCAAGGTCACGAAGGAGCTCGAGAACCCCAAGGTCCTCCAGCAGATCCTCCAGCAGAGCGTCGCTGATGTTGAGAGTACGTACTGCCCTTCCGATCTTCAACTCCGTCATCGGAGTACACTGCAGTAAATCCGACTGACACCTCGTCCACAACAGAGATCGTCTCCTCCAAGGCCCAATAGATTCCCACTCACCCTGAGTCTGAAAGCGAGAAGATTTTTTCCTTTGTCCAAGGGGATTCTGTTCCCCTTGAGTGTCAATAAACACCCTGTGCATTAGCCAAATTCAAGAACTTGAGAGAAGAAGACCTGAACCGCTGCTATACATGCCGCGAAAGTGTTTGAATAGGGGACCAATTAACCCGGCAATCGATTCACGATCTTCAACATTGATTGCGTTTTTAACTACGGTTTCATTGAGCGTCTCATGTCTGTTTATGTCTATCTACCTAGTACGTTCGACATTTGGCATGTTGAATGCCAAGACCAGCCCGGTTACCCTTCTCCGTTGTTATGGCTGCACCCACCTCCGCTCGCAAATCCGATCGTTCCGACATTCTCCGTCCGAGCATAGCAACGACCCTCGAGGAACGACAGCTACCCGGCCCAATTTGTGCGTCCACATTGACCATGACGTCTTTGAGCCTCTATTGTATCAATGACAATTTCATGAAATACCCAAATGCATAAATATGAACGATGCGACTTGAAAATTTGTGTCAATCTTCTGGTTGCTCCAGACAGCCAAGGAAACTATGTTCTCGCCTCATACAGCAAGCCTAAACGCCCCCTTCGAAATCGCCATCAGGCCATCCCAAAACTCATGAGCAAAGGTATTGAGAAAGGAAGAGCCTCCAAACCACCCCGCGGAAGCATCAAATACGTTTACAAAGAAAAGATGTACATTCGATAATGAGATGTGATCGTAAGAACCGAACGAACCCCCTTGGACGTGCAAACATTACCCATCACGCACCTTAATAAACAGGTCGCGACTCTTCCCACTTCGAATGCGCGCCAGTCTTGTTCACTGACGCTCCAGGGGTATCTTCACTCTTAACGTCCGCTACAAAGGAATGACGTCCACTCTTGCGCCGTCTGGCACTGTCTCCAGCAATAGGTCCAATCCATTCCCAGGCGCGGCCAACCTCACCGCTGCGCCCTTCTCTTTGACTGGTGCGAACATTACTGTTCTGCTCAACGACAGCCTTAACTCGGGTCCAGATGCGGTCTCGCTCGCTGAGTGAGTGTACCGATCGCAGCACATCGTCACGTAAGTTGGGCAGAAACACCCAAGGGTCGTCAAGATCCTCCTCGCCAAGCTCCTTTTGCGTTGCAAGTCTCGACAGCACAAGGTCGACAAGCGCAGGAACTTGCGCCACCGTTGCCTTGTGTGACCGGTACTTGCGTCGAACGTAAAAGTAGGCCGAGATCAAAAAGATCACAGATCCAATTGAGAGTCGATGTCTTGCCAGGCCGAGCTTGACTGAACGCTTGAGGGCGCAGCCGATCGGAAGGCGAGCGAGAGAGGAGGACGAGAGGTAGGCGTCTGAAATTGAGGTGGAATTGGCCTTTCTACTTCGGGCACAACCGATCTGGTTAGTACACTGGTCAGAATGGGTATTGACGTTATTGATGTGGGGGACATTCAAAGAACATAAAAGAAAAACACAAGAAGGGTGATTGATGACTTACGATACCACTTCCACTTCCTCTCGGCCCTTGACATCTCCAATGGCGGCAGCCCAAAGGTCGTCAAACTCTTGCTTGTTCATTTTTTTGCTTCGCTTCGCGCTAATTGCCGCCTTCAACTCCGCTTCGTCGATGGACGGGGTCTCTGGCGCCTGGCCAGCATCAATAGTAGAGCCACCGCACTCAAACTGCGCACGTCGCTCGCGCAGCTCCTCAACAGCCTTGTCGGCTACAGCCTTCACTCTCCTGACCTTCTCCCCGTCCGGCTCGCAGGTGGGTGGGAGGGGCACTAGACCGCTTAGAGACAGCGGGTGCGGCTTCAGGATGAAGTCAGGTTCGCAACGGACGGAGAAATCCTCGTAGCAGTAGGCATGCTGCGGGCAAGGCTCACACTGCGGTTCGGCGAGCTGCACGGCCCAGTCGGGTACTGGGACATCAGCGGGGATGATTTGCGTCGCAGGCCGACCGAGTCCGCAGTAACCGACAGCAATCTTCTCTTGTCTGTACCACGCGCCGTAGGCTCCGAGGAGCGAAACAGCGAGAGCCCAGAGGGGTTTGGAAAGACTCCTTCTTTGGCGAGGAGGTTCAGTAGGACGCGGCGCAGGAGCCCTTTGGCCGCTCGCGGCCATCTCCTGCTCCATCTCGAACTGCGCATCAGGGGTGAACTCCTCCCCAGCCTCGACCTCGTAAGACTGGATATTGGGGGTTCGTCGCGCAACAGTTCGCTGACAGGGACTTCGAACGCATGGGACTTTCTCGATGACCTTGGTCGATCTTCGGCAGAATGGCCATCCGTCCGACGTCGAACGCCATCATCGTGCCTGCTCCTCGCTACTTCTGTGCCAGTGGTTTTCCTTCGCCCGGCTGGGCTGACTACGAGCTGCGTCGCCGGGCTGCCACTTTGGAACGGATTCTCCGATGAAAAGTATGCCGACTCTCTTCTGTTGAAGAAATCCTCCTCCGACTCCTCTTGCTTGATCTTGGGCATCTTGGGAGTGGCAGCGCGCTTGCGGACGGACTTGGGAGGCTCTGGCTCGGTGTATGTCTCGGTGTATTGCGCGACGTGGGGCTGAGGCTCAGGCTCAGGCTCAGGCAGTTGTCTGCTGACAGCGCGCACCTTCCTCTTAGTCGGGCTCACGGACGGTGGCGCCTCCTGCTCGTAGTCCTCGCTCTTGACTCTGGCAGAAGCCTTGCGCGGCGATCTTGATCTCGTCGCTCTGGGCGGAGGAGGGGCGAGGTCGTAGTCGTCGAAAGAGTCGGTGTCTTGGGAGCTTCCAGCATCGACGATACCCTTGCTTGATCTCTTGGCCCTAGCCTGTTTCGCCAGAATCTTCTTTGCCTGGGGAACGACCTCATCCTCGAAAAGCTGAATGAGTTGCGGCTTCTTCGCTGTGGCGGGGTACTGGACCTCGTGCGCAACCAGAATCGATCGCAACCGGGGCACGGTCAACGACTTGGGGTCGAACCCCGGCTGGAGATACTCGTAGTCGTCCATGTCGCATGTATTGAATTCTGACGATATAGGAAAGAGAAGTAAATCAAGCAGAAGTAAATGAGAAGTCGCACTTGAAAAAGGCTGCCCTGTGGTGATATCCGTGCGGCTGAGACACTTTGCAGCAGTGATGTCAAAGGAAGCTCAAAGCAACCTTTGTAGCTCTGCACCGTGAAACCTTGCTGTTGGCTGTAAGGAAGTAATGAGTGGCACGACACAGAAAAGTGGTGTCGCACAGAATATTCGGCCTTGGTTTCTGCGGCCTTGACAGGTGGGCACCAGGTCAGAGCGATGGGGGTGTAAGACGCAAGTTATGCAATGGATACGACCAGTGGACAGATGTTGATGAAGTCAAATGAAAGCCCACTGACGCAACGAACAGGAGCACCAACTGCCTATGGGTGCTGTGGCAACAGGTCATGCGGAAAAAAACACCTACCTTGTGTGGGGGGCGACTTGCAGGCAGCAGGGGTGACCTCTTCAAGATTGCAGGGGGCGATGGGTCTGTCAAGCACAGACCGAGGGGTCTGGTCCAGCCACATTACTAATCGGTCATAAGCTCCCCAAACGACTGGGACTCTGCCTACCTATGTGTGGCTGATGTGTGGCGACTTTTTTTCGAGCTTGCCCGTCATTTTGAATGAGTGTTCTATGTGATCATGATCATATCCAACAGCCAGAAATCCTCCTTCTGACGGCTTGGACACAATGTCAGCTCCCCGATCTCTTCTAGCAAGGAATCGATTCGTCTGCCATAGTTGCACTCGCAGGTTCCAGATCTATGCTCGCCGGACTTATGCGAACGCGAGCGCAGCATCGTCAGCCGCGGAACCAGACATCTATGATGTTGTATGCGTGGGAGGCGGGCCAGCTGGTCTTAGCCTTCTCACCGCACTCCGTACGCATATATGACTTTCCCAGGCCCCTCGAACTCCACTGACGTTGAATAGGAGCCAATCCAGTAACTTCTCGCCTCAGAGTAGCTCTCGTCGAAGCTCAAGACCTCTCTAAGGTCCGCGGCTGGAAGCTTCCGTCCGGCCAGTTCTCGAACCGATGCAGTTCTCTCACCCCTACCTCGGCGCAATATCTTAATACAATTGGAGCATGGCGCCATATTCAGCGCGAGCGCGTTCAGGACTACAACGAAATGCAGGTGTGGGACGGTGTCAGTGGCGCAAGGATCGAGTTCGATTGGCCAGCTGGCCCTTCGGCTGGGAAGACTATTGCGTACATGTGCGAGAACCTTAATTTGACCTCGGGTCTTTTGAGTCGCCTCGAAGAGCTTGGTGGAGTCTCAGTATTTGACGGAGCAAAGGTTGAAAATATCAGCTTTGGAGAAGAGACGGAGACCCTAGATCTGACGCAATGGCCTGTTGTCCACTTGTTGGGCGGGAGGCAGCTGCACGCACGACTCTTGGTTGGAGCCGACGGTGCGAACAGCCCTGTTCGTACATTCGCCGGAATACAGGCACAAGGCTGGGACTACGGCAGGCATGGTGTTGTCGCAACGCTTCAGATGGAGGGCGAGGGATGGGGTGGTGAGCACAACAAGATTGCGTACCAACGCTTTTTGCCTACAGGCCCCGTGGCCATGCTGCCACTTCCCGGCAACTACTCAACGCTGGTGTGGTCAACAACTCCTGCCAACGCTGCGCTTTTGAAGAGCCTTCCACCAAAGGATTTTATTGCTATGGTCAACGCTGCCTTCCGGCTGAGCCCGGTCGATCTCGAGTTCATGCATAATCAGCAGGCAGGACAGTCAGAAGAACTCGTTTGGAGATCGGAGCACACTTCTTTCGATCACCGGGCGATTCCTCAGCAGGTTGTCGGTGTTCAGGAGGGGACTGTTGCCTCGTTCCCGCTCAAGATGCGTCACGCAGACACTTATACCGCTGAGCGCATCGCGCTCGTCGGCGATGCAGCGCATACCATCCACCCTCTTGCTGGCCAGGGCCTGAACCAGGGCCAGGGGGACGTCCAGAGCCTGGTAAAGACTATTGAGACAGCTGTCTCTACTGGTCAAGATTTGGGATCAACTCTCTCTCTTGAAGCATACAACGCAGAGCGATACGTTGCGAACCACGTCGTATTGGGCGTTTGCGATAAGCTTCACAAACTCTATTCCGTGGATAGCGGACCTCTGGTGCCATTACGATCACTTGGACTGAGTGCAGTCAATGCATTGGGTCCTCTGAAGAAGTTCTTCATGGACCAGGCTTCCACCACTGGCGCAAAGCTCTTCTAAAAATGTATCCTATGCTTTTGGACTTGTCTCTTGTATCATAAACAACAAAAGAGTATCGCAATGGAGGCGATGCAGCTTGCACCTATACTTCAAATGTAACACATTGCGAACGTAGCACGCTTCGTCTGTAACATATCAAACCCACTTAAGTAGCTGAACACGGACTGTGGACGTTTGATTTCCATAGTCTGCATGAAAACCTCTAGGAAAGAGTACGATGCGGTATATACGTGGGCGCTCTGTCTCTTCACTCTACAAGTACACAAAAGGAAAGAGGTTCCTCAAAGTCATTTTGAATTTCATCCCCAGACGCACCCTTACCGATCAACTTCACCTACGCTATTGTTAGCATGTTTGCTTGCTCCATGTGACAGTGGAAATACTTACCAAACACCAGATCCATTGTGCCGATGACCGCCACAGCGTCAGCAAGCATGTGACCCTTCGACACGTGGTCGAAACCACCCAAGTGAGCGAAACCAGGCGCTCTAATGTGAACACGGTAGGGTCTCTCGCTGCCATCACTGACAACGAAGACACCCATCTCACCCTTGGGGCCTCAATGGCAGAGTAGGTCTCACCAGGGGGGACGGTGTAACCCTTGGTGTAGAGAAGGAAGTGGTGGATAAGAGCCTCCATGTTCTCCTTCATGGCAGCACGAGGAGGGGGCGAAATCTTGTAGTCCTCAACGCGGACGGGACCAGCAGGCATCTTGTTGAGGCACTGGTGAATGATGCGCAGCGACTGTCTAAACTCCTCCATGCGGCAGAGGTATCGGTCGTAGCAGTCACCGCGGACACCGACGGGAACGTCGAATTCAACCTGGTCGTAAGCGTCGTAAGGCTGGCTCTTGCGGATATCCCAGGGGACACCAGAGCCACGAAGCATGACACCAGTGAAGGACAAGTTCAGGGCTTCGGCAGCAGACACCACACCAACGCCCTGCAGACGCTGGATCCAGATACGGTTGTCCGTGAGCATCTCCTCGGTCTCGTCAATACGGTCGCCGAACTGAGTAGCCCACTGGTAGATGTCGTCGAGCAGACCAACCGGGATATCCTGGTGGACACCACCAGGGCGGACGTAAGCGGCGTGAAGACGGGCGCCGGAGACACGCTCGTAGAATTCCTAACAGACATGCGGTTTAGCCGGACGTCGAACCAATCCTTTGTGCGGCCGTTCCAACTTACCATGAGCTTCTCACGCTCCTCGAAACCCCACAGGAAAGGCGTCAGGGCACCAACGTCCATGGCGTGCGACAGTACGGACATGAGATGGTTCAGGACACGGGTGATTTCGCCGAAAAGGGTACGGATCCACTTCGCGCGATCGGGGATCTCGACGTTGAGCAGCTTCTCGACAGCAAGGGCGAAGCATTGCTCGTTGGTCATCATGGAAACGTAGTCGAGACGGTCGAAGTAGGGCAGGGCCTGAAGGTAGGTCTTGTACTCGCAAAGCTTCTCGGTACCGCGGTGAAGCAGGCCGACGTGGGGGTCGGCTCTGATGATCTCCTCGCCATTGAGCTCGAGAATCAGACGCAACACGCCGTGGGCAGCAGGATGCTGGGGACCGAAGTTGACGGTGTAGTGGCGGATCTTTCGGTCTTCGACGGACTCCTCAGGCTTGGAGAAGACGTCCTGGTCCTTCGGCGGCGTCAGACTGTAATGGTCCTCGGCGCGAGAGAAATCGGCAGAGGTCGGAGTGAGCCTCGTGCCTTGGTATTCGGAAGATGCATCGGCGTATCGGCGCAGGTAGGTCGTCGAGAAAGGGCGGGCGGCGAAGGAGGTGGCTGCTGCCGGGCGCAGACATAACCTCTTGGCGCTGTGGCCGGCGAGTCGGTAGAGGCCTGACATCGCGATTGTAGAGTGGAGATACGGCTTCAAAAGAGGTCAAGGAGATGTGCTGCCTCCAATTGAGCCTCCTTATTATGCCAATGGCTGATGGCCGGCTAGGATGAATAGAGGGGATTCGCCTTCGAAAGTGTGTAGTGTGGCCGTCATGTCCCGAAAGCTCGAACGCATCGATTCAAAATGGGCCTCCGCTGATTGGCCTGGCGGAGCGCAGTTTTGCCGCAGCCCTTGGGGATGTACAGTACGCACTGTACTTGACACGGTCCATGGTACATGGATCCCACCTCAGAGGAGCCGAGCTTCTGCAAACGCGCCTTAAGCTGCAGCTGGTATTAAACGAGGTAAGCAGAATTGATCTCACTGAATTTATCATGATGCGCTGCGCATCACAACTTGATTCTTGGTTCACATAAACGCACTGCCGCAATTACAAAACCAATGGCCCTAGCTGATGTACCGATGAGCTGATTAGAAGCTACAGACAGCATCGCGCATCCTCGCCATTGAATGTAGGCAGGCTTGTAACTCCTTTAGGAGTCCTCGAAAATGCCATGGCCGTTTAGCTCTTCCAGCTCGGGGGGATCGCCCACATCTAGCAAGACGGAGGATGCCGCGCGCTCCAAGTCCACATCATGGAATGATCTCCTCCCAAAGCCTGATCCTCCGCTACAGGCTGCGAAGGAGTGGGCTCCTGTTTTCCTGACGTCGGTCGCATCCTTAGCAGCCTTCATCTTCTACCAGTCCCGCTTGCGGAGGTTTCCCACCGCAGGCCACATCCAGCCCGACCTGTTCAGGAAACGAACTCTGCTAGGCCGAGTCACCAGTGTGGGAGACGGTGACAACTTCCACATGTTCCATACACCGGGGGGAAGACTGGCAGGCTGGGATTGGCTGAGGAAGGTTCCCACAACCAAGGCGGCACTCAAAGGGAAGACTGTGAGTTCCACAAACCCGACTTTGGAACCCGACACTGATGATCAACAAAGATACCTGTGCGGATGGCTGGGATCGACGCCCCTGAGGGCGCACATTTTGGTCGACCGGGTCAGCCAGGAGCCGCGGAAGCTTTACAATGGCTTAGGAGTTATATCCTCGACAAACGCGTTTGGGCCCGCATTCACAGACGTGATCAGTATGAACGCGTCGTTGCGACAGTGTATGTTAGGCGATTTCTTTTCAAGAAAGACGTCGGCTTAGAAATGTTGAAGCTTGGCTTGGCAACGACATACGAAGCAAAATCGGGGGCTGAGTGGGGAGGGGCTGAAGAGCTGTACAAAGCAGCAGAAGCCAAAGCCAAAGCCAAGAAATTGGGTATATGGAATGGTAAACCGAGCGACTTTGAAAGTCCCAGGGCTTACAAGACGAGAACGAACGAGACAGAAGGCAAGAAGTCTAACTGGCTCTCTGGCTGGCCGTAAGATGTTGATCGATTAATTGAGAGCACTTTTCCTACTTGGACAACAATTGTTGTCATGGCGGACGGTTGCTCGAACTATGTTTTCATGAGCTGGAAGAAATCATGAACTATCTATCGTAGAGGACCAATGAATCAAGAATCGAGACTTGAGTGAGATGGACAAGGTGTATAATGAGATCGTTAATGTGTTATTGCGTTTTGATGAGTATGTGCATAGATACATATCCCCGCCTCCGTGATCTCACCGCTGATTGGTTGGAGATTTGCTTAGCACCTGCCACCTTCACCGTGCTAACAACCTCCCCCCTGTGTTTGACCTGAACTTGGACGTATCAGATTGTAGTATCCGTACAACCCAACCTCGATGAATACTCCAAATTCTCGGAATATCTGGCCTACTCGCCAAACTTATCTTTGAGCTACGAGGACTGACTGATCTTGATCCGAGTCTTTTGCCTTACACTGATTTCGTTTGCTTCTATACGCCCATCCGAACAGAAAGCGCACAGTTTTCTGGACTGTGGTCATCGGTCATCGCTCGCCCAAGATGTCGCTTCAAGTCCGAGGCCCCGACTTCTCGGTGACGAAGCAGAAGGCCCTTGAAGATGCGAAAAAGATGCAGGCAGCGGTGGATGATGAGGTGGCAAAAGCTGGGCAGGACAAGCCGCCCTATCTTCTCAACGAACTTATTGGCAAGGGAAGTTTTGGGCGCGTCTACAAAGCAACCGACATCAACACCAGCATGCTTGTTGCAGTAAAGATCATCGACATTGAAGAAAGCGATACTGTCAACCCCAAACTCGCCGACACCTTCAAGGAGTTCTTAGCCGAAGTCAACGCCCTGAAGCTCCTCAGTGATAGTGGCGCAAAAAACATCAACCATGTCATTGACGCGTTGCCTGTTGGCCAGTCCATGTGGATGATCACCGAGTACTGCGCCGGCGGAAGTGTAGCAACGTTAATGAAGCCTACGGCACCTGGTGGACTGCAGGAGAAATGGATCATTCCTATTCTCAGGGAGGTCGCTGAAGCCGTGTCCTGGGTCCACCGACAGGGAATCATTCACCGTGACATCAAGTGCGCCAACGTTCTGGTCACCGAGTCTGGCGGGGTGCAGCTTTGCGATTTCGGAGTCGCCGGCGTTATTGAGACCAAGTTTGACAAGCGATCCACGTTCATCGGGACTCCTCACTGGATGGCACCGGAGCTTTTCGACCAGTCGACATCGTATGGTACGGAGGTTGATATTTGGGCGTTCGGCTCTATGGTCTTCGAAATTGCCTCTGGCCTCCCACCGAATGTGATGGCGGGGATCGATGTTTACCAGCTTGGAAACTATATTAAAGCCCACACGCCCCGACTTGAGGGCGATCAGTATTCCGACAGGTTGAAGGACCTGGTTGCGTACTGTCTGGAGGAGGATCCGGCGAAACGGCCAACTATCGAAGAGGTCCAGAAACACCCTTATATCGCCAATACGGCACAAGAATATCCGGCCTCGTCGTTAGCATTGTTGGTCAGGGGCTTCAAGCTTTGGGAGTCGCAAGGCGGCAGCCGCAAATCTCTTTTCGCTCCAGGAGGAGCCCAGGGCATGTCCGGCATGGACGACTCCGACTTCTCCTCTACAGCGATGGCGAACGACGAGTGGAATTTCAGCACAACAATGGCATTCGATCAACAGGTGTTTCAAAATACAGATGCTCAGGCAGTCTATGATGTGTATGGCTCAAACGTGGATTTCGACCCTGGGCTTCTGGATGAGATGTCGCGAGCCAAGCCGAAAGCTCGGAGGAGACCGCCACCACAGCAGCTCGCCGCCATGAAGGCCCCTTTGGAAAAGGTGTTCGACCCGAATACGATATCCAACTATGAGGATAACTCCCGGGCCTATTATGGCAGGCCGGTTCCTCCGCCGGCTTCAGACCTCCCCTTACGAGACGACTCTCTCCAGTCGACGACAGTGAGAGAATCTCTCATTGATCTCGACGCCTCACTATCCGGAGGAGACCTCTCTAACTTTGTGGATATGAACACTATTAGAGCTGGTGGACCACGCGTGTCTGTTGATTATCACATGGGAGATGAGCCAGATTTCAACAAGCCGCCTCTGAGCGACCCGGCGGATCTGAACCCGAACAGGAAGACGCAGGACTGGAAGTTCCCTTCCATGGCCCCACCAGCTTCAGCGAACCCAGAAATGTCCAGGTTTCCCTTCAATGAGGATCGTCCATTCAATGAAGACCGTCCTTTCAGCGAGGACCGTCCCTTCGTATTCCCTGCCCCCAAGAAGACCGCTCAGCACCGAATTCCGCATCCCGCCCTCAGATGTTCCATCACCAGACTGATCCAGTTCCCGCCCCCAACTATGGCGGTGACCTGATGGTCCCGCGGCCGAACTCGCAAATGAACAACAGAGAATCCACCGGCAGCTTGATCGACCTCGACGAGCTCATGGTTCCGCAAACCAACTACCAGAACAACCGCGTATCAACCGGCAGCCTAATCGATCTCGACATGGGCCTAGCCGACCCGATGCCGGAGCTCACCCGTCCTTCCACGGCGAACTCGGACGCTGCTTCTGTAAGCGGCTCAGACATGGGGATGGCAAACCCCTTCGATCTCGAGCGCCACGCTTCTCTGTACGTTCCCACAACAAACCGGGAGCCGTCTATCTATGTCCCGGCGTCAAATCGCGAGCCATCTATATATGTGCCAGCATCAAACCGGGAGCCCTCGATATACGTTTCGGATGACTCCGACTTTGCTTCAAAGATTCCTAGAGACGAGGATCTGAGTCTTGTTGACCTTTCCATGGCTGAACCCAGTGCTACTGTCCGACCTTTAAACGGCCAGGGCGGACTGAGGTTGAACACTCATCGGTCGTTCAACAGCGTCAATAGCGCCGATTACTCAGACCCTGAATACCTGACTCCACAGCAGGCGGCCCAACCGGCTTTGCCCCTGGGTGTTCCACGCTCAACGGGAAGTCGCGATAGTGGCATACTCCCGTTACCGCCGCCACCTGCGCCGCCGTCGGTGGAGGTCATGCAAGGCTCTGCTAGCGCAGACGCCGTGAAAGAAGAGCTGAGGCGGATGGCAATGAGTCTTGGCGAGCATCTCAGCCATGCCAATCAGTACCTCTCAACGTTGCCTGTGCGTAAGGGTGGAAGGCAAGATCTCATGGGAGAAACAAACTGAAGAGACATCAATGTGTTTGGCTTTATTTTACACACATGAAGTAGTATAGCAGTATGGTTAGGAACCTCGATTTGCAGGGGATGACGGCGTTCAGGCACATGGCTCACCGAGGAAGGACATGTATGATAATCCTGTATTGGATGGTAGATGGGGTATGACGGCACTATATGCTTTATACGGGACAACGGTCACATACTGTTATTTAGTAATAACATCCATTCCTTTAGACAGTGCTATTTCTGTCCGACTCCATGTCCGACTCCAGCTTATGAGAAGCCAATCATGTCGCCCAGTAGCAAGGCGCGGTACTTCTCCGTCGCTTCCTGCAGCTTGATAAGCACCGCAGCAGAGAGCATTTTGACATCATTCTCCTCCCCGCCGTCCTCGCCACGTGTGCCGTTAAACACGCCGCTGACCCATTCCTGTGTCTCGACGACCTCGCGTGGATGCGCTTCGCACAACCGTCGCATATCAGATGCCTCATTAACCTCAAGCATAGCAGCCAATGCAACAAGCAGCGCATGCGTCCCGGGGACGTCGCCGTTGACATGGGCTCGCACGTTGAGGAGCAGATCCCAGAGCTCAGCCGTCATCTGCGGGAGCGCCAGCGTCGCAGGACCCGCGGCGTGAATGAGCACCGCCAGGGTCTTAAGGTAGAGAGATAGGAGGTACGGCTGGATGAAAATGCCTGAACGGGCGGGGTGGGAGCGCAATGCATGTTGGAAGCGAGCGGTCAGGGGGAAAAAGTAAGACGTGGCGAGCATGGAGGCCGTTGTGTTTGGAATGGCGCGGATACGGGGTTTCTTGGAGGACTTGGAGGGAAGACGGGATGTGAAGGTCGAGAGTTTGAGGACGTCGGGCCCTGTGGTTGCGTCCGCTGCGTTGGCAGCTATGGGAGCGACGAAGGAGGAGGTTAAGGAGTTAGCGATGGTGTCGAGGGCGTTGGCGGGGATGGCCTTGAGGTTGGATGATGTCGGGAGCTGGTTTGGTGTGGTGGAGGGGTCGAAGTACAGTACCTCCATCTTCTCGGGGAGGCGCTTCGAGGGGAAGGAAGCAGCAGCCGCGTGCTCCGAGGTGTCGAAGCCGGCGAGCTCGCGGGCGCTGAGGCCAAGGACGATGAGAATCGAGGCACGCTGGGAAATGGAGTAATCGCCGTCGAAGAAGGTCTTTGCGAACCACTGGCCCATCTTCTGTGGTTGGGCAACGACAACGGCGATCATGCCCTGAAGGCGGAGCTCGTGGAAGCTCTCGATCTCGAACTTGTCCTGCAGACCGACCAGGAGAGTCGCAAGCTCGTCAGCATGGGAGGAAACTTCGGTGCCAAAGTTGGCCTTGCGGCGGATCAGGGGCGGAGCAGTGGTGAGGGCAAGCTTCTGTTTGTCATAATTGTCGGTGTCGCGGAGATAGGTAATGAGGTCGCGGATGTAAACGGGAGCTTTCGGCTTGTCACGGCGTACGAGTGTCGCGTCCTCGTCCGAATCCTCGGCGTCGTCAACAGGCTTAGCATAGGTAACAAGATCTTCGTCCTCGCTCTCGGAATCTGAGACTTCCTGGATGATGAACTTGGATGGGGCGACTGTTTGCTTTGGCTTTGGTGCAAGCTTGGTGCGAGACAGCGTTGGTGCCAATTGCTGTGTCTTCTCTTCCGTCTTAGGGACGGTGATCAAGGAGTCGATGGGCCCTGTGTTGTCCAATGTCTTAACGAGATCTTTGTAGAGGTTGGCTTCTTTGGTCGCCATCTCTTCCATCTTGAAGTCTAGTTTTGTGTCGCCACCGTCGATGAGACTGGAGAGTGCTTCCCCCACTGCCATTCCCAGAAATCTGGCTTTTTCGTGCGAGGCGCCGATTCTGTTCGAGACCGTGTTCAGGTAGCTGGAAGACCGCATCAGCATCTTAAGCTTCAGGGGCGATAACTTCTTGACGTAGCTGGCGCTCAGAAGCAGGACTTGGGCATGGGCTTGATTTCGTAATTAGCGTGTATCCAGATACTCAGCAAAGCAAGGGTAGACATGTTTACCTTGCTGTTGCATAATCGGAGAGTGCTTGATGTAGAGTTGATCTCCAAACTGGTGGAGGCTCTTCTCAAAGACTAGGGCAACACATTCCCTGTCTTGCGCGAGTGCAGCTAACACCGCGCGCCTGATCCCAATGCCGTCGCCGAGACCAGCGCCCGTTGAGCTAGTTAGCCAGGATACCAGGTGAGTTTTACGGCTTTCTTCATTGGAAATCATCTTCTCAATGACACCCGCAACGGCAGATATGGTCACATTGGGCTTCAGCACCTCAATATCGTCTAGCTTGTTGAGGAACGCCTCGGATAGATACTTCAAGACAGCAAAGATCACCCTCTTCTGTTCGAGCTGGGAGAATTGACCAAATAGTTTGAAGAAGGCGCTGCGGCTTCCTTCGGGGCCGAGCAGCATGTCTCCGATAAGTTGCTTCATCAGGCCATCTGGAGGAATTTTAGCGGGTCGGTTCGAGATCGGATAGCTTGAAGGATCTGAGGCTTACCTGGATAGCCCAGACGGAGAGATCGCGTAAACACTTCTGAGCACAGCTTGGCATCTTCGGATGATATGTCGCTTTGCGCCCAGTATATGATGCTCCTGCCCAGCCACTTGCTGTATTGTTGTCCATCTGCGATCCAAAGGTTGTTTCTAGCGGTCATCTCTGGATTGGCGATGGCGTTTGCCTCAGCTGCGACTGAAATGAGTCTTCCGCCGGCAATCAGTGCCGTAAATTCATGGGCCATCGGTCTTCGTCTCGCTGTAGAGTCAAGTCCTGAGCTGCTTGCAGTCCACAACGCAGCGAGGTGTTCATCTTTGCTCAACACCGCCGAGCAAACTTCGAGTAGCACGCTCAGGTTGAGTACCAAGTCCGGTCGCTTCACATCTTTTGCGCTAGCCTTGGATTCTTGGATCAACGCTTTCATGCGCGTGATGACAGCGTTAAGCCCCGTGACGTTTCTCAGACATCTCAACAGCAGCTCGAGGTCGGGTTGGCTGCCGGCGTCTCGAATACTCGATTTTTCAGAAGCCTCCTCCTTGAGCAAGGGCCAGTAGTTGGGTACAATTTCCGAGACCAGGCATTGGATAACCTGCGCAGCCTCTGGACTCGGCCGTGCGACTTTGAAGCCTGTGGCAGCAATCGTGCCGTGGTCGAGAGAGTTGAGAACGGCTATAAGGCTGTCATAGTCCGGCTGGCTCTTAAGGCTTTCCAGAACAGCTTCAACAGTGGTGACGTCAGAGCTATGTTGTACAATTTGTGTCGGCTTCTTGCTTGGTTCCGATTCTTGTAAAAGAGGTTCCTCGGGCCTCACTTTCAAGTAGGTCTTGCTGACTGGAGTGAAGAAGTCGTCCATCGTTTTAAGCCCACTACTGAGTAAACGACGGTGCTAGCATGTTATTATAGGAAGCGTGATTAAATGACTTTTCAGCGTACGGGCTGGCTGCAGAGAATTATGGTGATGATCTGAGGTTTCTTCTACCTTGATATCGAATACGATAATTAGGAACCCGATTGTTCCCTGCCAGACCAGAACCACAGGCAGGCGAAGTTGAAAATACAGTGACAGTACTGTGACTTGACCTGTTTCCGTTCACCCCACCATCTTGCAGACACACCCAGATGCACCCCACTTTGGATATCGATAAGAACTTGATAGCGCTCATCGTGCACAGACCAAGCATGCAGGCATCGCAGGGACATTTCATCATATCGGCCCCTCCACCTACTGAAGCTCAGCTTCACCATGAACACAGCCCCGAACGATCGTCCCCTCCCATCCACCATCTTGAAGCCTAGTCAGCTTGATACCGCCAAACATGACTACCGAAGCTTCCGTTACGGTAGCTACTGGCTCCGGATTTACTGCCAATGTCGACGAAGGAAAGCGATGGTGAACTCCCCTCCTTCTAACTCCTAGAAAGCATTCATATGCTGATCCTAGTATGGACCAGGACCTACCTCGACAACATCCGCAAGAACCCAGGTCCTTTCAGCGACCCTGATGTCGCTGGAACAGAAGAGGCATTCGAGCAGTTTGACAAGATCAAGGTCTTGTAAGTTGAGGAACAACCTGGTCCTTTGTGCCTGCTTGCTGACGATAGTTCGGTAGGGTCATGTGCGTGATTCATTCCTCGAGTACGGAACAGTATGGCTGACATATACCAAGCGGTGCTGGTGGTCTAGGATGCGAGATCTTGAAGAACTTGGCTATGTCCAAATTCAAAGATATACATGTCATCGATATGGGTAACCATTGGTCTGCTTCCGGTATAGTAACCAGGACTAATGAGTGGATTAGACACCATCGATATCTCGAACCTTAACCGACAATTCCTCTTCAGAAAGTCCGACGTAGGCAAGTCCAAGGCTGAAGTCGCAGCGCAGTTCGTCATGCGCCGCGTCAAAGGCGTTAAGATTACAGCCCACAACTGCGCTATTCAGGACTTCGACCACGACTTTTACAAGCAGTTTCAGTTCGTAGTTTGCGGTTTGGACAGCATCGAAGCCCGCAGGTGGATTAACGCGACACTCGTTCAGATCGCTGAGGAGGGCGAGGACCCCGACTCATTGATTCCCATGATTGATGGAGGCACTGAGGGGTTCAAGGGACAGGCTCGAGTCATCGTGCCTTCAATTACTTCCTGCATCGAATGCCAATTGGACATGCATGCACCAAGAGCCGCTGTGCCACTCTGCACAATCGCCTCGATCCCCCGTCAACCCGAACATTGTATTGAGTGGGCGCATGTCATTGCCTGGGAAAAAGAGAAACCGTTCCCTAAACTGGACAAAGACGACTCTGCCCACGTATCTTGGCTTTACCAGAAGGCCCTCGCCCGTGCCCAAGAGTTCAACATCACCGGCGTGACGTACGCTCTCACGCAGGGGGTCATCAAGAATATTATCCCCGCAATCGCGTCCACGAATGCCATCATCGCAGCAGCATGCTGCAACGAAGCTTTCAAGCTTGCTAGCTCGGCTGCACCCACACTTGGAATGGAAGAGAACTACATGATGTACTCTGGTAATGACAGCATCTACACGTACACCTTCAAGCACGAAAAGAAGGATGACTGTCCTGTATGCGGACAGCAGTCGCGGCCTCTTGAGGTCGATCCCACGAGCACGCTTCAAGATCTCCTGGACTCATTTGCCGTCCGTCCCGAGGCTCAGCTAAAGAAGCCGTCGATTAGAGCCGATAACAAGACTCTTTACATGCAATTCCCACCAAGCTTGGAAGAACAGACACGAGCCAATCTCGGGAAAACTATCAAGGAACTCGACTTGGAAGACGGGCAGAACGTTCTCGTAACGGACCCTGCCTTCCCTCTCCAGTTCAACTTCTACCTGCGGTTCAAGACGACCGTATGAAAGGGTCTTGAGCATCACGACTAATGGTGGATGATAATGACAGCATGTTGTGTCCTGGACATAAGAAAAGCAAAGCATGAAGGGCATGCTCACACAAGAACCAAGCAACTAGAAGCATTCTAGAAGAATAAAAACCGATGTCATAATTAACTTTTTTCTTGCCATTGCCAGCCAACCCTTGCAAACCAGAAACGACGGGATATCTATAGGTATGGTACATGCGCAGTGAAGCTTCATCTAACCATGTTGATGACCTGCTGTTCAAGACGGATACATCTCGTCTTGAATTGCTTAACTGATTCCAAAAACAATTCATCGCTGTCCCACTGTCCGGTGCTCTCGATAGAGAAAATGAAGTGGTCCCGTACCCGGCCTAGCTTGACCTTGCCCTCAAACTCAGGGTGGCGCAAGCACTCGCGACTGACTGTATCTTTCATAGCGTCCTTGACAACAGCCTTCTTGTCGCCCTCATGGCCCTCGTACCCGCTACCAGTGACGGCAGCCTCCTTCTTCGTGACTTTTTCGATGCCAATGACGCCCTTGGGGAAGCACTTGGCAAATTTCTCGGCGTCCTGACCCAGAATTGGCCGCGTGATGTTAATAGTGGGCATAAGGCGGTACGAAGAGGTGGCGACAGGGGAAAACTTTGCGTGGTCGGCACCGATGCCCTTGTGCATGTGCATGTCGAGCTCGATGCACTGACCGGGCCGCAGCTTAGCGATGAGGATGTCTGGGTTGACGGGACGAATGGCGTCCTCGCCAGAGAAGAACTCGAGCTGGCGACCTGTGGGCACAAACTCAATGTCCTTTGCATAGACGCTCGCGTTGAGGAAGGCCTTGTTTGGGTCGGTCTCGCCAGGAGCGGCGTCCGGGTTGCGGGTGCACTCGACGCGCAGGCGCAGCTGGACGGTATTGTAATCGAAAGAGCCCTTGCCGCCCTGCTCGGGCTTGCGGTACCACTTGAGGAACTTATGGATACCCTCAGGATTTCCAGTGAAGGGAATGAGGCCGAGGCGGTGGGCAAGGACCTCGTCCTGAATGACGGAAGTGTTGTTCTCGATATAGACGTTCTCGATGGCGATGGTAGGGATCTCGGCGATGAGGATGCGGCGGAAGGCGTTGGCGATGGAGGCGTCAACGCCGACCAGAGAGAAAGAGGCCTCGTGCTGGGCATTGTAGTGGAACTGGACGCGGAAGTTGGAGGCGAAACGGTCGAGATCCCAAGAGTGGTCTTCGCCGGCGTAGGTGCCCGGGTAATCGGTTGAGTTTACATCGGTGACGGTTTCCTTGTTGATGCCGACTATCTGGGAAGCAATCTCGTCAGTACTCGGGTTTCAATCGCGTTCCCCCAATACAGCATTCACTTACCCTCCGCCGGTCCAGCTCGGCTTGACTGGGTGTTGAAGAGGGCGCCATGGTGGGGTGTTTGTGATGTGACTGGCAAATGCGAAAAGTTGCGATCGCGATGAACGGGAAATATTTTTTTGAAGGACCCCTCTATCTACACCGAGACTATGCGGCTTACGTGCACCCCTGAGCGCTATCGGCACACCCGTTCTGGGAAAAAAAAGATGGGGGGACACTACCTAAGGTTCAGTGGAGCCCGGACGCTTCCGATGCGCAATGTGGGTAATTCTCCTCGGTGCATTTTACCAGTTCAAATATGGCACCGAGGTCTTCATGTAAGGTGGCTCTCTGACGTTTAATTGACCCTCTCATGGTCGACTTTATTAACTGTTGACTTCCCGGGTTGACTTCTTCGATGTTGTTGTCGAATTACGGAGCCCAGTGACTGAGTACACCACTATGGCGCAAACAGAGGGTGCGAGTGACGGCCAGAGGCAGTCAGCTTAACACAGACAATAGTGAGATGTAACTATACACCCAAACTTGTCACTATCTGCATACCCAGTATTGGACTGCCACGAACTCGAGCCCAGCTCATTGTAAATTGAAGCAACATGGCCCAGACTCTTCGGGCTGCTCCAATTGCCTTGAGTTCTATGTTACGGTAACAACCCTTGGTCTCCTGACCTCGGCACTCCTCGCCAATGTTAGTCGAGGTGCAAGCCGTAACACAGCTGGCTCAGTGCTCGGGGGCACTTTCTGTGTCCCCTAAATTCTTAGTGATAAGCCTATATTTTTCAATTTGTATCTTCGAGAAACTGCATATGGCAGGAGCTATGTGGTTGAAAAGCCATAGAGGATCGAGGGGCAGTACTTGCGTCCCATTCTCGACATAAAAACAAGACTTGGAGGTCCATCACGACTTCTTAAGTCCTCAGAGATCGAGTTGCAAGGTCGGAAGCTGATTTTTTGTAGGTTCGTGGCTGATAAGAAGGTGGTGGCCCAGGTCATTATACGATCGTGCGCTTTTCGCAGGAGTAGTGGTTGAGTCCTAAGAGCTGGGAATGCATATCCAACCTCAACGTGCATTGCTCCAAGAGGTTTCCAAGCCATTAAATGTATAAATATGTCGTCTTCATAAGTTTACAATGGAACTGTAAAGCAAGATCAAGGTGATGAAGCTTCATATTACCCTACATACGTTTTCAGACCTCTCACTAAGGGGGCAAAGCCAAGGCATTTCCAAACGACTCAAACATAACGAGAACAGCAGTAACACACGCTGATTCAATCGGTCATTAGAAGGGCAAATATTTCCAATAAAGAACGTTAGACTACTGAATCCGATCCCCACGCCTTGGTTTGCATAGCGCACCTATCCGTAGCCAGTTGCGTGACATTAAGGCATTGCACTTCTCGGACTTTCACTAAGCACGTACCAGCACTACTGCCAATGTAGTTGGAGGGATTAAAGCTCTGGAAAAGACGCAATAAGTAGGATTCTCAGGGAAAGAGGCGAGGGTTCGGAAGTTGATTCGTCTCATCCCAGCTCAAGTCACTCGTCTTTGGCCGGAGGCGGAATACCTAACTAAGGGCAGTTGAATGGACTATCGAATGCAAGAGCGACCTAGCACCTCTTTACATGTCATGATTTCTCAGCGAAGGTCGCTCCTGCCTCCTACAATCGTAATTTACAGAATCAATGTTTCTTCCACCCCATCCCATTCATCAACCTCTTATCCACGCAATCATAACACTCACCTCACCTCGGTGCGAGTGGTATTCCAATCAATCGTAGCGAAACATCACTGTCTCGACAAAGTGCTTAGTATCTTTATCTCTAACGCTGAAAAGATACTTGTTTTTACCGAGGTAGGAACTTGACACATTTGGAACTAGACTTCACAACTTCTTCTCACTCACAAATACTGATGCATTGTTCAGGCACAAATAGCTCATTAGTATCTGTGTGAGCGCCATCATACCTGTTCGAGACTTTATTTTCCGAGATCCCTTTGTTTCAGAAGTGCATACTCAGCCGCCTCACTGGGAGCCGCCATTTTATCCAAAATGGTGGTGAATGCGAACGTCTTGGTATCGCCGTGGCGATGCGAGGTTTCGTCCGTTGACGAACCCCGTCCTCACTCTGCTACAACAACAGCCCGCCAATCGATAATAACGGACCCACGTTACTCGAAGGAAATCTTCGAAGTAAGTAGGACGTCATATTTTTCTTCTTTCCCATTGTTCTCCTTACATTGTACATCATTCTGATACAGGACAGACTTGCTCCCTCTCAGTCAAGTTCGGCAACTCCTATCCCAACACGCTCGAGTCCGCGTTCGCAACTTCAATGTCGAACAAGAAATCCGGTGTCCAAGAGAATACTTCCCCTGACTCTCTGATTGGCGAGAAGAGTCGCAGAGGTCGTCTCTCTGCCCTATTTGGTCGTGAACCAGAGGCGTCTGACGATACTGTTCAGGACTCGACTGCCGCAAAGGAGGTAGAGTCAATCAAAGACGGCTTGGATAATCCAGTTGAGCAAGACTATAAGCTTCAGCAGCCTGTTTTCACTCAAAAGAGCGACCACAACAACGAAATGGCTCAAGATTCGAAATCTCCAAACGTCGCCGCTCACCACGCCTATACTTCCGCTGCCAATACGACTGCCGCCACCGACTTCGCTGATATCTCCCAGTCCATAGCTACCGCCGAAGTGTCAGAGGATGAAACGGCAGCGAGCCAGAATTCCGACAATCATTCCGCTGTTGACGATGTCAACCCGCAAACCACTTCAAATCTCTTGACCCCGAGTCGGGCCATGAAGCTGCCTATTCGTCGTCACAAGAAATCCTCGAGCTCCTTCAAGATAGTTGATAGAGAGACTGCAGATGCCGTTCTTCTCCCGGCTTCGACTTACAGTCACTGGTCAAACAAAAACCACGACAGTATCCACAGCAAGAAGCATGCTGATGCGAACGGCGGTACACAGACGGGTCAATTTGATCAGCAGTATAAGGTCGATCGTAAGAATGACGAAGAGATCCAACCCCCCCAGTCGACCTCTTACACTGCCATCAGTTCCTCCGACAGTACTCACGTTAGAGCCTCTCACTACAGCAAGGTCACCGCCGAGGATCCTCATCTGCTGCCGTCGATCTCGTACAGCGTTCCCGCAGCTTCACGAAACAAACCCATTCTGGTTGATGAAGGCCTTCTGTCTTCCACCTCTTATATTGAATCTGACCCTACTCGGAGTATCTCCCACGCTGAGGAGATGCCTGTTGAAGGAAATCGCCTCCTCTCTTCAACCTCCTACACTGACTTCGCTCCCTTGCATGGCGTTCTCAAGGCTCCGAACTCCGATAAGACTTTGGCTGACAAGAAGGTCCGCTTTGCTGTTGCTTCTTCTAGCAAGACCTTCAAGGATGAAGACAACGATAAAGACTCAGACGATTCCGACAGTACCATTAAGCTGGGCGTTGGTGGCACGAAGGCGGCTCTCGAGTCTATTCTGTCTCCTGTCCTCTGGGACAAAGGATCTGAGCCCAAGATATGGCTTAAGGATGGCAAGCCTACGCTCTTCCAGCCCAAGAAAGAGCCTGACTACTACACCAACCCTCTCTGGTCTCGCCAATATCCCGAGATCCTCTCCAACAATCCGCCTGTTAGCCCCCAAACTTCAGATTGCGCTAAGAGCACTACCTCCACGGACGGCAGTCGGCACTCCAAGACCCCTACCGCCAGTTCGGACACTAACTTCAACATGGGTACCAACCTCCACATGAACACCGGCTCCTACACGGATATGAGCTTCGACACCGGCACCCCGGCGCCCCAAACTGCGTTCACAAGAATCTCTGGAGGCACAAACACGTTGCCAACCCCTACCAATCAGACTTTCGTTGGCAGAGGCTTTCCAGAGCAAAGGAACACCCCGACTAGCTTTGCCCTGACTCCTCGCTATAGAGCACAGGTTAAACTTGAAGTTGGCGGTCGTCGCTTCGTATCCACGTTCGAGGTACTCGCGAAGAGCCCCTGGTTCAGACACCTCTTCTCTGTTGACTTCCGCAATTGGTACCACGACGGCGTCTTTCACATTGACAACGATGGTGATCTATTCGCCCACGTCCTTCGATACTTGCGAACCGATCTTTACCCGCTCTTCTGGGACTCGAACAATGGCTTTGACTACGCCATGTACGCGATGATCCGGCAGCAGGCTCATCACTACATGCTCTACGACCTTGAGACTTGGATTCTGGCTCAGAAGTTCCACGACGTGGTGGAGACCCAAGTAGTTCACCAGAAGGTGATCGTCCCTCATGATCAGGCGTGGAATCATGAACACCGCCTGATGGGAAATCACTCTTACGTGATCTCCGGCGTCGCCGACCACGTGAACCCCGAAACCAACCTCCAACGAAATGCCCAGAATGCTGCTGCAGGCTATTGCCAGAGCGATAACGGCGAGAACTCTGGATCCAAGGGCAAGGCGAGGGACGTTGCCGCTCTGGATTTGGAAAGCGGCGGTGCAGTTGCGCTGTTCATCACCGAGAAGATGGTCAAGGTTGACATGGATCAGCTTCGTCGTTTCTAGTCCGTAGGCTGCGTCAGCCAGTTTGTTTTGTGTTGAGTGGTAATCGGAATCGTGCGCATCGTCAGGGGATAACATTGTCCTACATGTTTTCCAATGGAGACCACACTTCCCCGTCTTCAGAAATCAGCTAGGATGCGAGACGAGTATAGCCTTGGGTTTGTTGATGAGGACTTCATTTCGTGTTTTCAAGAAACTGGTCATGGTGAGGGATGGATTCGAGCTGGGTTGTCTTTCAGGAATCTCGCCACTTCACCTTGAGGGCTTGACCACATGGGTCAGGCCTGCTTTTGTTCATTAGTATTGTACTTGTTCCGTTTAGTATCACACCTCCGCGCGTAAGGAGGAGATTAGCTCTACAATGATGATGCTCTCTACTCAGCTGATTAACTGGCGTTGAGACACGATGGCTATTTATTGTTTCGCCGTTTGCTCATGGCATAGTTCAAGCCTCCCGCTAAGTTGAGAGATTTCTTCCTCCTATGAAGTGATTCGTCGTCTGTACTGAGCTGTGTTTCCCATAGACTGATGAAATGTCGTTTTTTTTTAGACTGATTCTTCTTAAAGCCTGGAAGTTCCCTGGTCTGAAATGGGGTTTCCTGAGCACCTGGATCTGCCATGAAAGGCTTTGGTGAAGACTCGAGCGCAGCATGCTTTTGGCGCTGTCAGTGAAAGAACATGATTCAGGACGAGGGCGAATCATCTTTACGAGACCATGATTTACTGAGAATGCTGTTGGACGGGGAGTGCCCTTTTGAAACTCTCTTCTATAACTAATAGCAGCTGTATTGCACAACCCCCCCCGGAGGATACCTTGAAGACTCTATTACAACATGCTGCATAGGTAAAGTGTATCTCAATTTGGACAATGTCAAGATGACTTTGGACGACGCAGTTCGCCTGAGAGTCCATCAGGCCCCCATTATGATTCTCGCAGAGTGGCAAGGACCTGATGTAAGCCCACAAGCCACAAGACGTGCGTCATCAAACTTCGCTGTCGTCGACGGAATTTACTTGCTGTGTTTCACAGATCGTAGTCCCTCACCTTGACAGTGCCGCCAAGCCACACTGATCCACCGAACCCGAAGCGCCATGCGGCATCGGTGTTGTTTCGCACGGCAGGTCCTTTAAGGAAACACAACCCGCCGACTCTCCGTATCCGCATCCGTATTTGGGTCCGGCACTCAGGGACAACGGCTCACCGATCAGATCACGCGGCACCGCTGATGCAACCAACGACGAGAGCGACGCAACTTTTCGCCGCTGCATCAGCTATGTCGCCCCCTGTCGTGTTGATTGCCGTCACTTAATGCCTTGAATGCATAATTTGCGTGAAGTTGGATTAGAGTTTTCCGACGCGAGGCGCTAGGTCACCACGGGGTTCCTGGATCAAAACATGGTTCGCGTAGGGTGGATTTTCCCTCTTCTTTCTCTTTGTTCCTCCTCTCATCACAGTCCCTTCGGAACGCGGGGAAGTTTTGTCTCCAAGGTCTAGAGAATTCGACAAGAAGGGGACCGGCACAGAAGTTGATAACATCCACCGCGTATTCGGGTCTGTGGGAAGAAACCGACAAGGACTCCCCTTTTGACACGTCAAGTGTGTCACATGCAACTCCTAGAGAGCAGCACTCCATACCTGGAAGTATAAGGACAAGCCGAGTTGCCTGTGTCTTCATTTTGAGTTTCTTTGTTCGGATCTGTACTTAATCAACAGACTGCGGGTCCTTTTCAATCATCAACGGCTTCTGGATAAAGCATCAACATCGCGTTCTTTGAGTCTTTCAGCATTCGCCAGATTCATCCAAGACGATACATTGTAGACTGCGACAGCTGCGCCTCGACTTGTTGGTTTTTTACACAACACCATCTCATACTTCGTCAGGATGTTGAACACCACAACAACCCTGACCCACGCCACCCCGCTGCCGACAGGCATGTCGCGCGAGGACGCCATCGCCCTCCTCCATGATGCCGAGCACCATATCAATTGTGATCCCAACATGAAAGACTACACCAAGCGTACACCCGAGATTCCGCCCACGGTGCCCAAGGACATCGAGCCAGTCGCCGCGACACAGTGCTACACCGTCACCGACAGCGTTCCGACCCTCCTACCTAAGGGCATTTGGGACAGCGACGCCGTCAGCGACTATGACTTTACTTTCACCAAGGACGGCAGCTTCGTCCGCACGAGCTGTCCGCTTAACGTCGTACTGGAAACACGCTGGCGCATCAAGGATGCCAGTGGTGGCGGGCTGGAGCTAGAGGAGGTTGTCGAGATCAAGTGTTCGCGGTTTTTGGCGAGCGTCGTGAAAGGACAATGCGAGGCGAACTGGAAGGATTTCCACAAGAAGATTCTGAAGGGCAAAGCGTAATGAGCTGATGAGAGGTTTGGTGAGAAGAGGATGGGCATCAGCACTTCAGTCACATCGGAGACAGATGCCACACGGACATATGGCATGAATAGATTCATTTCCTACTCCCGTCTCAATCGAGACGATGCATTTTTTTCATTCATACAGTGGCATGTAGATGGTATCTCACATGAGGCTGCTTCGCCCCCCAATCTCCATGCTTCCTTGGCCATCCTTCATCTCACCACTTCGACCTACAACAAACTCACGGTAGATTCGCTGCAGTCTCGCCCGCTCCTGCGTGCTAATACTAGACCTCGTGTTTTCGAGAGCCTTCATCAAATGCTCTAGCTTCACCACCACTTCTTTATCGTTGTCCAGCTTAGCCTCTCCGTCGGGCCGCTGGGAATGCTTCACCCTCTTTCGAGCAAGCCTAATGTTCTCTAATTTGGCGAGGATTGCTGCATTCTCAACCAGCTCCGCCTGTCGGCTGATGGGCTTGCTGGCAGGCGCAGCGTCTTGGCCGTACCGGAACTGCACAAAACTGGGAACGGAGCCTTGAGATGGAGAAGCTTTTCCGTTGACTTTGCCGTTTGTCGTGGGGAGATGGTTAGCATCGCCCAAGACATCATGGATTGCCTCCAGTTGCGAATTGGACACGAGGGCTTGGAGGTCCGCGCCAGAAAACCCCTCTGTCTTCTGAGCAATGTCAGTCCAAGCGTCGTCAGACTCAGTCAGCTCCTCGCCGAGCTTGACCTTGCTGGAGAGCGACTTTAGAATGTCGACACGATCTTCCAGCATGGGCATGTCGCAAAGGAGAGACTTGTCCAAACGTCCAGGACGAAGCAAAGCAGGGTCGATCAAGTCTGGGCGAGACGTCGCCGCGAGCACGTAAACTCCCGAAAGGCCTTCCGCACCGTCCATCTGCGTGAGCAGCTGGTTCACGACTCTGTCCGTGACACCCGTAGAGTCATGTCCACGCTTGGGAGCGATAGAGTCAAACTCGTCGAAGAACAGAACGCAAGGTTTCGCAGCCGAGGCACGTTCGAACAGATCGCGAACACTCTTTTCCGAAGCACCAATGTACTTGTTGAGAATCTCAGGTCCCTTGACACTGATGAAGTTGAGGCCGCATTCTCCAGCAACTGCACTTGCCAGCAACGTTTTGCCACAACCGGGATAGCCGTACAGCAACAAGCCAGAACGTAGTCGGAGCGGACATTGCTCGAAGATGGGTGCGTACTTAGTTGGGTACTGCAGAGTCTCCAACAGTACTTTGCGAGTTTCTTGTAGGCCGCCGATAGAGCTAAACGTGGTGGTCGAGTGTTGTAGGGAAACGTTCCTAAGTGATGCGGGGGTGAAGCCCTTGAGGGCGTTGTCGAAGTCTACGCGACTAAAGTGCACCGCGCCTCCTTCACTTTCGGCGGAAGGATCATTCACCGACCTGATGATAGCTTCATTGCGCGCCCTCGCCACCAAGAGGCTGATGTCGCCCGGCATGTAGCCATCCGTAAGACCAGCAATGTCGAGAAAATCCAAGTCTGGGTCGAGGATAAATCCGCCGGTGGTAGAATTCCGGTTCTCTCGGCTGCCTTGACTGCCGGCGTCCATCCATGCGCTGTCCTCTCCTGTAGCGCTTCCGTCGGCTGTTGTAGGACGACTGCCACTCTGAGTTGCGCGGGGCAAGTCTTCAGGAGCAACAGCATCTTGTCTGACAATGCTCTCCATAACCTTGCGTCTTGCCTCCTTGTTTGGTGCCTTCAAATCCACGATCTCGCGGACTACATGACCTCCAATAATGACATTATTCAGAGAATCTTTGCCTTCTGCGGTCGCCAGCAAAACAACACCTGTCTCTACATTGCAGTACTGGCGGACGATAGAGCCGATGATTTCACTGATTTGGCGACTTCTTCCGTTGTCATTGCCAACTTGCAATTCCGTTTCCACAGGACACAATTTATCAAGATCGTCCAAAACTACAAGCGCCTTGCCCCCCAATCTGGCGCCCCAACTTGCTGACATAAATACTTGATTCAGGGTATCCTTTATAGTTGCAATTCTGGTCTCGTCGTTTACGAATTTTCGGCATGGGAAATAAGTAGTGTGAAAGAGGAGGTCCTTCCCTAGCTCATGAGCTAAAGATCGCGCAACAGCAGTCTTGCCGGACCCGAGCGCGCCAGTGAGGAGAGTGGAGGAAAGGTGCGAAAGATGGCTTCGCAGGTCTTGCAATAACTTGTCGATGCCAACAAGTTGACCCTCGTAGGAAGGTTGAAGCTCAGCGATGCTGTCGTCATTCATCCATGATGGCCGTGGAACCGGATCTCGGACATCGATGGGTATCTTTTCGCTCAGTCCCAATACCCATCTGGTCGACGACCTCAGGGGGTCGCTGTTGATGGCTGGCGGGTCGAATTTGATGACACCTCCCTCCCAACCCTGAGGAGCCTCCAACCCTTCAAAGAGCCCAATTACCGAGCCATCTGTTAGGGGTCCACTGAGAATAGAGGAAGAGTCTTTGCGAGTGCCATATAGGTGTTTGAATTGCTTAGACGCCTCCTCCTTCCCAGCCTTGGATTCACCGCCAAACTTCAAACCCTCTGACGACTTTTTCGAGATGGCAAACGGCTGAATGATCAACCTTTGCACCGCATCTAACGGCCATTGCTGCGGCGCTGGCTCAATTTTTACGATCCCACCAACAGATGCCGTGAAGCCAAGTGTTGAACACAGTGCTGGCGAGAGTGCGATCGTCTTGCTATCAGGAGGGTCGTCCCAAGCCCGTAAGTGAGCGACGACCTTTGTAGCTACCTTGGACGTGCTCGCTGATTGTTCGGCATCTTGCTGGGGCTTCTGCGTGGAGCTTGATGGTTGTGTAGGCCGCAAGATATTCACCGATACGTAGTTGACACCCCTGAAGTCCTTAGTGTACAGGATATCGCGGTCTACCCAGACGCTAAAATCATGAGTAGTCAGGTCCTCGTCGAACCACTCTCTGCAAGCCGAGTGGGCGACTCCACGCAGACACAGAGCAGGTTTGCGCTCTTCCCGCGCGCTTCGCCGACGGACCGTACTAGCGCCGCTGCGTTTGGACTTGGAAGTGCTTGCCACACTACGGTTCTCCCCCAAGGAATGCGACGTCTTAGCCCGGACCTTGGGCGCAACAATGACCTCGGCGTCGGGGGAGATCTTGACGAAGGGAACATCAGCGGCCGGTGCAGGGTCGAGGGAGATGACCTTAACGTTTGCTGTCGATGTCGGCGAAAGGTGCAATGTCAAGGCGTGAGGGGCAACCAGCGATCCCGAGCTCGAGGTGAAAGCGGGATTCGGCAATGCTCGTACTTGAGACAAGAGATTGAGCTCAAGGAAGGTTGCATGCAGTTCGATCATCTCCCAGTCTTCCGGGGTAAGCGGTTCAATGTTGATCGTATGTGCGACAGGCGGGTCAACGTGTATTGAGGCCGTAACCTTCTGTCCGTCCGTAAGGCCCAATGTGTTGGCCAGGGTTGCGTCAATCTCGACTTGTGCGACTTCTTGATCGCGTGAAGAAGTGCCTCCCCTCCCGCCATTGATGCCTTCGCGTCCAACTATGGAGGCAACTTTGCGCTTGCTTGGCATGCCTGTCCACCCGACGAATATGGACCGTTGTTGGGATGCGCCGGATCCGGAGGCGCTCGAGGAAGGGCGGTAGCTGAGTTCGACGACAACATTTTGCGCTGGCTAGAGGACGATGTGTCAGAACCGCGTATCCGATGAGCGAAAGACCAACGACTTACAGTATTGACGTTGACGAGTAGTGAGACCAAGGATGCGGGGAGGTTGACAAGGCAGTTCTTGAGATGAGCGAGCGAGATCTCAGCCGGAGTCGACTGTGCATTGCGCCTAGAAGCCATGACTGCAATTGACCTATCGGCAGTCCATAGAAAGAGTTGAAACAAGAGAGTGGTGGGCTCTATGTAGAGAGCAATAGAAAATGGCGGCTGATGTCGCTGCGGAGAGGAACCGGAGCTTGAGCTATTGGAGCTGGAGATGGGAGTTCAGCCGAAAGTGACCCTGGCATGTGCCGACGCCGAGGCATTCCCGGCATGGGAAGCGACCTCCACCCCCATTGGATCCGAACACGGGGTAGCTGCAGGAGTACGTACCGTTGAGCATGGGATTGGCGGTTCAGAGCTGTTGTGGCTGAAAATCAATTAACTCCTGTGGCCGAGTAACGCGTCCCTTGAGCGCGACGCTTTCGCGTCGCTCGTGTCGCCCGGCCAATTTCTCAACCCCTGGTCGCATTGTTCTCGCATTCGATTCTTCCCAACCCCCCACCCGGCGCCAAATAATCTTCAATCCGATAGCTGCACAATCGAACGGATACCCAAGACGACTCCCCGCCGCCGTCGCAAACACGAATTATACCCGATATACAGCTGCATTGTCGTCCAATACTTGAATTTGTCACTGTGGACTGAAGAAAGCTTCACCGCTGAGACTGCTTAGATTCTGTCAAGATGGCGCTTCGTCAGTTCAAGGCGCCAGTAGCGTATGAAGCGCAGCAGAGTGCGTCCAACTCCTGCCAACTCTCCTGCACACCGTCATCGCGATCAACGGCTAACGTACAATAGCTGCATTGGAATCCTTCCTCCAAGACTTCAAGGCGTCACCTGAGCAAACGATTTCGCATGCGCTTGGAAACATTACGATAGACGAAGATGACTTCAGCGATGACGAGCTAATGGAGGATGACGAGACTCGCGAGACCCGTCGCCAGGCCAAGAGTGCGCCGGGGCCCAAATACAAGGTCATGATGCAACAGCTGGCAGACCGCAAGATCGACGAGGTTATGATTGATTTGGACGACTTAGCGAGTGTGAGTTGCTCTGCTGCCTCCCTATCTGCCAACCTAGGCTAACGCTCTTCTACAGTTTGAAGCATCACTTGGCGACGAGCTGCAACTGGTCCAGTCCATTGAGATAAACACCAAGCACTACGTCGAAATCATGTCAAGAGCAGTGGACAAACTCATGCCTAAGCCCAGCGTTGATACCAAGTATGATTGGCACATAGCCCCTTTCTTCAGCTCTTCTCTAACCTTTGTGTAGCTTCAAGGATGATGTTTTGGACGTTCTCATGGAACGAAGAACTAGACGGAACGAGGCTCTGCAAAGAGCCGCTACGGAGCCGGTCGACGGTCAGCTTCCCGACCCGACGGCAGCCGAGGATAAGTTCCCTGCGGAGCTCACTCGCAGATATACCCTTGCCTTCAAGCCGCGATCCGAGACGCCCACTCATCCTATCAAGGCTCTTGCTGTGAGAGAGGTCAAGGGCGAGCACCTCGGCCACCTGATCACCATCCGCGCCATCGCCACGCGTGTCTCAGACGTCAAGCCCATCGTCCAAGTCAGCGCATACACCTGCGACCGATGCGGTTGCGAAATCTTCCAGCCGGTCAACGACAAGTCATATGGCCCCCTAACCATGTGCCCCTCCGAAGACTGCAAGAAGAACCAGGCCAAGGGTCAACTTCACCCCTCTTCGAGAGCTTCCAAGTTTCTGCCCTTCCAGGAGGTCAAGGTCCAGGAACTCGCCGAGCAGGTTCCCATCGGTCAGATCCCCCGCACACTGACCATCTTGTGCTACGGCACCTCCGTCCGCAAGGTCAACCCTGGCGACGTTGTCGACGTTTCCGGCATTTTCCTCCCCACACCTTACACAGGCTTCAAGGCGATGAAGGCCGGCCTTTTGACCGACACCTACCTGGAGGCACACTACATTGTCCAGCACAAGAAGGCTTACTCTGAGATGATCGTTGATCCCGCCCTGGTGCGTCGTATTGACCAATACAGACAGTCCGGCCAGGTGTACGAACTGCTCGCCAAGTCCATTGCCCTGAAATTTTCGGCCACCTTGATGTCAAGAAGGCCCTGCTCCTTCTGCTTATTGGCGGTGTGACAAAGGAGGTCAAGGACGGCATGAAGATTCGTGGTGACATCAACATCTGCCTCATGGGTGACCCCGGTGTGGCCAAGTCTCAACTCCTCAAGTACATCTCCAAGGTCGCTCCTCGCGGCGTCTACACTTCCGGTCGCGGTTCCAGTGGTGTCGGTCTCACCGCCGCCGTTATGCGCGATCCTGTTACCGACGAGATGGTCCTTGAAGGTGGCGCCCTCGTCCTCGCTGACAACGGCATCTGCTGTATCGACGAGTTCGACAAGATGGACGACAACGACCGTACTGCCATCCACGAGGTCATGGAGCAACAGACCATCTCCATCTCCAAGGCCGGCATCTCCACGACCCTCAACGCCCGCACCTCCATCCTTGCCGCCGCTAACCCCATCTACGGCCGCTACAATCCCCGCATCTCCCCCGTCGAGAACATCAACCTCCCCGCCGCCCTCCTCTCCCGTTTCGATATCTTGTTCCTGCTCCTCGATACCCCATCCCGCGAGTCCGACGCCCAGCTCGCCAAGCACGTCGCCTACGTACACATGCACCAGCGTCACCCAGACATCGGCACCGACTCGGTCGTCTTCTCCCCGCATGAGGTCCGCTCCTACGTCGCCCAGGCTCGCACCTACCGCCCCGTCGTCCCTGCTGCTGTCTCCGAGTACATCTCCAAGACGTACGTCCGCATGCGTGGCCAGCAGAAGCGCGCCGAGAAGAAGGGCGAGCAGTTCACCCACACCACGCCGCGTACCCTCCTCGGCGTCGTCCGTCTCGCCCAGGCCCTCGCTCGCCTACGATTCAGCAACGAGGTCACCCACGACGACGTTGACGAGGCCCTCCGCCTCATCGAGGCCTCCAAGGAGAGTCTTGCCGCCGAGCAGAGCGCCAACGGCCGCCAGCGCCTCAATGCCAGCAGCAGAATCTACAATCTTGTCAAGACCCTTGCCGACAGCGGCGCGTGCCGCGCCGATGATGCCGAGGACGACGACGAGCTCGGCGTCGAGCTCAGTCTGCGCAAGGTCAAGGAGCGTGTCATTGCCAAGGGCTTCACCGAGGACCAGTGGCTTTCCGCCCTGGAGGAGTACAACGAGCTTGATGTAAGTTTCTGCACCCCTCAGTTGACATTCACAAATAAAAAGGCTAACCGATGTCCCAACAGGTCTGGCAAACTGCTGGAAACGGCACGAGGTTGGTCTTCATCACCTCCAACGGCGCAGAGAGGGACGAGTAGTCAATTGCAACGGTTGCAGGCGGTCATGCTGGGGAGGCTACGTAGTGTCCTTGCGAAAATCTTGTTTTCTCGCGTAGTTTGCTTCTGCAAAAACGAAGCATTGGGCATTCAGGCGTTTGGTTAAACAGTGGAAATAAGAACAGAAGAGAGACGGGACGCAGAGAAGTCGAGGACGAAATGGGTCCGGTCGTATGAAAGAAAATAATGAAACCCAACCACCAGTTAGAAAACTCTGCGCCCTGGCGGCCATCTTTCCGTGAGACGCGAACCGGTTATGGCAATAGTTTAGAATTCCCATGACTTGAAATATGGTTGTATAATACAAAAAGTCCCTCCCCCTTCTACAGCGGCATCTTGGTACACTAGTACATGTATACACGTCCCCTCTCTTTTTTGTTTTGACCGACTCTTCAGATCTTTCTCCCTTAGTACTGCAATACACGCGAGTTGAGCAAGCTTGCCCGCTCCAGCTCGCCGAGAACACCACCACCGGCAACGGTCCACTTCTCCGCGACGGTGGCCTCGTCGATGCGCGCACGCATGAGGCCACTGGCAGCCCAGTACTCCATGACGGAGCGGGCCTCCTCGCGGCTGATGCCGCTGACGTGGAAGGTCTCAACGCCGCGGACGGCCTCATATACGCGGTCGTCGTAGCCCTTGGCGTAGGGGTCCGGGGTGGGAACGTGCATGTCTGCGGCGGCGGCGGCGGACTGGGCAAGGGCGAGCTCCATGGACGGGGAGCGGGGCGAGTTGCTGCGGCTCGTGGCGGCGACGATGGCGCCGCCGTTGGTGAGCGGGGTCTTGCCAGAGAGGGCGTCAACAAAGAGGCGGACGAGGGTGAGGTCGTGCGAGTGAACGAGATTGAAGGACGGATCGCGGTAGGCCGAGATCTTCATGATGTGGGAGAGGCCGTCGAGGCCGAGGAAGACGGGTGGGCCACCAGGTGCCGTGGTGAGCTCGTGCCAGAGGGCCTGGAAGGCGGGCCAAGCGAACTCGGGCTCCTTCGCGGCCGTAGCGATGTCGAGCAGGGTGCCGTCCTTGGGGACATGGAGGAGCTCAGGGTACTCCTTGGAGATCTTGTACTGCTTCAGTACGGGGCCGTTGGTCTTGACGATCTGCTGGAGGAGGTTAAAGCAGTAGGTCGGCTGGTAAAATTGGAGGGGCTTGGTGTTGGGCACAGGGCTGTAGTCCGTGTTGGAGTTGGTGAGGTCCTGGGCTGTGAAGTGTAAGTACAAGGGCTTTGGAGAGTCCAACTGGACACGAGGATTGGGGTAAAGCTCACCTTCGGGGATGTTAATGACAACCCAGTTGTTCAGCAGCGAGTGAGCCATGCCCTGCAGCAGCAGCATGCTCTTTCCCACAATCTTGTCACCCGTCAACACCATTCTCAGCGTCTGCCTCTCCTTGACGGCGCCGTCCAGCCTCTTCGCGAGCTTCACCGTCTCCTCCCGGACGAGCATGTGCGGTCTCCGGAACAGGCCCCAGTTCTGCGTCGTCTTGAACGCCTCAAGCGTCCGGAGCTGGTCGACAAGCTGGTCTGGCAGACCAACCACGGAACCCCTGTTTTCGGCCACGGCCAACGTCTCCTTGCCAACGTCTTGGAGACCCTCGACAGCCAAGGCGTTGTTGTTGCTCAGAGTGATGCGCTTGCGGAAAGCCTTTCGCTCGCCGGGGGCCGGCTTCTTGACCCTGACATTGTCCCGCTTCTTACGCGCGTTCTGGTTAATCTTGCCACGACGGATGTGCTTTCCGATATACGTCACACGGCGGACGGCGGCCGAGTCGGCCGACGAGGTCGAGAAGGGAGCGGCGCCGGCGGACGGGGTGTACGAGGTGATGATGGGCACAATGCGCTGCGAAAGAATTCTGGGCGCTGCTGCTGCGGCCGTCGTGGGCCTGGTGAGGCACCGCGCACAGTTGGCGGCGGAAGCCATCGTGTGAGGTTACGGCAGGGGAGAAGGGCGAGCCCCGATTGACGGTTGTTGATCGATTTCGAGGGTAGCGTGTTATTATGAGGCCATTCGAAATTGAGGGGCGTTGTATTCCGTCCGAGGCAGCTCGTCGAGTCGCCCTTGGGTAGCTGGGTCGTCGTCGTGCGATGTTCTGTCCCGAGAGCTCACCCCCCAAAAAGTTCGATGCCAGTAAATTCTCGGGACGTTAAAGCCACACCCCCATGGCAGCACGCTCGAGCCAATTGGAGCGCTGATTGGCTACGGTGACTGTCGGCGTCGCGGTGGCAGTTGATCCGATTTCTTATCGCTATCAGAGAAGTCCGGAGCCAAAATTTCCAAGCAAAGAAAAAGTTCTGGATATCCCACCTAGGTCTAGAGAGTCCCAACCTTCTGCCGCAGGACCAAACACCACCACACAGTCGCACCCAACCTTTCCGAGAGACCACCAATTCCAGACGACACCGCAAAAAGACTCGAGCCGGCGACCCGACTTTCACAATGGCGCTCCCCATCTCGCGCCCCAAGCTGCCCGTCGCAGTCAACAAGCCGACGCCGTACACCTTCGACCTCGGCCTGCTTATGGCCAACGACCCCAACCCCGTCGAGCTCGACAAGTCTGCGATTGAGGAGTCCCTTGCCGCCACGGCCCGTGACGGTGCTCAGGCCCTCATTAACCAGCTTCTCACGACCTGCCCGCTCCAGAGCACGACCGAGGGCGTCCTGCTGTCGCTGCCTCCCCCCTCTACGGCGCTCCCGCGCGAGAAGCCTGTGCCGAAGCCCAAGGAGCCCACCAAGTGGGAGCGCTTCGCCGCCAAGCGCGGCATCAAGCCCAAGACCCGCGAGCAGCGCCGCAACCTCGTCTTCGACGAGGACACCAAGGAGTGGCGCGCCAAGTGGGGTTACAAGGGCATGAACAAGAAGGGCGAGGACGACTGGCTTGTCGAGGTCGACCCCAAGGAAGAGATGAACCGCAAGGAGGGAACCACTATCCAGGGCGACAAGCGCAGGGAAAGAAAGGAGAGGATCAAGCGCAACGAGAGGAAAATGAGGAAGAACCAGCGCGAGTCGGGGAAGCGGTAAAGAAAAGCTCGGGAGGAAGGTTTTGTAATGCTTCAGGTTCGGCATATGGTAACGGCGTTTATACGGTGGTTAGTCATTTCCAGTCTCTATGGCTTGGGCGTCGGGTTCTCAAAAAGTATGAAATCGCCTCGCGGGCCAAAGTTTCTGGCTGCGATAACAACCCAACGTTCGAACGCGTAACAGTTTCTTTGCTGTGAACTTTGTCTCTGTCCATTTTCGTAAGGGGAAAGCCTGACGTGGTCGTTGCCACGCGCTCATCCCTTCGTGCTACATACAAAAATCCTCCTGTATTGTACAGAGATCCCATCAACCCCTGCAGTCATGTTGTTCGTAACCTGTGACCCGTCCCTCCCCCGCCTTTACCAGCAATTCGTGAATGCTCCTGGCTCGTCCTACCGTGCCATGCTACTTAAAGACCAAACATCGCTAGATTCGCAGCACTTCACAAAGGAGAAAGAAAAATTAGGTACCCAAACCTAGAAGCCACCATGAGCGATAATCGCTTCCTAGTAGTTCAGGTCGCCAGGAATCTGCTTATTGGTGTAAAGTCGACCAAGACAGTTTCCTGAAAACAGTAAAATCGACGGCTTTTGTGATATGATTCGATGCCCTGGGGGTATACCAAATAGCATAATGCTGTTACAAACGAAGCGGAACCCAGTCTGTGACTCCAAGGCCTGCCTGTGAGAGGGACCTGTGGTAGTCCAGTCCGTATTTTTTCACAGCACTGAGTCCGGGAAACGCTCGGGAGAGAACGAGAGTCGTCAACGGCGTGATGTCGTCAGTGATGATGTTGGTGATGCTGAAGCGTTCCATATACACACGAGTTCCGCCTGGGGTATTTGAGGGAAGAAAGAAACTGTGGAGAGTAGTCGAAGCTAGGGTCTAGAAACCGAGTGGTGAAAGGGGTTTGATGGGTGACAAGGGTCGCAAGTCGTTTGAGCCTCTGGGCACGTCCCGACCGCTGTCGATGGTGAGTGTCGTGGACATTGTCGAGTTGGATGCGACGCTACCGTTCGACTCAGAAACTTGGAGGGGCTTTTTTTTTTGCCGTCGGTCCTTGGTTTGTTGTTCAGTACTGGCACTTGACTGTTTACTGCTTTCGGAAGACGACCCCGCCCGCTCCTCTACCGTAGTAGTAGTGGTAGTAGTAGCTGGCGCTTCCGGCACCGGTTCCTCTGTTGTCTCGCGGGAGGGCTTACGTGGTTCCGAAAGACCTTTCGGTGGTGGTTGATCGAACAGCTGATACTCCTGCTCGATGAACTTTGCCTCGTTCTTACACCCCTTCCAGCAGTCGCGCCAGTCGCAAACCAAGAACCTGAAACAGAATGCGTCAATTTTCATGCATGGCTGGAAGCAAATGCACAGATTCCTGAAGTCCATCTTGTTCTTGTCAGAGTGCGCCAGGAGCAGGCTGAGGTGACAGGTGATGGCAAAGAGAAGATAATAGTTGAAAGGCGACAGGTTCGACAGCTCCTCGACCAGGAGCGGAGGCACGGTTTCGTAGCCGGCGCATTCTCTCGCGACGCGTTCCTGGGCAGCCTTGGGAAACAACTCGTCGGGCAATTCTCGTAGCCAGGCCTTTAGCATGGAGCCAATAATGTTGATGTCGTAAAGGTCGGGCTGCTCAAATAGGTTGACGTCGTATTCTATCAGGCCGTTAGTAAAGTGCTGCGAGTGCTTGAATAACTCTGTACCAACCTTCGTCGAACCTTCTCTGCCATTTCTTGATCTGGGGTCCGCTGCCCGGCACACGGTAAAGCCCCTCAACATCGCATCCCTTGTAATTCAAGTAGTCAATCGCGCGCCATGGAAATGCTGGCATCCAAAACTCGGTCTTGTCTCTCGAATCCTCCAAGCGTTTCGAAATACGAGTGCGACGCGTCTGTTCAACAAGAGGTAAGTTGATTGTCTTTAGCACATAATGCTCGTCGTCGATGACCGGCTCTCTTTCCGTTGTGCTCCCGCTGCGAGCGCTCTTGCCAAATAACCGGTTGCTGATGATGTCTCTTCCGCTCTTCAGCCCACCAAAAAAGCCACCGTTCTGCGACGAAGAGTTCGACCGCGGGTGGTGATGATCCTTTTCCTTTTGGTTTTCCTTGTTGCCCATGTCTCGAGGCGACGCGCGGTCTTCCGAGCGGTTCCGCCCGGTAGAGTTAACCATCTCTTTGAGAGATCTGTCGGGTCCGGTGGATGGCATAAAGAGAGATTGATTGCGGCCTCGCAAGGAATGCGACGGCTCGGGTTCGTTAATCGCCGCGGGAACGGGACTGGGTTGCTTTTCCCTAGAGCTTGAGCCGTCCTTGTCGCGAAGCGACTTGTTACGGCCCAAGATACCGAATGGCTTCGACTTGCCTTTCTTCGAAGAGGAGGGCTGGGTGGAAGAAGGGTCGTAGTCGGCGGCGGAGGCTAACGACACGTCGGACCTGGACGGCAGGGTGGGTGCGGGCTTTTGGACGGCGTGCTCAGCGTAGGATGGTTCTGCTGGTGAAATGGCATACAGGTCAGCAGCTGAAGAAATGGTCTCACGATAGGCGAAACGGGGGATGGATCAGGTAGTGGGCCCCAGCTGCACAGGCGGTGGACACTGCGGTCTCAAGAAGGAAAGTTATCCTCGTACCTGAAGGTTGGGTGGGCTGGTCGCTGGCCATGGGAGCATTGTCGGGGCCCCTCGACATACTTTGGCCTCTTGAGTCAGTGTTCGGGACCGGAGCCTGTTGCTGTGGCTGGCTCTGACTCTGGCTCTGAGGGTGTGAAGGCGACTGCGAAGGAGAAGTGAGGGAATGGGACGACTTGGAGGGTTTGGAGAAATTGAAGAAGAACCCGCCGGCTTTGGCGGAGAGGGAGGCTTTGCGGGGGGCGTCGTCGGGGCGGTGCGTACGGGGGCTGATGGGGTTCTGTTGGTGATGCTGGCGAGGGGGCGTGTCTTCGGAGGCGCGGTGGAGAGCAGAGGAGATGGGTTGATACTGTTCAAAGTCGTCGTCCTCTTCAAAGCCTCGATATTCGTCGGTCAGCTGAAGAGACTGCTTGCCACTAACGCTGGGCCTTTTCGGAGTGAACCTAAAGGGCGAGCGCGGGGATCTGGGAGAAGATTGCGATACGGAGCCGGCGCTTGGAGGAACAGTAGAGGCGAGAGTTTCAGCAGAGAGCGAGACAGCGTCTTCAGGCTGGTCGGCGGCAGGATAGGATTCCGACAGCGTCAGCGGCTGTGGTGCAGGCTTGCGGCCCATGGCAAGGAAATTAATGTGCCTCCTCTGGGCAGCCGAGTAAAAAGGAGTATTTTGGGGGCCCGGTCAAGGATGAATACCCGGGAAGAGCCAGAGAGTGCCAGAAGGCGGCGACACGGACAAGGCGTTGGGTAGGCTGCGATGGGGAGATGCAGAGGCGGAGGCGGCGGGAGCTCTTTGAACAAGGCCAGGACAACCCGGCTTGGGGATCCGTACCGTATGAATTCGACAGGGTGAGGTAGGTGAGGTACAGGCGGTACTGTACGGCAGAGATGATGCCCGTCTGGCGGCTGGCCGGCTGACTGGCTGGCTATGCGGGAGGCCGGATGTAGCAGCTTGTGCAGCAGAGGAAGCAGCGCAAACAACGCAGACACAGGGCAGTTGCAGGATCAGGATCAGGTTGGGATAGGTTGGGATGGGATGAGCAAGGAGTCCCAGAAACGGTCCCTATCCTGATTCGTCGTCTGCCGCAGGAGAGCCCAGCTGTTTCGATGCGCGCACTGGGACAGACGGATTACGCATCTGTCGGGGATATAGAGAGGAGAGGAAAGAGGAGGGGGAGGGAGGGGGGTGGTAAAGCCAGATGACGAGGGCAGATTAGGGAAATCTGCGACAACCGGCAGAGGCACAGAAGGCCGCCCAACCTGTCCTGAGGTGTGTGGGCTGTGGGTGTGT